GGCAGACAAGTACCACACTCAACTACTTGGACAAGTAGCTAATTACTTGATTGTGATGGGTAGTGGTACGTGTGTACATGTACAGCACAAGTGCTTCTTACCATTGGATTGCATGCTTTAAAATTAAGTACAATTTGTTTCACAAATCTTTGTTTGGAAAGCTGGCTTCACCTTACATCATGCAGTGTTGTATAACTTCAGAAAATCCTCCTCTGCTGTGTAAGCCCCCGATCAAGTTTTTTTTTTTTTGCCTCACAAAATACACTGATCTGATACACACATACTAGAATTTGTATCCTTGTGGAGACATTCCTTTGTTCTCATGTACTAAAGTTTCGAGTTTGAAAGTGTAGTTTAAAAATGCTCTTATTTTAACCAAAATTAATTTTCTTGGCTGTAATTTGGACTTAATATCCCTTTTCTAAATCTCTTCTATATGTGACGGTTCAACATAGCTTGGAAATTCCTAGTTTTCGAGTAAAATCTATATATTTTGTGAAAACCTTGGGGAGACGTACAAATGTATTCATCTATAGAAATTGCCCTGTGGAGACGTATACAAGTATGTACAATCTTTTGTTCCCTCTTGTACACACATCTCCAGAGGATACGGTGTACGTACACACATTCAAATTCTTCAAAATGTTCTTCAATTTCAGAGAAACTGTTGTCAAGTGCATTTTACATTAGCAGTCAAATAGTACTTTAGCTGAAGAAAGGGTTTTATAACACCTTACCAACAGATTCTGTATCTTGATTGGCCGAGAGCGAGTCACATGGCATTCACTATTTTTGCTATCTTGCTGTGCACAGCAAAAAAGTACTATACCCGTAGCAACCAATGCACTATACCCGTAGCAACCAAAGTACTATACGATGAGAACCGGTACATTTCGTGAGGGGTTAGTTTGGAAAAGTGCAAATAAACTTTCAACTCTTTTCATATTCAATTTGAATGACATTTAATTACATTAATCAGTTATCGCTTAAAATCAAGCAGAATCTGTGGGAGAGGTGTTACAAAACAAATATTGACTGCTTATAAATCTCGTGGTGTAGTAAAACTACATGTACATGTACATGTAGCTATAGGCTCCTCACTCGGTGATCCATGGAGCATTCTATTTCCCCTCGGCTTCGCCTCGGGACAAATAGATTGCTTCATGGATCACATCGGGAGGCTTACTACACCACTCGGAGCAGTCAATATTTTTTGTAATACATAGAAGTTCATTTTCATTATGACATATTTATATTGACAGGGGTACGTGCCGGTTTTTCTTTTTCGCTTCTTATTGTTCAGCACAATTGGCTGATATGAGATGAGCTGTATTGAGCTTGTTGGAAAACCCTGGCATTTGCCAGTTCAATACAAATGAATGTGATGATCAATGACTGGTAGCAGGTGCAGTGCTGCGCTTTTCAATTACATACATGCATCAATTCTAAGATGTCTAATTTCTACATACATCAATTCTAAGACATGCATGTACTATATGCACCGATACGTTTATTGCACCGGTAACAACTGGTGCTGTCCTTCCCCCTGCTTGTTAATTATTAAAGAGAACTGCATGTCTTTTCAAACAAAGAAGCAATGCCGGCAAGATGCTCTGCACTTTTCTCAGTCTTCCATAAACAGTTTTTCTACAAGTGACAAGAAATGAAAACAATACAATTTCTTCACATTGCGCATACATTATGGGAACTAGATTTTCCTAACTTTTAAATGTATACCTTAGAGAGTTTAGAGCTTCTGATTGGTCGAGACTTGATCATGTGGGGTATTTACATACATGTGATATAGACCGGCTTTAATAACAAGCGAAAATGGCCCCTAAACCAGCATTGATCCAGCGTCATGTCAGCCAATGATTGGCCAAACACCCAACAGTCCTGCCGAAGGATGGTTCCTGGCAAAAAGGGCCTAAGGGGTTAGGGTTCATCTTGCTTAGATGATTTTTATTGTGAGTTACATGTATTTGTATTTGTATGGTTAATTATTTTAAGATTTATAGTTGTTTTAATGCTTCTTTTCCAGCTTTTTCATATAGAATGCCTGAGTCAGAGTCTCCACCGTAGCGTTGTAATTGATTGTGTGTGATCATGAACTCCGTATCGGTATGGGACGCCATGGCCAGTGGCTCGACGGCCGTAGCCAGACCAATCCGGACGCTGGACCCTAGACCACCGTATGCAGTGGACAGACCCAGACCACAGTCAGGTAATTGTTAACTCTGTGACTATATTCATGATATTGAACGCTTGAACCAAAAGATTGATTCATGAGCTTAGGTCAATACGCGCAGGAGGGGGTCATATATGCATAGAAGAGGATCGACCGTTGGACTAGTAGTGGCAATTTTCTATGTGTGACGTTTCCTTCCACCACGTTTTCTGCATTGAGTCCATTTTTGTCTTGGCTTTGCAGATGTCCAATGACTTCAGAACATGCCACACATACATGTATTACTGGGCAGTTTGCTGGTTTCATCACCAGGGTTTTGGTCTGAGGTTTCAGATCTCGGAACATCAAAAGTAATGCCGTTGATATACATGTAGGCATCGGTTCGTCAAAAAAAAAAGAAGGTGTGACGGCAGCCACCTTTAGTTGGTCACAAGCCGGTCAAAGTCGATATGCCGGGTAACTCCCATAATCATGGAGTTGCCCATACAACTATGACAACTGTATTGAAGAAAGGAAAATTAAACCAGGGATGAAGGCGGTGAAATTACTGGACGATTCAGACTTTGGACATTTCATGTGCTCAATCAAATTTGTTCGGCATCGGTGCGTGCTACCTGTTAGCAAGTGCACACACACTGTACGACAGCTCAAAATTGATCATGCTACATACATGTACATGTATAGTGGTACATGTACAAATGTAGTTCATTTTTGTGGGAGCAGATTTTGCATCGAATCCTTTGCAGACTGACTAATGAGGTAACTAAAACTTTGACCAGCAAGTGCTCAGTTGCAATCATTGACACACCCACATGACCCATGACAAGTGACAAATTGCAGCTGTGGATGATGAGTTGTGATCTATGGCTGTACCTAATTGGAGAAATGCACTTTTGTATAGTGTACGACCATGGGCGTCGCCAGGATTTTTTCCAGAGGGGGGCAAAACATATCTTTTCCAAATTTTTTTTGTATTTCTCAACATATTCTCGATTTATCATTTTTAGATGGGGGCAGGGACATTTTGCCCCTCCCCCACCCATTAAATTTACACCACAATGACTTCACGCCTCTTTTCCTTTCCTTTTCCTTTTTTTTTTTCTTTTTTTGTTTGTTTTTGCTTTTCCAGGGGGGAGCAAGTGCCCCCCCTTGCCCCCCCCCCCCCTCAGGACGCCCATGTGTACGACTGCTACATTAGGACTGTAGGTGTATAGTGGGGAAGTGTTTCTCGTGTCATTTTAGCCACTTACATTTGTGATAGAATGACTTCTCAGGAAAATGGACTTTGTACGGTAGCAACACTGAAATGCATCTTTGAATGTCTTTTTGTCATAATGGTACGTATCAAATGTAGCCCCCCCCCCCCAATCTATTATTAAATGTAAACATCTTTAAAACACACATATGTACAAAACAAGCACAGAACACCAGGAGAGATGGTCCCCCCCCAAAAAAAAAGGGGAGAAAACAAATAAGAAACATGTGACATGTATTTAAGTGAGAGGTTTGCGGTAACACCATGTGGAAATAGGCCTATCTCTTCTGCGAGTATGTGTGGTTCTGAAGAGAAACTGTTGGGTTAAAGGGAATGTACATCATTGGCTTTTGCTGTAATTTTCAGAATTGAACTATTTGATGGGTTAGTACATTTTGTATAATAGACCAAATATTGTTGCACTGACATGTTTGAAGTTTTGTGTTCGAAAATGCTGGAAAACCAAGAAAAACAAAAATGTTCAAGCGGTCTGGTTCCCTGGCTCCACTTCAGTTGAAATAGATCAATATTTATAGATGCCAGAAAATTGTAAGATGAGGGAACCAGTCTAGCTGGCCTGCACCCGTTCATGAACATGTAACCAATAGCAAACAAAATTTGGACTTAAAAAATGGTAAATCTGGCTCAGTAGTTAAAAAATAGTTGGGTTTTTCCAACGGTGGCCGGCCAACCACAAAAATACTATTTTCTTGAAAATGACTTAATGCCATAATTTTACAGGATGCTTTATACTGTCATTTACCAACATCCTAGTGAAGTATTTCGTAAAAACTTGGTAGTTTTATTTTTCGATGTTTGTAAATGTTGTATATTCCCTTTAACTTGACGTTTCGAACAGTATGCTCTGTTCATTTTCTCCTGATGACGAACAGAGCATACTGTTCCAAACGTCGAGTTAACCCAACAGGTTCTCTTCAGAACCACACATACTCAAAAAAGGGATATTTCCACATGGTGTTACCGCAAACCTCTCACTTATTGATCTTTCCACCATGCAAACCTTCATGTCTCATGTGACATGTAATTTATTCTCCCAACGTTGCTACTCAGAGACAAAGGAGTGAAATCGTGAAAAGTTGCCGACAAAAATATTGAATACAAAGTTAATATTTAAAAATACTAGTGTACACAGTATAGGCACTGGATGATTGACACCAGCACATTGATCATGTTAATTGTTGACCCATTTTTTGTTGTTGACATTTGAGGTGGGACTGTTTTCCAATTCAATAAGTGAAACATTCTGGCGCCACTGTCATATGAAAATCAGACTCGTATGAAAATCGGACTCTTTTTCCCTTTTATTGGTTAAATCCTCTCACGAGACCGGTCCCCCTCCTAATTATCTATGCATGAGCATGCGCAATATCACCAATGAGTCCGTATTTCATAAAACCTAAATTCATGCTACACCGCGTTGTCCAACTGAGAAGTGAAATTGCGGATTTCGTTTTTTAGTTTCTAAGCCATCTGTCAGTTGAAGTGTACGTTTATGTTTAACCTCACAGAAATGGGTTGAACTCATAGAGCTATATTAAATTACTAGAGCGCTAACTTCGTGTACAAAGTAATGCCTGCTGGGCGCATCCATGTTTGTGCACAAACCTATGGAGACCTAGAAATTTTGTACGGCTATATATGTACATGTATATGCGTTTGTATTCCATACCGGTGCGTTATCAAAGCCAATACGCCCAAAACTGAAACGCACGATCAGCAAATGAGCGTTTCATTTTGCTCTACGCAAACAGCGCAACGCGTGCGCGTATTCACGGCAGATGCTTTTTGCCGTCACATTTTTTTGAACCGTCAATGATGCACTTAAGTTGTTTGCGTATTTTCTACTTGCGCGTTGCATGTAGAGTACACTTTCAAAATTCAATCCATCTAATTTCGTTATGCTCTACAAACACGCACATGAATTCAAAATGTCTGCGCCCAGGACGGCTTCAAAGCATCTTCTCGCGCAGAATGACGAGTTAGCACTCTAGTAATTTAAAGATAGCTCTATGGTTGAACTATACCCTATTAACCCTAAAGGGGCTGGGGGGGGGCGGAATCCGCCCCCCCCCCCTCCACATTTTCCGCGATAGCTTCTAAAAGAAATTTTTTCGCGACCCGAGCTGTTATGACTTTTTAGCCTCGAGCTTTGCGCATCTTTTGATACCAAAAACATAAAAATCGGACCACGGGTTGGCACGAAGCGAAACATTTTCCGGCGCTATGCGTCGTGAAAACTGAATTTTCGCATATACCTCGTGTACACCGAGCAGAATTGCCATTTAGACATATGAATAATTAATTAGCCATAATTCCAAAACCCTTTGACCTATAGTCATGAAATTTCTTGGGCATGTTGAGGAAGAGTTGCTCTATGCATGTGCTGAGTTTCAAAATTTTTCGTCACTCGATGGCCGAGATCTGAGGGGGGCGGAATCTGCCCCCCCCCCCCTCCCCGGCTGAGAGATGGTCAAAATAACCCGGCCCCTTTAGGGTTAAAGATTAGCTTCTTAGGTTGCAGAGTTTACCTTTCAGTGACTTTTCTCATTGTACAATACCCAGATCATTGTCTAAATTGGGCAAGCTCTGTGACTGTATGATATGGGTCAGTCTATAGATTTTGGATCCACTTCTTTCCCTGTCCCCGTTACATCTGACATCTATGATTTTGTAATTCTTATGCACTCCTTAATGTAGTCTTCCGCAAGAGTGAAGCAAGCGACCTACCCAACAAATACAAATTAATTTTTGAAGTTGTTTTTTATCGCTCTGGCTTTCAAGCCAAACAGGGGGAATATTGCGTATTCCTAGGCATGTCGGCGTGTGTGTGAGAGTGTGTGTTCCATTTCACTGTAAAAGTTCAGTCATCAATCCCAACCAAACTTGAAAGGTGGTCTGTGAAGGGAAGGCTAACGTCAAAACAATCTTTCCAATATGGATATTTACGAGGTCTCTGGAGTCTTTCCAATATGGATATTTACGAGGTCTCTGCAGAGATCATCACTCTAACATACACTGTAGGTATGTTAGTCCAGTGTCTCACTGAAACTCCCCATTCAACCCAAACTCCCCATTCAACTTAGAACTGATACCTACTGGATGGACTGCCGATTGTCCTTTAAACTGCCTGTATACAAACTGCCAGCATGCCAGGGGGATCGCGCAAGTGTTACTTGCAATTTATTTTTATATATTTTACTCCAGCTCTCAGAAAGTACTGAGTATACAGTGCTATAAATGTTTGTCGTTGATCATATATACTGTATGCAGTGATAAAAATTACATAAAAGTATTAATAAAATTCCAGTAATAAAAATGTAAATCTGTTTTAATTGATTTTCTTCTTTTTTTCCCCTTCCTTTTTTTTTCTTTCCAGCGCCAATCCGTAAGCCTGTATCACCTCCCAAACCCTTATGGCGGGATTCTCGCTCAGACTCCATCCCCCACAAGCAGCGACGCTTCACCACATCCCTCAGGAGCAGCAGTGCCAACCAGGACTCCTACGTCAGCAAGCGAGCCCCTTTTGCTGGTCAGTTTTGGGGGATCAAGTTATAGAATCAAGTTTAGGCCTAGCGTCCCTATTCATTTACTCAGCACACTAGGGAAGAGGAGATTTATCTCTCTTCACAAAAAAAACCCCCAGATTAATTGTTCTTAACCACAAGCCATTAATCATGCATTTTATTCGTTTCCAATATTATAATTAACATGTTCAAAATCCAGAAACTAATGTTCAACACCTACATGTACATGTAACCGGGTGACGTTTCAGCTGACGTGGATAACACATTTTCGAAAAAACATTGAAAAGCCATGCACAACCTTTTAAACACGACAAAAAATAGTGGACTAGACTAGTCCAACTGTCCTTGTTCAAGCTTAGTTAGTTAAACTATGGTGCACTAGCTGTAGAGTTCCGAACTTGCTCTATAATTGCACTTCAGTTTTCCAAACAACAATATTCCTTTATGACAAGCAGTTTAGGGCTGTCCCAACTATACCAAATATTTGAATATTTGATCATCAACCGAATATTCAAATAGCTAAAGAGAAAACTATGCACTTGCACACTTGACTATGGAGTCATGTTTAATAATTGTAAAGTTGTATTTTTATTATCAGATGATACTTTCTGTCAGGCCGTAACTTTCTTTTTGACAACTATTTATTGGTCTGGGTAAAGTCCACGCACAGTTATACAGTACAAGTTTACTGCAATTGCAAAACAATCTGGCGCCCATAATAGCCATCACTGCATGAAATTGTAACTGGCGTACTTTGTATGCAACTTTTGACCAGTGAGGAAGGCAACTTCAGCCGGCGTGTAACTTAATTGGCAAGTTTCAAATATTCAAATATTTGGTCAAGTGCAGTTCCGAATAACCGAATTCTAAATTATTCAAAAATAGACAGCCCTATAAGCAGTTACCACTACCCTCATTTGTACCAAGTTATAGACCATAAACTATTATGGGCCCAAGACGTTAGTGATCGATAGTGGACGGAGCAAAGTGCGCCCTCTAATGGCACAACAATTAGACCAGTGGGCCTGCGGTTTAAGTTTTTCTTTATTTTTTCCCTTGGCTTTCCTAGGGAACCAATCAGCGGTCGAAAAATGGTTCAATAGCTCGCCCAACGGTTGTAAACATATAGGTTATATACGTGCGGTGACCCAGCATCAAATTCGCTTTCCTAGGGAACCAATCAGCGATCGCGAAATATGGTTCAATGGCTCGCCCGACGTTTTTTTAACATTTGCAACGCAGTGATGCCCCCGTGCGAGAGCACAACTACTGCGGCAAATGGGAACTGCCGTTTTGTTCGAATTTATACAGACGGTCCTATTTTTTGGCCATGCCCCAATAAGACGTTAGTGCGAAAACGTCAAAAATCCATTATGCAAGGGCGCTACAGAACATTGCAACTATCGCTCTTGATCACTGACGTCTTGGGCCAAGACTAACCATAAACAAGTTCTTTTCAAATGGTCAATTCATCTCATGATCATAACTCTCTCTGTATTTTTTCACAGCCAAGAGACTCCATGCACTCAATGTGGAGAGACAGATGATGACTGGCACGTACCCCCGAGTGGAGAACGGTCGGACGGTAGCAGCACCAGAGTATGACCCCTTCGCTGACCCTCATCTCACAGATTACTTTGCCAGGAAGTTCTCAATTGGTTTACCTAGACCACCGTCAGGGGTAGGTTTTGTTTTTAGAAACCGTTCGCCGCAAAATACAGTAGATTTACATACATTCAAAGTAGTTGTACACATTATGAGGTGCTTTTTGAGATGTTACTGAGTAGTATATTCTGACTATTCTCATAAGGCCAAGTGAAAAAATAAACCAGTTTCTCGTTGTTCCTCCCCTCCCCCCCCCCCCCCCAAATAACTATTCATTAATACCTGCGACAGTTGTCCCATTCATATTGGTGGAAAGCCTTTCACATGGGTTGTATTAAACGCTTGTAAAACCGCTGCATTCTGCGCCACATAGCACAGTATGCACCCCACATGCTACAATCTCCTTATAAGGAGATATTCAGCACTATGCTACGAGGCACATACCATAGACGTGGCCAGAGGGGTATTTCACAAAACATAAAGCCAAAATTGTTGAACAAAATCGTTGGAATTTTGTCAATTTTGGAGTTGTTTTGACTTTTTGCCTGGAAATCTATTGATGACAAGGAAGAAATATGAGCTTGGCTGGTTTTTAACGGAGCGCTGTGGTCCAATGGTTACGGTGTTCGACTCACTTGCTGCTGTATGTGGGTGCGAAACAGGACGGGGAACATGGTGCATGTGTTCTTTGGCCAGACACTTTACTACAATTGCCTCTCTCCACCCAGGAGTATAAATGGGTACCTGTGAAGGTAGATACCAGATTGCGCTGATCTTGAGCTGCTGCAGAAGCTGGTCTCATGGCCTGATGAACAGGGGTAATAATTGTGAAGCGCTTTGAGACCTTTGGTATAAAGCGCTATATAAGCACTATATATTATTATTATTATTATTATTATTATTAAACAGGTACATTTAAAACTTACTAGGGGTCTGGTCATGTATAATGTCCTTCACCTTAGGCTCGGACCATTATCCGCGACTAATCCCCTAGCTGGTTTTAAATGTACTATTTAAAAACCGGCCAAGCTTTTATTTATTCCATTATCAAACAACATTTGGTCATAAAAAAAGTTATCATTACTGTGTGTATCACCCCTTGTATGTTGCCACCTTGCTTATTTATCCTTCCTCCCCATAATTTTTTTCCACAAAGGCAAAGAGACGTCCAGCTAGCGCCAATGGTCGGACCAGCAGCACATGGAACGGCGGCCGGCACTCAGCAGCGTCAGAATGCATGTACAGGGTAACTGTGAAGACCGGCGACAAGAAAAACTGTGGCACTGCGGCAAATGTAAGCCATCTGAGTGTTGGTCTTTCTGTCTGTCTGTCTGTCTGTCCGTAGGGCTGTACATTCAGAGCCAATTTCAAGCAGCTACAGGGTACAACGTTGAGAAGGATTTGAAAACAGAATGTTCCAATGAACCATTTAGCCAGTTAGCACTCTTTAACATTGTACTACACTGTACTTGCTCCTTGATAAATTTATCAAACCGTAGAGTGCTTGGGCGGGCTGGGGCATTACAAGGAGTAACAGGCAGGGCGCATTTTGGTGGTACAGGAGCTAAAGAGTTAACCAAAAAAGGATGAAGAATGGATCCAGTTGTTGACTGACAATACCTAAATTACAAGTTGAACTTACAATGTACCTCCTGGTACATTTCTGCCAACAGAAGGGGAAAGTTTCTCAATGAGGAGGGAAACAGCACATTTGTCTTTAAAAAGGGGTATTCAGAAGTGGGTGGGAAAAGGGACATTTTGACAAATTGCCCCTTCGGATGCCAGTGATATTTAGCTGCGGATAGCAATGCTTCAAGGTCTCATGTCTCTCTGTTAGTCCGTATGTTAGTTAGTTAGTTAGTTAGTGCATGTAGTAAGTAACAAACATTGACATTGATATTGACAAATTGGGGAACCGCCAACATAGGGCTGGTAAGCTTAGTTTTGGTAGAGCACCAGAACGGTAATCTGGAGGTCGCTGGTTTAAACCTCCGCTCCTGTTAATTTTTTTGTTCAACTTTCAATAATTTTAATGGCCATTTCGATGGTTCTTTCTTGCCATTTTATTATTCTACTCTTTGACAAATTCTATTTCTCTTATATATATTGAGAACGTAAAAAAAATGTACAAACGTGATAGCTGAGTTTCTTTTTTTTGCTCACACAGGTCTTCATTCAGCTGAAGGGCAGCAAGGGCAAGACAGCCAAGCGGAAACTCAGCAAGAAATCTGCCAAGACTCAGTCAGGCTTCATGAAGATCAAGTACAGCCGCAACACTTCCAAGGTCTTCAAACTCAAGATGCAGGACGTCGGGGAGCTACAGACATTGACGGTTGAGGTGAGGGGTTGGTTTGTTGACCAAGAAATTTGATTTTTAAATTTTTTTAATGAATTTACAGTAGGGGGCAATAACATACCAGTAACCTTGAATTTTGTGACGATGTTTGACCATCCTTTTGACCGGAAAATTTGCCATTTTTTGTGTGGTAATCAACCAGTTGTTCTCACTGTAACAGAGTTGTATTGCTATGTATAGCCCGGCTATTGGTAACCTGTGATGAGACCATATCATGTGGTCTGGGCCAAATTTCACGGTGCTGCTAAGCACAAAAATTTGCTTAGCGCAAAAAAAGTCTGGCTTATAAAAGCAGGTTACCAGCCAAAACTCCATGTGATTTTCATGCTAAGCAAACAACAGCTCAATACTAATCACGAGCAATATACACAAGGTGAAGTTTGCTTTTATAAGCCAGATTTTTTATGCTTAGCCCCTGGTTCAAAATAGTCTACTAGAGTGGTCCACCCCCTTCTGTGTTTGAGTGAGGCTAATCGACCTACTAGTGTTATCTTTAGATGGAACCGAAACTTGGTCCTACTGGTAGAATTGAAAGAGATTAGTTGTGGAGAGTGTCACACCAGTGCCATTGGAGACTTTTGAGACGTTGGTGGCAGCAAACACACCGGGCATGTTTTCATTGTTTGCGTCATATTGAGCGTGTGCGCTTTAGCTTAAACATGACGTAAACAATTGAAAAGGAAAGGTATGTTTGCTGCCACCAACATCCCTCCTCAATTGTTGTCGAGGTGTACATCGTTGTAAAATTTCACTTGCCACCCCTACTATAAATAATGAAATCATCTTCGCGTAAAGTTCCCGTCGGACGCAAACTAGCCAATCTCGCTGAACTGCATTCGTCAGAAGTCCAGAATTTCACAATCCCAAGCGTTGCATCACAGTGTATTGTTATAGCCGGCCATGGGTTTTGTTCAGGATCGTCCTACAGTGAAAAGCAAGGGAAGGCTGAACAAATTATTTTATTTCTCTCGCAAAATGAGTATTTTCTCATTCTTATATATACATCTTGCCTTGACCATGTTGACAGCATGACGGCCTAGAGAAGCCGGACAGTTGGTACCTAGAGGAGGTGGAAGTCACCAACCTATCCAGCAAGCAGACGTGGCTGTTCCACTGCGGGCAGTGGCTGTCACTGTTTGAGACAGATTGCCAACTCAGGAGAGTGCTGAAAGCTCTGGATCCCAAGAAACACGGCAAGACAGGTATGGATTGGGCTAGGCTGGCATGGTTATTTTTTTTTCCTAGGAGGGATGGGGCCAAGCCAAGCATAAGTCAGTTTTTCCTTTGAATCATTGCAAGACACTAAGGTTCTCGTTTTCTTTCTTCCCTTAAATTAAAATCATCTCAATGATAACTTTAGAGAAGAAAAATAGTCGATGAAAGTGAGCAGCGACGACGTGGTTTTGAATCAGGGCTCTTTGTATCCATAGCTCATCTCGCTATCCACTAGGCTATTGTGGTAGCTCGACTATGGCCTTACGTTAAAATGTTTTATGTAACTGGTTGACTTAATAACAACAATGCTCTTGATATCATTGTTCTATCTTTATATCATCTTGCCCTATCGAAACTACTGAATTATTCATGACTTGGCCCAAACCCTCCTGGCATGCCTGGGAATAAAAATTACACAAAATTGCATTTTATCTCTTTATCCCTCACAGAGTATGAAGAAGTCACTGTTACCGTGATGTGAAAGTGATGATTCCAACTTCTACATCACAATGTTTGGCATGCAGGGTACCAGTAAGAAGATGCACTCAAAACTTTCTCTCTTTCTTGATCACAGAGTATGAAGTTGTCACGATTACCGGTGATGTGAAGGGTGCCGGCAGTGATTCCAGTGTCTACATCACGTTGTTTGGCATGCAGGGTACCAGTAAGAAGATGCACTCAAATATTTCTCTCTTTCTTGTTCACAGAGTATGAAAGTGGTCAAGGTTACCGGTGAAGTGAAAGGTGCCAGAAGTGACTCAAGCATCTTCACCACGCTGTTTGGGATGCGGAGTACCAGCAAGAAGATGCCTCTCAAACTTGTCCCTCTTTCTTGTTCACAGAGTATGAAGTAGTCATGGTTAACAGTGACATGAAGGGTGCTGGCAGTGATTCCAGCATCTACATCACGCTGTTTGGCATGCAGGGTACCAGTGAGAAGATGTTCTCAAAACTTTCTCTCTTCCTTGATCACAGAGTATGAAGTTGTCACGATTACCGGTGATGTGAAGGGTGCCGGCAGTGATTCCAGTGTCTACATCACGCTGTTTAGCATGCAGGGTACCAGTAAGAAGATGCACTCAAATATTTTTCTCTTTCTTGATCACAGAGTATGAAGTCACGATTACCGGTGACGTGAAGGGTGCCGGCAGTGATTCCAGTGTTTACATCACGCTGTTTAGCATGCAGGGTACCAGTGAGAAGATGCACTCAAATCTTTTTTCTCTTTCTTGAACACAGAGTATGAAGTTGTCACGATTACCGGTGACGTGAAGGGTGCCGGCAGTGATTCCAACTTCTACATCACAATGTTTGGCATGCAGGGTACCAGTAAGAAGATGCACACAAAACTTTCTCTCTTTCTTGATCACAGAGTATGAAGTTGTCACGATTACCGGTGACGTGAAGGGTGCCGGCAGTGATTCCAGCGTCTACATCACGCTGTTTGGCATGCGGGGTACCAGCAAGAAGATGCCACTCAAGCCTCGGCAAGGCGTGGATCCATTCGAGAGAGGCAACAGCGACATCTTCACCTTCAAGTGCAATAACGTAGGACCACTCAGGAAAATCAGGTAAAATAGATGACATTTACTTTGTTTCTTGAGCTTACTTGCATTTTTATCCCCCGCTTTCAAGCCAGACAGGGGGATATTTCGATCGCGTATTCCTTCTGGTGTGGGTTCCATTTCACTGTAAAGTTCAGTCATCAATATCAACCAAACTTGAAAGTTGGTCTGTGGAGAGAAGGCCGATGTCAAAAAAATCCTTTCCAATATGGATGTTTACGAGGACTCTGGAGAGCTCAACCCAGTATTACGAAGGACTCTGACATATGTTAGTCTGGTGTCTCACCCAACTCTCCATTCAACCCAAACTCCCCATTCAACTGAGAACTGGTACCTGCCGGGCAGACAATCAAGGCCGTCACTGAAAATTGTCCTCACTAAGTGCCTGTACATGTATACAAACAAGTTTTATTTGCAGTATTTTTTGTCTTTAGCGTCATATGGGCTCCCTGCACAAATACTCTTCAAGGGCAAGAAAAGGAGAGTTTGGGGAGACCTTGACTGGCTCCCCGGTCCATACATTGCGTATTTGGAATGATCCAAAGATAATGGGGGCGGGGATTAGTCTGGGAGACTATCGCAAGTTTAATTCGAACGTATTCGCGAGCTGACAATGCATGACGCTCACATGAAGATGCTGTAGCTAGTAGCTTTGGCACATTCAGGAAGTTCTGCATACTTCGCGCGTGAACCAGTACATTACAGTACGCACACGCTGTGTGTCCCGTCCACATGGCTCTCAAAGTGGTAAAAACGCACCCGCTTTTGTTGGCGCACGGAGGCCATACTGATGACCATTTAATTTTTCCCCACCAAGGCAAATTTTAAAACCTTGAGTGCAGACCAAGTATTAAAAGTACAGTGGAACGCCGCTATAACGAACATCGCGGGATGCACAGAAATTGTTCATAAAGCCATTTTAAGCTGCCAGTGCAGCTCTGGTACTCACTTTTTAATAAATTGCGCCCTTCAGAACTTCACCCTGTTTGCCCTGGTAGTTACTGAAAGACAACTTTGAAAGCGTGCTGACTGTTGAATTATGTAATTACATCGTGTTTGAGCTTACTGCCGACGGCAATAAGTGACTTTCCCCTTCTGTTCCTTGGGGAAATAATAGCCACTTGTCGCTCTTCTGTTGACATTTTTCAACAACAATGTTTCGTGCATTTTGTACACAAAAATCGGGAGCCAAGGACGAGGTTCAGTTAAGCTGAATGTTCGGTATAGCGGTGTTCGCTATGGGGAGGTTCTACCATAAAAGGCCTGTATTAATACTCAAGCCGTTGAACTGAGTGTTTGTCATCCAAGTGCCATTCCACCAACTCATTTTTTTTTATTTTTGTTTTTAAGCCTGTCAAAACAGTAAAACTGTTTAAGGTCGCAATACTGGCAACCAAAAGTGGGACATTAGAGATCTGAAGCAAAATGAATGCTAACATTAAACTTCATTTAATTTTCTCCAAAACTGCAGGCAGCTTGATAATATCATTAACATATATTGTGACCTTTCAAGTATATTAAAAAAAGTGAAACTGCATGTAGTTCTGGAATGCGCTATTATTCTCAGCTTTTGGACTTAAAATCACAACAAATGAACATTTTGCTCTGCGTGATGAGCTTTCCTAAATACAGAAACGCATATGGTGAAATTAATACGGCGTTTCATATTTTTTTTTTTAATTGCTGGAATTGGTTGCATTATTTTCTTTATCCAGGATTGAGCATGACAATACCGGCTTTGCCCCGGGCTGGTTTCTAGACCGCGTGGTCGTGACTGACCTCAGCAACCCCAAGAAGGGCAAGTATTACTTCCCCTGCGGTCAGTGGCTGGCAAAGGGCGAAGGTGACGGCTTGATCTGCCGAGATCTGATGGGCAGCAGGGATCCACTGGCTGTCAGAAAATGTAAGAAGAATCCAATAATTTGTCGTGTGCCTGGCATAAGGGCGTATGCGCGCACGTCCTTCCGTCTGTGCGTATGCCTAATCACTAAAACGTTCCCAGCAAAAGGGCATATGCAGATAACTGCCTCTATTTTAATGAATTTTTATTATTTGCATTAGAAATTAACACAAGTTGTTTCAAAACTTATGATTCATACGTGTGACAAATGTAAAATTCTTACAATTTATGATACGCATGGAAGAACATTGGATTCACTATACGCGTGGGGGAACATTGAAGCCTTTCAATGCAATTTTCTAGAAAGTGATTTTGCGTCAGAGTGCTCATATGCCCTTCTGCCGGACACCCAATAAAGTTCTTTTTGAAGTCTAAATAACGTGTTTAATTTCCAACAATATGTCAATTGACCGATTGTCGGAAATCACCTACATTTCTTGATTTCTTCTAAATGAGAGCAAGCTAGGCGGAATTATTTCACGGGGTGTTTAGTACCAGAAAGATCTTTTACCAATGTAAGGTTTTGGATAAAAATTTGGTTGGCTACTTTTGGGATAGATGCAAATGGTCCTACCGGTATGTGTCTTAAAAACCATCAATTTGTCTCTTTAACTTTTTTTATTTTGCTTACAGCACACAAGTACAAAGTTCACATATTTACGGGTAACACGCGTGGCGCGGGGACCGACGCAAACGTTTTCGTCACAATATTCGGCGAGTCAGGTGAAGACTGCGGCGAGAAAAAGCTGACAAGCTCCAAAAACAACTTTGAGAGGGGCAGGTAAGTGGAAACAGATTAAACAAGTTGTTTGAAATATTTCCAATGAAGTGTACAATTTCTTGACTGCGAACCCTTTGGTTGCACATTTGAGCAGAGTACTTTCTTTTACTACACCTCATAAATACTCATGATCAAATTGGAGTACGTCGTTGGCCAATGCCACCGCACGTCTGGGAAGTGAAAATGATACGTGCCCAGGTGACGTCATCCCGGTGAGTATCCAGCTCGATACCGAGTGGTATTTTTTTCTGGTATCACCAAAAATTCCCTCTGTAACCCGCCTCGTAGATGAGTAGTCTATGGCCTGTAATCTTTACGGAACCAGTCTGTTATTGTAGTCTTTATAACTACTGCAGTAAATTCACATTAAAGAGTGTCGGCACCAGACTATTTCAACCCTGTTGCCATGACACACGGAACTTTGCAGCATTGGCATCAACGAGTATGAGTAACGTTACTGGATTTTGGTCACTGAATGACAAAGAACTTGAATATCTAAAAAAGCAGTGAGGCTCCTATAAAATATTTATGAGGTGTGGTCAAACAAATATAGCATGGTTTATTTTTGGAAAATAGTTTGAATTACTGGTTCCTTGTTGTAGGTCAGCTTGACGACCTCCCTCCTCTTCATTTCCAAGTACAAGTTGTTCAACAAACACTAATACCAAAAATTAAATGATAATGCAGCAGGGAATTAAGTATAGAAAAATAGACAATTGACCTATCGCGGTAGAATCGTGTCAACGCAGCTTGTGAAATTACATGATATACAAATGGATGCGGAACACGCAAAATCTGATACAAACAAAACTTAACGTACAAAACATCCATAGGGTTGTTTAAGGGGCGTTTCTAACTCACAAACCGCGATAGGTCAATTTGGGTCTGAAAGCCTGTTCAACGCGTCGTGTGTTATTAATACAAAGAATGTGTTATATGGTTTAGACAACAGAGTGTTAGCATGGGGCAGATGCTGCTGGGTTGCTCTAAGTGGGGAAAAGGGGGAGTCGGGATTAATCCTGCTATCAAATTGCTACGAAAATGCCAATTGGTGTGATTATTTTTTAACCATTTTTTGTGCTTGTTGTATGTGTGTTGCTATAGAGAGGATGTATTTGTCATAGAAGCACAGGCCCTTGGTCCTCTAGAGAAGATACGCATCGGTCATGACAACTCAGGGCCTGGACCGGCATGGTTCCTGGACAAGGTACGTCAATGTGATTGTTGCGTGTTTGTGTGTTCTAAAGAGGATGTATTTGTCATAGAAGCACAGGCCCTTGGTCCTCTAGAGAAGATACGCATCGGTCATGACAACTCAGGGCCTGGACCGGCATGGTTCCTGGACAAGGTACGTCAATGTGATTGTTGCGTGTTTGTGTGTTCTAAAGAGGATGTATTTGTCATAGAAGCACAGGCCCTTGGTCCTCTAGAGAAGATACGCATCGGTCATGACAACTCAGGGCCCGGACCGGCATGGTTCCTGGACAAGGTACGTCATTGTGATTGCTGCGTGTTTGTATGATCTAGAGAGGATGTATTTGTCATAGAAGCACAGGCCCTTGGTCCTCTAGAGAAGATACGCATCGGTCATGACAACTCAGGGCCCGGACCGGCATGGTTCCTGGACAAGGTACGTCATTGTGATTGCTGCGTGTTTGTATGATCTAGAGAGGATGTATTTGTCATAGAAGCACAGGCCCTTGGTCCTCTAGAGAAGATACGCATCGGTCATGACAACTCAGGGCCCGGACCGGCATGGTTCCTGGACAATGTACGTCAATGTGATTGTTGTCATTGAACATCAGGAATTTACTACGTTTTGCCATTCGGTCATTCTTAAAATGTGGTGTGTGAATTTTTCCTGTACCTGTTGTTACCTGGACTTCAATTGATTGTTTTATTTGTTTGGTTGGTAGTTTGCTTTTCATCACAGTTGACCGTATTGTTAAAAGGGTGCATCAGAATTATACAAACATAGATGTCAGATGAAACAGAGACAGTGAAAATGTTGACCTCAAAATTTAAAGAATTATCCACATGTGTTAAGTGAAACTGCCAAATCAGGACTTTTGTGTCCGTACTATCGACCAATATTTGAAATCAATGCTAGTAAAGGGAAATGTTTTACTGTTATCATTCAGGTCATCATTGATGACGTTGAGATGGGAACGACGTACGAGTTTCCCTGCAAACGCTGGCTGGCCAAGAACGAAGACGATGGCAAGATTACAAGAGAGCTGTACTGTGGAGACAAGGCAGGGAAAGGATCGGAAAAAGGTAGAGAAAGAGTTGAGGAACAAGTGTGGTTTGGGAAGGGAACTAAGACCCCCCCCCTCTCTTCAAAAATCACCATCAAGCCCATTACATTTGAGAAGATTAGCTGATTAATTATGGAAGACAACCGCATCTTGACCTCAAGATTTAGACCAATCAGCGGGCGCTTTCTGTATCAGGTCTTTGGTCATTCACCCATTTCGTGTCATAGACATGGATAAAAAAAGCTGTGTCACGTGCTCTGTATCATGTTACACAATATATAACAAAACACTGCATTTGAATTGACCAATCAAACCATTAGTCCTGATTTTGGAACGAAAGGACGTCACGATTGGGTAAAGGCGAATCTCTGATTGGCTTGCGCGCGGCTTGCATTTGAGACATATCAGACGTTATAACTGAGACTTGGCTAGGCTCGGTAAATAACGGGTGATACTCAGACTACCCTCAAGAAGGTTATGTGTAAAGATTACTGTCCGTGCTATTTTTGAGTTTCCCCCTGAAAAGTACCAGTGTTGTATTCGCGTCCTGTCACAAGTCCTTTCACAAGTCCAGTCACAAGTAGCGTAATTTTCGGAATATAGGCCGCGCAGAGTATAAGCCGCAGCACGCAAAAATCTGCAAATTAAGATTTGAAGTCGGCGTATTAGGCACAACGGCATATAAGCCAAACCAGCCGCAGCGGTTTCAATTTTGTAAGGCCTCCAAATTCTGAAGTCAAAAGGCCCTGGACCATTTTCACAACGAATGCTATAAAAAGGGCCACAAAAGTTATATCAAAACAATTACGGTCGATTCCTCTTTTTTATAAAAAGAAATTATGGAATACACCATGTGTCATCTGACTGGAGCGCTACAGTTAAATCTTGCTTTGTGGCAATAGTTGCTGAGTGGTTTTGTCCTAAGAATAAACAGGACCTTTTTCACAACAGAACTTATCTAATTGTTGTGAATACTATAAACGCGTAGTAACGACTTTCTTCAAAAACAGTCAACATAACACAATGCAGACATTTTTATGGACGTATCAATTAATTTCGTAAGGGGTGATTTAGCGCCTGTTTTGGGTTTCACATCGTTTCTTAAATAATTACCAGAAAAAAAACTATATTGTGATGTTTAACAACTGATTGTCGAATAAAGAAATGCCCAAAATTACTCTTTCTGGCATGCTGTCATTTTGAAGAAAAACAATAAAAGAAGGCTATTTCCAAAGATGAGTTAATAGACGTTTTGTTGGAAATTTCTGTATAGTTGTTTTTTATTTTGCGAATACGTGAATGGGTGCGTGCAAGTGTTGACACGATGCACACGTGCGTGTGGTTGTTGTTATTCGTTCATTCAGTGCGTGACATCACCTAGCTGCATTCAACTCAATGAGAATGTGTCCTAGATGCTGATTTCAGATGTCATTGAAAACATGACTCTGCAACTTTTGAATTGAAATCGAAATCCTAGAATATTGTGTTCTTTAGAATATACAGCATTCACAGAGCTAAAGGTTCATCTGGTTAGTTGTTAAGCGCCTGTCTTTAGATTTGGAGCACTTTTGTTGCTTCCTACGGAAGACAAAGCACAAATGACAAATGATGTACTCTATAAGGGAAGCCACCAGATTTTGCCACACTTACTATAATCAAAATTTTGTTCCAGGAATTCCCTACGAAGTTCGCATCACCACCAGCGACAAGCGCGGGGCTGGAACCGACGCAAGAGTCTACATCGTCATGCACGGCGGCAAAAAGGGCGAGGAGACTAGCGGCAAGATCTGGTTGGACGACGGGAAGTTTGAACGTGGCCGGACGGACGTCTGCAGCGTTGAGATCGGAACCATACTGAGCCCTCTATCCAGAATAGACATTGGACATGATAACGCTGGGGTGGGCGCAGGCTGGCATTTGGAGAAGGTAAACAAACGTTCCACGAAAATTATGCTTTAGGTGTCGTTGTAAAGGCCCTGTTTTGTCGTCAAGTCCTCACAATTCATCACACATCCTCACAAGTGCAAGTCCTCACAAGTCCTCACAAAACCTCACAAGTCCTCACTAGTCCTAACAAATCCTAACAAATCCTCACAAGTCCTCACAAATCCTCACAAATCCATTATCCATTAAGTCCTCACAATTCCATCCGTCATCATCACAAGTCCTCACAAGTCCTCACAATTCCATCACAAGTCCATTACAAGTCCTCACAAGTCATCACAATTCCTCACACATCCTCACAAGTCCTCACTAGTCCTCACACGTCATCACAAGTCACAAGTCCTCACAAATCTTCACAAGTCCATCACAAATCCTTACATGTGCAATAAGTCCTCATAAGTCCAATCACAAGTCCTCATAAGTACAATCACAAGTCCTCATAAGTCCAATCACAAGTCCTTGTAAGTCCAACACAAGTCCTTACAAGTCCATCATAAGACCTCAAGTAACAAGCCATTTAAATGAACTCAGACAAAATCATTCCTTTTATATTGTACATCCCCATTACTTGTGACTGGACTTGTGAATAGACTTGTGATAGGCTTGACTACGTGTATAACACTGCAAAAAGGCCACTTTAAAAAAGTGTTACTATGCAACTCAAACATATTCATGAGTGCAAGGCGAATTGTGCAAATTATTACCCAAAAAAAAGCATTTCAGAGTTTACATTTGGAGAGGATTTTACAAAGTATTTGAATTAAATAAACAATTCTATGCGTTTGTTTGGGTTTTTTTGCGGTTACCAGGTTGTGATCGACTGCCCTGCTGCCGGCATTGAGCAGACCTTCCTATGCAATGACTGGCTGGCTGACGATGAGGGCGACAAACGCATAGAGAGGACGCTGACGGAAAACAAGTCCATGAGAAAAACCAAGAAACAAAGTGAGTTCAGAGGCATCGGGAGCATAGTTACTATGCAATGTCATGATGTTGTCATTGTTATCCATTTATGGTGATAAAACAGAAACATTTTCAACCTGTGGTTTGGCAAATTGCCTGGATAGGAGGGGTTAGCCAGATAATGTTACAGTGGGCTGAGTAAAAGATAAACAACAAAATCCTGGTAAGGAAAACACCCTGGTTCGTTAAAAGCAAAATCACCTCATGTTTTACTTACAGAGGAAGTCTGGAACGTCACAGTCTGCACCAGCGACGTGCCCAGCGCCGGCACGGACGCCAACGTCCTCTTCTGTCTCTACGGAGACCAGGGCAAGTCAGACGAGATCAGACTGGAGAACAAGAGCGACAACTTTGAGCGAGGGCAGCAGGACAGCTTCAAGATTGAGATGGTGCCCGTCGGCAAGCCCTACAAGATGAGGGTGTGGCATGATAACAAGGGCATGGCTGCTGGCTGGCATCTAGAAAAGGTAAAAGGGGTCACGGCTAATCGTTGTCTTGCTCCAAGATTGGAGTTGAATTTTGTTTTCCTGACGGAGCTGGTCGTTACGGATTTATTCATTTTTTTAGGTACTACGAAAGAGCTGCCAACTCTCCCTGATTCTGCAGAAAGTTCCCTGAAAATAAACCTATCTTTCCATGTTCTGATGAACAAATTTGACGATCTCCCCGATTATGGAAACTTTTTCCCAATTATGTTGAATGTAATTCTAAATATGTCCCTGATTGTTGTACAAAATCTCCCTGATTGCAAGATGCAAACGTTGGCAGCTAAACAAATTTGATCCATAAAAGTTTGCCTTATACATGTACATGTTGCTGCACATGAATTCATTTATGGTAGTGAAACCGAGGAATCCTCAAAAGCGCCCTAGGCACTGTTTGCTCGCAAGCCTGAAGAAACCTGTAGAGAGAAGACGATGAGCAGAAATTACAGTTTTAGAGGTGGGAGAAACCCCAGAATGATATTCTGGGGAAAAAACCCCAGAATGATATTCTGGGGAAAACCCACGGAATCAGGTACTGGTAAAGACTGAAAACCCAATCCACATGTGGACCAGGGCAGGAATCGAACCCTGGTCACAGCGGTGGAAGGCGAGGAAAGAACCCACTGCGCCAATTAACTCCCCAATATGAATATATGTCGTTGCATAGTCCACTTATATGCCAGGGGAGGTAAATTCAGCATCACTGAGCATTCAGAGCGAAATTCAAAAAGAGTTAAATGTATTCAACTTCAACAAATTTGTAGAGTGAAAAGTTGCCGGATGTTACAAATTTACATTGGCCGTAACTTTTATATCCTGTGTGAACTGGCAGTAAGGGCCCGTCTCAGTTCATATCTGGGACAAGTTCCGGACAAGTTCCAGACATTAAATCAGGTATAAGTTGCAGGATCCTGAATAACTTCCCCCCAATCTTTCCGCAATGAAGTTATCATTGGTGAGTCAAGCAGTTGCAAATGAAAGTTTCCCCAGAACATGTCTGGGAAAAATGCAGTGCGTCAGCCAGACAAAGCAACTAGTCTGAAACGGATATGAATTGACATGGGCCCTAATGACTAACACACATGTAATGCTTTGATAGACTTGGTCTGAATTAAAAGCCATCTTCACAGAGACCTGGTGAGCTTTCAGAAAGTTAGTTTCACAAGATTTGAATCCCACAGATTGACATCCAGCGGGTTTCCTCCAAGAAGTCCTTCACATTCCCCTGCAATCGCTGGCTGGCTAAGAGTGAGGATGACGGGGAGATTGTCCGAGAGATGCCAGCGACGGGAGACAGCATCAAGAAACCACTGCCTCGTAAGTTATATGCACACTGAACTTACGCCTCGAAACGTAGCCCGTTTGTCAAGGGGTTGTTAAGATACCGATAAGTATGCAATGTCACAAAAACAAACGATTCAACATTGTGCGCAGTGGAACGTCGCCTTACTGAACACGGCTATACCGAACATCAGCCTTGGCTCCCAATTTTTGTGTACAAAACGTACTGAACATTGTTGTTGACAAATGTCAACAGAAGAGCGACAAGTGGCTATTACTTCCCCAAGGAATAGAAGGGGAAAGCCACCTGTGTAAGCTCAAATACTGTGTAATAACATGATTTAATAGTTGCACGTATTCAAAGTCATCTTTCAGTTTTGCACATAAAAAATTAAAGAAAAGAGTTTTTGGTTCCAATTTTGACTTTTCTCCATACTGCTTAAAAAGGGTCCTCTCTGTGCTAACCTTAGTGGCACTATGTTTTGTTCATCAATTCGGCCCATTACCCAAAGGCCCACAATGTTTCCCCTTCCAAGTACTTTAGTAGAATATAAACAAAAAATATGTAAATCGTCTATGCAGTTGACTCCAAAAAAGGGTTTCAAAGTCATCACTACTAGGAGGTTGAACTCTTCTTTCTACTTTAAAAATAATAATAATAACAGACATCTCCCTTTTTATAAAAATATTAAACTTGAGTTAAAAACTTTAATATGCCTAGGTCATGGACATTTCACCATGTGTACCCGGAACCACATCGTTTACACTGTTTACACCAACCTTCCTCTGTTTCTGTGTTCCATTGACAGTTGTCAAATACAAGGTCTCGGTCCACACAGCGGACAAATTCGGTGCAGGGACAGACGCCAACGTCTTCTGTAACATCTTCGGTGAGCTGGGCGATACCGGCCAGAGGCCACTCTCTAAATCAGCCACCAACAAGAACAAGTTTGAACGAAAGAATGTAAGCTCACTATTCATGCTCTCATCTTATTTTCACTTTGTTTTGGTGGGAAAAAAAACAAATAATTTTCCCGTCATTTTCCTATCATTTTTCTGTGGCACAGACTAATATCTCATGAATGTCTCCCATGTTTAGACAAACATTTAAATTGAACAGTGTACAATGTATGGCACCTCAGTTTGAGGCATATGGGATCATTTGCGATTATCCCAAAAGTATTACCTTTAACCTGGCTTACAATGTATTATTATCAAAAAAGCTTACTGGTACTAAACATCCTGTGACATTATTCTGTCTGGCTTACTGTCATTTAGAGGAAGTCAGGAAATGTAGCTGATTAAATGATCGTTGGAAATAAAGAGTTTTTGTGATCAAAATGCTGTGCATGGTTTTCACTGCTTTTCTCGAAAAGTTTAATATCCACTGAGCTGAAACTTCAAGAGGTTAATAAAATATTGGGTTTAGCTATAGAAATCTGTCATTGGCATACGTTGCCTGAGTTTTGTAAAAATCTTTTTCAGATCTTTGAAGATGGAAAGGCCTCATTACTGTGCAACGTTGGGAAAAAAATTATGTTTGCTTGTATGAAAATTTAGATTTTTATTTCATTTTATTTAATGGATTTTCTGTTTAGTAATGGTATAATTCTAACTTAAAACAAGGGTGTGTGGCCTGGTGGTTAGGGTTTGTGACTCATAATAAGAGGGTCAGGAATTGTAATCCAGCTGCTTTCTATGTTATGTCCCTCAGCAATCCACTTCACCCCAACTTGTCTCTTTCTACCCACAAGCATACATATAAGCGGGTACAGGCATTAGCTGGGGAGTAATCTGCGATGGACTGGCATGCCATCCAGGGGGAATAGAAATATTCTGAGTCATTTTATGCCAAGGAAACCGGGCAAAAGCACTGGCCAAATGGTATTCGACTTGAGACAGGAGTTTGAATCCAGCTGCTCACTATGTTCCGTCCCTTAGCAATCCACTTTACCCCAACTTGTCTCCACCTAAGAGCATACTTTAGCAGGTACAGGCATTAGCTAGGAAGTAGTCTGTGATGGACTGGCATGCCATCCAGGGGGAATATAAATATTCTGAGTCGTTTCATGCCAAGGAATCCAGACATAAGCACTGGCCGAATGGGTATTGGACTTGAGACAGGAGTTTGAATCAAGCCATGCAAGCTGCTCGCTATGTTCTGTCCCTAATAGCAATCCACTTTACCCCAACTTGTCTCTTTCCACCCAAGAGCATTCTTTCTTTTCCCTGTACTTTGATACTTGTAGGTTGATGAGTTTATCGTTGAAGCAGTCTCACTACGTGCCTTGAAGAAGATCCGTATTGGTCATGACGGTACCGGTGCGGGGGCAGGCTGGATGCTGGATAAGGTGGTGGTACAACAAGAGGGCAAGCAAGACTCAGAAGTTGTCTTCCCTTGCAAAAGGTGAACAACACTAAAAACAAAAGCATTTTATTGCTGTTTTAAACAAAAACCTAAAAATAAGCTGTACATATGTATTCGGTTTTTACTTCAGGATTTTTGAATGAACACCCAATACCAAATTGGAACAATTAGTTTCAATATACTTCATCAGGTATACTTAATGACATAAGTCTTGAGTGTACCAGTAGTCATGTGCTGGAATTTACTACCTTACGGAGACATGCACACAATAGGGAACAAAAGATTGTATTCGTCTTCCACAGGGCAATTTCTATAGATGAATACGTCTCCACAAGAATTTCATGCAATAGATATATGGATTTTACTCAAAAACTAGGAATTTCCAAGGTGGTTTGATCTGTCGCAAATGGAAGAGTTTTAGAAAGGGATATTTAGCCCAAATTTCAGCCCAGGAAATTAATTCTGGTTAAAATAAGAGCATTTTGAAACTTCAATTTAAAACTCGAAAACTTAACTACACGAGAACAAAGAAATGTCTCCACAGGAATACAAATTCCAGTATGGGGGTGTTAGTCTTAACCACAACAGGGCTCTTCGTGCTTGTGTTCTTGGGCAAGACACTTTACTACAATCGCCTCTTAAGACCAAAGACTATGGGTACCTGTCAGGGTCCAAAATAGATTGCACTGAATCTGGAACTGCTGCATAAAACTGATTTCATTGCGTGACGAATAAGATTAAACATGTGTGAAGGGCTCTGGAACATTTACATGGTGTTACATGTAGAAACAGACCAAAACATAGTTGTTTTATAAGTTATAAATCAATTTTGTTTTTCTTTTGGCAATCCAGGTGGCTGGATCGCGATGAGGATGACGGACAGATCGTCAGGGAACTCGTCCCAGAAGGAAACTCACAGCTTCTGTCCAGTAAGTCAGAAGAAAGTTTTAAAAATGTGAAAGGTTGTTTTTGAAAAATTTCCAAGCAGTTGAAGCCACATCAAAACCATGTGTTTCTAATCCTTGTATTGTTCTTTGCAGGGTACATTTGTTGTTGGTAACTTCTGAAATAAATACAGAAATAAATACAATCAGAAGCACCATCATGCAAGAAAGTTAAAAATAACAGATTTTGCTTTGTATGAAAATATGAAAATTATTCTCTGGCTTAAAAATGAAAGGTTTACTCCTCCACTGAATGTTCAAATCAAGGATACCCACTGCCTCAATCCTTCAAAATCCTCCAACAGTCTTGCCTCTCAAAATGCATTCAGCCTCATAAACTCCTCCGAAATCCTCCTCTTCTTCAAACACCATTCAGCCTCAATCCTCCAAAATCAACCAGTACTGAATGTTCATGTGCCCTCAATCCTACACAATCCGCAAAATTGTATGTTGCATTGAACCTCAATCCTCTAAAATCCTCCAAAATCGTCCAGAGGTTTTTGAAGGATTAAGGAAGGTTAGGGCTAATGTGAAAACTATTTATTATTTTCTTAATTTGGAAGTGAATGTGGTTTTGTTCGATGGAAAATTTGTTTGATAGCCCACTTAAGCTTTTTGCAAAACTGTTCTCATCCGACAGCAACCTCATACCACGTGTCAGTCAAGACGGGTGACGAGCGGTCGGCGGGAACAGACGCCAACGTCCACATCAAACTCTTTGGAGAGGACGGGGACTCGGGACTTATCCCTCTCAAACAATCAGAGAACACCAAGAACAAATTTGAGCGAGGACGGACGGACAAATTCACATTGGAAGCCGTGGATATTGGAAAGGTACGTTTATATTATCGTCCCACGCAGATATTTACCAGCCAATGTTCTGAATTTGGATGACACGTTTAAACGTTCACACACACAAATAATCAACTTCCATTCACAAATTTTCTCAGAAATGTCATCAGAATAGAACGTTTCAAATTAGACTTCGTCTTTAAATCTAACTGCACCATTGTTCTATTTCACATTCATAAACACCTGAGAGAGTTTACCCATTTCTATTGGTCCAGAGACTGTCACATGGGGGGCTTCAAATGGTTGATACGGTTGATTTAGCACCAATGTGCAACTACACGCACACTAAGGCAGAGGGCAGCCTTTGTAAAGTATTGTATAAGGTTCAAACCTTTGAACGGTGAACATTGTGCCAAAAGTTGGCTTCAGTGACCATGGCGAGATCGCTTCCTTAATTCTGACTCGATTTTCCAGCTGGAGTACATCAAGATCGGCCATGACGGCTCCGGCCCCGGTGCCGGCTGGTTCCTAGACTCGATTGAGGTAGACATACCATCCAGGGGACTGACCTACATGTTTGCTGCCCATCGCTGGCTGGCTGAAGATGAGGAGGATGGGGAGTTAGAGGTGGAGCTGTATCCAACGGAAAGCAAGAAGTCCAAAGCACGTACGTATGATATTAACCCTCCCGCTGTCTAAACAGTCACAGACAGTCAAAAAAATCAATCCTCTTCCCTGCCATGCCTTTTACACAGGCTAGTCAACAACAATCAGATCATATTTTTAAGCAAGTACTGTGACTAGTCAAACTCAGTCAACAGGCAAAGCAAGCAAGTGGTTAGGCAAAGCTTGCTTATCAATCGCTTACAGTCAAGGCATAGCCGTATCAAGTTACATAAACAGTCACAGCCAGTCAATCCTGCTTTATGTAGGCAGGGAGCACTCAACTGTAAGAACAGTCACGTGACTGAGTTTGACTGAAGATACAACTTTGCACAGAATATAATGTTTGCATAGAAGGGGAAATCTCTAAATGTTGCGAGTATTTTAGCAAGGAGGACTCCTGAAACTCCTTCCAAAGTCTGCATGATACAGCGGTGCCAGCCTCTCTCAGTTCGAGTAAAACCTTGAAAATGAGTTTCATTTTCCCAGTCAGGGAAAATGCAGGGAATTTGGAGCAAAAAAAAAAAAGCCAAAAAATTTGGAAATCTCATGGAATTTGAAATCAAAACTCCAGACTGGACTCGAACCCTCAGCCTGCCGAATTACCCGCAGACCACAAATTCAGTGCTCCGGACCACGAGGCCACGGCACTCCACATTAGAAGTTTTTTCAGTGCCCCAAAAGTATAAGACTTTCTGTATCGCAGTGCAGTGTGATAACTCTATTTGTGTGTTTCGTTGCTCTTTAGGTATCCCTTACGAGATAACAGTCACCACTGGTGGTTGCTCAGGGGCAGGGACGGATGCCAACGTCGTCTTACGCATCTACGGCGAGGATGGCGCGAAGACAGAAGAGTTCAACCTGCGCAACCGCACCGACAACTTTGAGAAGAACAGCGTGGACAAATTCAAGGTATTTAGCATTGACATTTACTAACAAGTGAAAGCGAAAGCAAACGTGAACACAAATTTGTGATGCCACGGCAAGTTTTCAAGCTGCGAATTTGCACATGTTGTTAAAGTCTTGCAAACATCAACAAACAAAACTACCAAATTATTGTGAAACACCTTACTTGACTGTAAGTGAATAATAGTCTCAAGCATCCTGTGAAATCATGGCATTTGGTGTGCTGTCATTTTCAAGAAAAGTGGAATTTTTGTATCAATTTCCAACAATGGGCGGCTGACCATCATTGGAAAACAAATAACTTTCTTTCAAATACTGCCCCCAATTTACCAAATGTAGTAAGTCGGCATTTTGTTTGCAATCAGTTAAACATGTACATGAACGGGTGCAAGCCAGCTAGTCTGTTTCCCTAATCTGACAATTCCCAAACATCTATAAATGGCTGTGTTTCATCTGAAGTAGGGTTTTGCTTGGTTTTTCCAGCATCTGTGAACACAAAACTTTAAACTGGTTAGTGTAACAGTATTTTCTATAAATATTAACGCCCAAATCCATCATCCATATCTGAAAATTTCAGCAAAAATCAACAATGTTGTCTTCAACCTTTTGCATTAGTAAGCTTTCAACCAAGTGATTTGATTTTGAAGCATGAAACTTGGCAGATACCATGCAGGGTCCAAACAACTGGCCCTCTTAACATTTTTTCTATTTGTATATTTCAGGTCAATCCAGTCAGTAATCGTTATTCATTTTCATGTTTTAAAGCCAGAGTCCATCATTTGCAGCTATCCAAAAATAGCGCGTAGTTGCTATAATTCGTCGGATCGGTGCGCGACATCGCGTAGCTGCAATTGGCTAGTGAGAACGTGTATCTGACGCTGAATTCAGGCCCAATTCAAAACATGATTCAGCAACTTTTGATTTGAAACTGAGATCCTAGAATGCTGTTTTTCTCGGAATATACAGCTGAAGCTGAGCTGAAACTTCATCAGGTTAGTTGTTCAGCACTCTTCTTTAGATCTTGAGCACTTTTGTTGCTTCAAACAAACAAAATGCACAAATTACAAATGATGGACTGTACCTTTAACATTTAGAAAAATGCTTTCTGTGTAGATCTGTGTGATTGGAGAAGAGTATATGTAAAAGTAAAAAAAAATTAGCTCAAGCTACTTTCTAAAATATGTTTTAGAAAGTCAATGTGTTTTCCTCGTAGATTGAAGCTGAAGATGTTGGGCCAATCAGCAAGATCCGCATCGGCCATGATGGCACTGGACGCTTTGCTGGCTGGTTCTTGGACAGGGTAAGCCCCCAACTTTCTCAACACCTGAATCAAACTTATAGAATTGTTATGGTTTAATATTAAGTCTGATATTAGCATTTAAGTTTTCACTTTAAAGCTTGTGTGAAATGAGATTTGAAGGTTTGCATGGTGGAAAGATACTAAGACAAGATAAGTTTGCGGTAGCACCATGTGAATAAATCTCTTTTGTGAGTATGTGTTGTTCTGAAAAGAACCAGAGGGACTCAACGTTTCGAACAGTATGCTCTGCCCGTCGTCAGGAGAATGAGGGATTCCATTTGTGTGAAATGTTATGTTAAAAAGTACCATATACATATAGGTGTTACACCATATAGTTGTCAGTTGGTTTGGCAGTAAGGCCAAAAAAAAAAAATATTCGGTCTCTGGTCAGACCAAAGTTCCGGAATTGACGCGGCCACGCGGCTTTTTTTTTTTCTGCAAGCTTGGATTGTACAGACAAGGTGGGGTACTATTTTGCTTTTTTGGTGTCCTCATGTACATTGGTGTCCTTCATAATTTGCTTGGTGCTTTCGATCATTTGCCTTGGTGCAATTTCCCATTCCTTGGTGCTCTTTGGTGAAAAAAATTGAGGAGGTGCGGAAATAAAGGGCGCTGTTGGAGCTACCGCGGAACATTTTGAAGAAAAAAAAAGATCGACGCGCATGATTAAAATCGATGCGCGCTGACCAGAGACCGACTTATTTTTTTTTTGGCCTAACATGGACAACATTTTTATCATTCCTTTTTTTGTTTTGTTAAGTTATAATGTAATAAAAAAAGGTCAAAACGACAAGCTGTTTATTACCTAATATCTCTCGGACACTCAGAACAGCAAAAATGTTTGTTTCTGTGTATGGGGCTTTTTATTTCCATCAGTGAAAGCTTGCAGAGATTTTTGTACAAGCTCATGAAAAACACTCAGAATACGGTATCAAATGTTTTGATCAAACCTTTATAACAACTTACTGAATTTCCACATAGTTAAGTTTTCAAAACCGAAATGATCCTTTCCCAATCTTACTATCGCAGGTCCAAATCGAACGCTTTCCACCAAAGAGGCGCCTGAAACGTCGGAAGTCCCGGTCGAAGACGCGGCCGCCCAGCGACGAGGATGATGACAGCGACAACAATCGATCCAAGAGGCGCCGGTCCAAGTCCAAGAGCCGAACGCGGAGCGACGAGGATGAAAAGAGCGACGACGGGAAGGAGGTTGACGAGAGCCAAGAAACGACCAAGTATCTGTTTGTCTGCAATCGGTGGTTAGCACGCAGCGAGGACGACGGCCAGATCGTCAGGGAACTTGTCCCGACGGACGAGTCTGGGAATGTCCTGAAGAAGAACTCGCTGAAAAGTTAGTATTATGTGGTGAAAACTGGAGTCACCATATGTGATGCAATTAAGCTAAATGAGTCGTTCGGAGATTCAGGCTAAAAGAGGGCCACTTCATCACATCACTTTATCACATCTCTTGGTGTTCTGACTTCCATAATTTTTGAACTAAAGATGGTACCAGCATGCGGTTTTCACAGCAGTAATGCTGAGATTGTGCTCTTTTCAAATCTCTTTAAAAAAAAGGGTCAACAAACGACTCGTGTAGCTTGATCGCATCACAAATGTGAAGCTTTCTGGTGAAATGTGACAGAACTGGGCACAGGCGGTAGTGGAGAAAAATGCAAAAAAAACAAATAGGGGTGGTTTTATTGTTGATTTTCAGACTAATTGATATCTGCAGTCTCCCATGTGTCTGCTACACATTCTCGGTTGCACCACAAACCGACATATCCCATTTTTCTTTGTTTTGAGAAAAAAAAGATTTAAAGTAGGTCATATTATTGTAGGCTCATTCCTTTTACTCCCTGTGCAAGAATTCAAGCTGTTTCGTTTCAGCTAGAAAATGATAGATTAAACTTTATTGTGTGCAATCCGTATCCATCTGATTTGCTTAGTTTTTAAGAAATTCAGTTCCCAAGATACACGTCACTTCGTGAAACAGATTTTTATCATGTTATTCATATTTCATACACTGCGTGTAATAGTGGCCGTGTGCCAGATACGGGATATGTCGGTTCGTTAAATGCTAAATCCACACTTTTCATGTCGACGCTCCTTGGTGATGTCATAGCACCATTGGAATTAGTGTGTAAAGCGGCATATCGTAAAACGTCACTTCGTGGTGAACGATTTCAGAGTTTTTAGAGATATATACCGAAGAGTCTCATTAGTGTTTTTAGTTAATTAGAACTCAGATCAGAATAAAACTTTGTGAGGATGAGCATTTTGATGAGATAAAAACGTTGATGACAAAATCTCAATTTGGCAAAAAATCAAGATACGCCAGTTCGTGGTGTGACCGATGACATATTTTAAGCATGCTGACTAGTGGTTGATTTTTGACAGAGCATGCACCTACACGCTGAAAACAATGAGCAAACGATTGAACCTCCTTCATCAGCTGGCTCCCTGCTGTACATTGCCATGCGCACAGCTATTGATTACCAGCTATGTATCCAACTTCGGAAGACCTGTCGCAAATTGTTCAACGTTATTAACTGGCATGCCTTTGATGATGGTTTACTGGTCGAGGAGTGGTCAGGCATACACAAATGTAGGTCTTGATCATACTAGCTCCGTGATATTTGAATTTGATGCAACCGTTATCATTTTCTTCATTGTATTTTTTGGTGTTTGTTCTTTTAGTGTGCGATTACGTCGTCCACACATACACCGGGGACGTATTCCAAGCGGGAACCGACGCCAACGTCTTTGTCAATATCTACGGTGAGAAGGGAGACACTGGCGAGCGCAGGCTGAAGGACTCAGAGACCAACACGAACAAGTTTGAACGAAACCAGGTAAAATACATGTAACTAGTTATTGTAAAGTAAACCAACTGAGGTTAAGATTACAGTGAAACGCAGCTGTAACGAACACCGCGGGATCCACAGAAATTGTTCGTAATAGCGATTGTTCGGTATAGCGATTTTAAGCTTCTGGTGCTCTGATACTCACTTTTCAGTAAATAGCGCCCTTCAGATCTTCACCTTGCATGTCCTGGTAGTTACTGAAAGACGACGTGTGAACTATTGAATTACGTAATTACACAGGTTTTGAGCTTACTACCTATATCGATGGGTGTCTTTCCCCTTCTATATTCCTTGGGGAAATAATAGTCACTTGTCGCTTTTCTGTTGACATTTTTCTACAACAATTTTCAGTACATTTTGAACACAAACAATTTGGAGCCAAGCACGGTGTTCAGTAAAGCCGAATGTTCGGTATAGCGATGTTCGGTATAGCGACATTCCACTCTATTGAAAATCCTGTTTAGGCCCAAATCATTATCAAGTTAACTGGTTATAGTATAAAGAAAAATCCATCTTATGAATGGTTATAGTATTGTAATCCAGAGTTGAAAAACAATTCTTGAATTTTTTTTTATGACCAGTGCCGCCGATCATGTTCAGATGTTCCCTCCTCCCCACCTATTAAATTTTACAACATGCAGAAACTGTCAGGATTTTTTTTGTCCATTATCATCGTCCCAATTATCAACTCAAATCTACGACATTAAAGAGGTTTCATACACTTTGATTGGTCGTTGTGGTCTTGTACCGTCATACGCAGCTCATTATCAGCTACGTTTGTACACGGCAAGCATTTATCTCTCACTGCACGTCAGCTGTGATATGCACAATAATTTGTTGATTTGTAATTCTCTTCTGTGCTTATTTATTAAATGATGTATGATTTATTTAAAAGAGGATGAATTGCTGAATATATGTGCCATTTGTGTGTATTTCAAAGCAGGATGAGCCACAGACACAATACTGCTATTTTAGGTTAAGTAATCGGGTTCCGATAACTATGTGTACTCATTCACAATGTGAAACGACGTAATGGTTGGTAACGGTTCCAGATAGCTGAAAGTATGCACACAGGTATCGGTTCAGATGCAACACATCTCCATTGACGGAAAATTCATCGTTTAATTGCCTGTATTTTTGTGTTTTCTGTTGACAGGAGGACATTTTCAAGATGGAGGCTGGGGATCTGGGTGGGATGAAGAAGCTGAAGATCAGACATGACAACTCAGGCCCTGGTGCCAACTGGTTCCTGGATCGGGTGGAAGTGGAGGACAAAATGCACAATCGCAGGTTGGTGACGGTCAAACAGCAACTCTGAAATTATGTGACTTTTCAGTAATGCTTAAATGACCGCCCTTTACTCTGAATTCCATGAATATTTCTTTGATGAGAAAAATTCACGTACTCATATTTTTTACAAATATGCACGTTTAACCCTAACCCCATAACTCTCTAGGGTATTTTGGCTAGAAACCGTACATAAAATAAAAACATTCTTGTCCGTATTTTAGGTATTATTTCCCCTGTCAGAGGTGGCTAGCGACAGGCAAAGATGACGGCCAAATATCACGCGATCTCATCCCAGTGGAGAAAGAGGTCATTCAGAGGTCGTTGTCAAGGCGACGGTCATCCACATCAGTCAGGGAGGAGATTGCGTTGGAAGCTAAAGGTGCGTTGTCTGTCACATTCTTAAGTTTTCAATCTGTTACACTTTGTGTCAGATCTTTTACGCAACAAATAAGTGGATTCCACATAAGCACATTTTTTGAAGTATGGAAAAAACAAAGTAATTTAGGTTTTCATCTACATGTAGATACATATTGTGCAGAAAAAAAATATTGACATGAAGTGAATTGTTCTTAGGAACGTATTCTGTGCAACTTTCTACTCCTCTTAAATATGTGACAATATTTGACATCCTTTTGTTGGTTAATGTCATTGAAAGTGCACTTCTTTAAACGTTTACGATTTCCCATGCTCTTCTGGACAACTGAGGGCGCTGTTGCCGTGATGTCATTTCAGGATGACACTGTTCAGTTTAGGGGTTTTCTGTTCCTTTTGTGAACCCAAAACTTTTATTGAAAATATTTGTGAGAAAAGTTTGCTAATGGTTTTACTGCTATGTACTGACACAACAACGAAATATTCAGAGTTCTGGCAACTTTTGGCACTGAAATAGCTGTAACGTTGAGGTTTCTGCCTGAAAGGACATCACACTTTTGCTCGTGAATGTGGAAATTTGCATTTGTATAAAAACCAAACGGCACCAAAATACCCTTGAAAATAACAAAACGAAGAGTGAAAAATATTGTTAAACGGGACAAAAACGTGCATTTCCCAAGATTGCATTAAAAATAAAATACATTATTTCCCATTGTGCAAGATTCATTGTCAGTGCTCTAAATATAAACTTTCGGGTTTTGTTCTATAAAAATTGAAAAGCAATTGTTCAAGTGCAAACAATCCTTCTGAGGGACACAAGAGCTGTTACAATTTAACTGTTTCGGGGTGTAAGGTTAAAATACTGTAGAGACAACTATGTGAATTCTTTGAGTTTATTGTCTCATACTATAATTAATGTCTGCTGTGGTTGCAAGTTTTAAATCCCGGTCAAGTTAATTTGTTTGTTTAAGCTTGAAAAAAGGGGAAGTTTAGTCAGTGTCCCATTGTGATTTAATATGATTATTGATGTCTTTGTTAACAGCCTCCATGGAGACATACCATGTGTTTGTGACCACAGCTGATGTCCGTGGTGCCGGCACTGACGCTAACGTGTACATCGTCTTGTACGGTGAAAACGATGACACAGGTATTGAGAACAGTTTTACACCTTTGTAGGTATTAATAATGGTTTCCACTTGTGAGTTACGGAAAATCAACCGACTATTTCCAAAGGCAAAATTCAGTAGCCTAAATAACATTAAAAAAAGACAATATAGCAGCCAGAGCTGCTGGCATGAATGAATGTTTATAAAAACTATGGTTAAAATAGTTTTATGAGGTGACTGATGGAATGTTCCATTTTCGCCTCGTCGAATGGAACATTCCAAATGAAATTATTCTTTCCATTGCATAAATGTGAAATATGTATTATTTGATTTACACCCTGAATAAAACCTTCTTATCTGATTGGTCAGAGCCAGCAATAGTGTCACCATGGAATGGAACTTCTGTCTTTTGCCTTGTGGCCTCGCTGTGCATTGGGACGAATAATTCAGTGGCATGTGATCAACAACCCACCAATCAGACGACAGGGATTTATTCAGTTGTTATATAATTGCAAATGGCCTTTTTTTGTGTTGTCTTGATTACTTTGGGGATTTTTTCGCTTTACAGATGATTATGCAATAAATGAAATTTGAAGGTTTTACCAATTTATCATGCAGTTTAAAGAGCGTGTGCAAAGATATATCGGTGTATGTTATTTTTTTAAAGAATTCTGAGTATCTAAGAAAGTGTGACAACATTTTCATCATGTAGAAAAATTCTTGGGGAATACACCATTGTTCCAACTTAAATCTTTCGACTGCTGCGGCAGTGTCAATCTGCTATGATTTCTGAACTGTTTTTGTGTTTGTAGTTTACATTTTTACCCTGTTCGCAAAATCATGAGTTTCTTTGTTTTGTTGATCAGGCCAGCATTTCCTGAAAGCGTCCAAGACAAACCGTGACAAGTTTGAGCGAGGGAAGACAGACGAGTTTATCATCGAGGCCGTGGATATCGGACAGATCCAAAAAATCAAGTATGCACTTGTTTATAACCATATGTAAATTGATTCAGGTGGTCGGCAATGCGCTCAAATGTCCCGCCCAGTGCCTTTGTTGCCAGGGAGCGGGTACCTGTGCCTGAAGTCAATATCGTCACCGTTTTCACGAAGAGCCACACATGTCAAAAATGACAATTTTTTCAATTTTGATTAGTTTTTTTTACTATTTCGCTTTAAAACATCGTACTTAACCATTTTGACATGCTTCTGTCAGCAAAACATCATAAATTTTTTCATTACATTAATGATGCAAGGGGCAGGCATCTCATTAGTGCATTTTTGGGTTTTTTTTACAAAGAGACATGAACATAGGTGCCCCTTGAACACGTACAAAACATATTGGATGGAAAGGCGTAAAAGTAGGTCAAATGAGATTGTGTTTTCACGAAGAGCCACGCATCTTTATTACATTATCAGTTGCGCATGTGTATCACACGCATTCCTTCCCTATGGAAAACACATTGAACAGAAAGCCTAAATATAGGAAACGTGGATTTTTGTTTTCATGAAGGGACACACATCTTTACTAATTAATTTTGGCTAGTTAACTATTGTGCTGATTCTAATTACTGGGTTTACATAAAAGTTTACCTTTCAAGGAATCGTGTGAATGCGTTCTTACTGCATAAAGGTGTTGCAAAGTAGTAGTTTTTGCAGTTTTAAAATAGTAAGAATTTGTTTTTCTTCAAAATTCACATGTGTGGCTCTTCGTAAAAATGGTGACAATAAATTCAGAAAAGTTTGTTAAAACCCAAGCACTTCTGCAAAGGCATCTACCCTGAAGACTTCACAATAATCTTTCTGTTTGCCATTACTATCTATTCTTGTCACAGGATTGGCCACGACAACAAAGGAGGCTTTGCGGGCTGGAAGCTGGACAAGGTTGAAATTGATGCGCCGTCCCTGGGTAAGAGGTGGTACTTCCCGTGCGGTCGCTGGCTAGATAAGGGCGAGGACGACGGACAGATTGAGAGAATTCTGCACCCAGTGGAGACTAGGACAGAGGAGTACCAAAAACGTGAGTAGAAAAGGAACCTGAAATTCAACAATTTTTTTTATTTTTTTAACTCTTAACTGTGGGATTACCATTGGAATGGTGTACAATAAAATAGCATGTTAAGAGCTGTGATATCTCCTGTTTGCATCAAAGGATTTGCATGTACATTGGAGTAGTTGCAGATAATTATATAATAATGTATGGCTTTGAGGGGATACAAAAATATATTGCACAAGCTTCGACAATATTGCACGATATTCTTGTATCCCCCGATGAAAAGCCATCCGATACTATTATTATATTGTTTATATCAGGCTGACTTGATTCGCTAGAAATACAAATCAAGACACTGTCTTCATTTCTCCTTTTTCGTCAAACTATTTGAAGCTGCCATTGTAATTGTTGACAACAGTGCGCGTATGTATACCTGGCCTGCTGCGTGCTGCGTTGGCGACTTGTTTGACGGTACTGCGCGCTACGCTCTGTTGACTGGTTGACAACTATGAGTTTCTACGCTCTTGATCATGGGGGAACCAGCGAAAATGTGCACAATCCGGGTACTTTGACTGACAATATTGTTGTCATCCGGGTACGTTTTACAAAAGCATAAAATACGCTGAATAATTTTTACCGCTGGAAGCCTGATATAAATAATATTATACAACACCTGAATAAATCCCCGTCATCTGATTGGTGGACCGTTGATCACATGTCATTATTGTCCCAACGCACGGCGTGCGCACAGCACGCAGCACACAGTGCAATGGAAGTTCTATTGTACGGTGAATAGAACTTCAATCGCACGGTGTCACTGCTGGTGGTGGTGGGGCTGTTTTGAATTGAGATGAATTGAATATGATGGTTCTCAACTTGCCTGTTTAACGGTTTGCATAAATGAAATATGATGAACTTGTCAAAGTTTTAAACAGTTTTTAACCTGAGTAAATTGGCTATTAAAAGTCAACCAATCAGATGACAAAGATTTATTCAGGTGTTATATAAAACAAATAATGAATGTTTCACGTTCGTGCAATGGAAAAAATAATTTCATTCGGTGACAGATGAAATGTTCCATTCTATTCGATTTTGCCTTGTGGAATAGAACATTTCATCTGTCACCTCTTGAAATTATTCTTACCATTGCACTCACAAACATTCATTATTTGCATAATACCATACATACTTTACAGTGCTATAAAAAATTGAAATCCATTCCTTGAAGATTTGGTGATTTCTTCATGTACAAATATATTGGGACACGTTGTATAACCATTGTTTTTGCTGTCTCTTTCAGATGTGCCTTATGAGTTCACAGTCCACACCAGCGATGTATCTGGTGCTGGGACGGACTCTGATGTCTTTGTCACCCTGTATGGTCAGGAGGTAGTGACGGGCCAGAAGAGTCTCTGTCAAACCAAGAAACAGAGGAAGGAATGCTTCGAGAGAAACCAAGTCGACAAATTTGTCATTGAGGTATGTCTTCAAACAAAACAGTTTCAAAACAACGATTCCCAACGATTTTGTATTGCACTTTGCGTAGAATGTGTACAGCCGTTTTCTATGAATGAGATCTCGAGAGCTGCTATTTAGCAGGCATGCGGCTATAGACCTTTATCATGCTCCCACCATTTTATTCATGTTCCCTGTATCCAATAACAGTACTGAATGATACTGTTTATTATGCAATAAGGAACCAGACTATTTTCCCTTCCAGCCTCGCTTTGGTTACATTGATCTGAATGGGAAAAAAATCAAATGGCTGCAACATGATAATGGTCTATTGTTCCGATTATCGCCGTTCATTGTGCTGCAGGCATGGGGCTATTGTCCCCCGTATTATCGCCGTTCATTGAGCTGTGGCTGCTCAGAACGTTTGTTACTAACTAACTAACTAACTAACTAACGAACTGACTAACGTATGTACTAACAGAGAGACACGATGATTTGTTGAGCTCCTGTCTGCAGCTTAAAAGTAAAATTTAAATGTAAGAACTGATTGTCTCCTCCTGTAGATTTGTATATCAATTTCATCACAACACCGTTTTTGGTCATGTTGAGTCCGAAAGACAACTTGGTTGATGTTTTGTGTACATATTTACAACAGTTTCAAAATTGGCGTGTACCGTTTTTGACAAACGATGATTTGTCAATATACAGTGCCATGAAAGGTGCATTTTTTTGTTGACTGTCTCAAGGAAAAAGGTACAATCAGAGACCAAGGGGTATTTTTTTTATGATATTAAGAACAAATTCTTTTTCCCATCCGACTAAATCTTTGCAAATATGCTTATCATGATCTCTGTTCATGCATGCTAGACTTCAATGAAATGTATCATTGCATATCTAAAATGATCATAGAAGAAAAAGGCCTGGCTAAAATATTGACTGTACAATGTAGTATTTAAAGAAATGTGATTTGGATTGTCATGTTTTGAGTGGGTTTTGTTGTTTATTGTTTCTTTGTTTTTTCCAGCTTGAAGACGTTGGGGAAACAATAGAAAAGCTACGCATCGGACATGACAACGCCGGGTTTGGGGCAGCGTGGCATCTGAACAAGGTGGAAGTACGCAGGCTCTTGGAAAACTCAAAGGTATGTGCCTTTTCCATGTTACACTTTTGTGCTGTGGAGCATCTTTCTTGTGCACTGCAGAGTTGTGTACAAACATTTAATGAAAGGGTAATTTTGGAAAAGTGGGGGTAGTTTAAAATTTTAAAATTTTAAATTGAAATAGAAGATGATTTATATTATATTTTGGTTAAAAACCTCAGATTTGTGTACAAACATTTCATGAAAGGGTAACTTTGGAAAAGTGGGGGTAGTTTAATATTCTAAAATTTCAAATTGAAATAGAAGATGATTAATATTATATTTTGGTTAAAAAAAATTCAGAAATCTTAACAAAAATTACCACAATCTGTGGTTGGAGTGTTGTAAAACAATATTTACTGCTTTAACTTGTGGTACAGTAAAATTAGCCTCCCTCGGAATATAAAAAACACTCCATGGATCGCTTTGGTCGGCTAGTTTTACTGCACAACTCGAGAAGTCAACGTTTGTATATTATTCCTTGTATTGGACTGCAGGGTTCCAGGACCTACGTCTTCCCCTGCAATCGCTGGCTGTCCCGTAAGGAAGACGACGGGGAGATTATACGGGAGCTTGTCCCCGCCCAGATCACTGAAGAGAAAGTCAGGAAGGACGGAAGCATGAAGAAGAAAGAAGTCAAACAGGACACTCTAACAAGTGAGCCATCTTCACACTATGTTTCATCACGAACTGACACTCACGTGCGCGTGAGTGCGCTGCACGCACGCCTATTTACAGAATCAGGATATTCATTACAAACAGTTCAGTCGCATCTTCCATAGACGACCACGCGCATATACTTGTAGTGGCATGAACACGAGGCGCTCTACTCCATAGCGATTCTACACAAAGCAAAGAAAAAGACGGCCTCACGGCTGTTTCCAAGACTTTCAGATTAATGCACACCGAGTTTAAACTAGAAGATATATTACTTAAACATTCTGGAGGAAAAGTTTTACAAAATGAACAACTAAACATCGGTACCTGGTACATTTCCCTACTTGTGACAACACGCACATTTTGACTAACAGCAGAATGAGCAACGGAGATTTGCACGTAATTGACAGTGTGACCGACGGGCTACCGCAGTGTACGTACTGTACTGAAAGTTCCCGTATTTATGACGCGCCGTTACTTCAAGTAATAAATGCACACTTGGCACTGTAAAGAGGATTTTGTAAGCTTCATTTTGATCGGTCATTCAATGCAGTTGGTAAAACTAATACCCCGTACCAAGGACCAAACAAATTTGTCTACTCAACAGTCCTTTGGCCGCCATAAAATACGGCGAACATCAGTTTTGCTACGCTCCACCACTGTGTTGTTACTAAGTAACAACTCAACGCGCACGCGCCCGCGCGATCAGGCAATGGTAGACTTGTACTGACACACACGGCGTATACACACATGCAAGGGATAAACGCAATTGCTGCGACAAAAAACGTTCCACACGCACTTCACGTAATCAATAACTGACTTAATGAAGTTTAATACTGCTGTTCATGTTGCGACTCGCCGTGTACAAACTGTTTGTAATGTTTGGGTTTCACGAACTGACATTCTCCACAGTGCGGTACTTTTAGAGCACACCCCGTGCATTTTCGGTTTCACGAACTGACACTGTTCTTAATGTTACCAATTGAAACGTTTTTTAATTAAAAATGTGTATAACCACACAAGTACACGGATGGATTAGATTCATGTCAAACCTTTCAAACCGTTTTTCTCCATTCTGTATTGCCGCATCATGCTTGGGTGTCACTTCATGAAAACGAAAATGTACGGGGTGCGCTCTAAAAGTGCCGCACTGTGGAGGATGTCACTTTGTGAAACCCAAAATATGCTGCGCACTCACGCGCGCGTGCGTGTCAGTTCGTGGTGACAGTGACGATTTGTCTTTATCCCAAAGTTAATTTCGTTCCAAAGTTAGATTAAGTCTAACCCCCTGGGCCTTTTTGCTAGGATGCACGCTCAATCCTTGAAAATCCTCCAACTGTCACTATTGATAGGTTTAGGCAGCACTGATGATTTCCAGAAGCAGTCCGGATGATTTCAATTAGAATCTAGACCTAAATTTATGCATCGTGGCTAACCAAAAACAACACAAGATGCATGTACAGCCTAGACATTGACACAATGCATCCTCCAAAATTAACTGACGCATTTTTGCCAGCGCCAACTAGATGAGCAGTTAGCAAAGTGTTTGTTTTCTGAAGAAAGCTTACCCTACTGAAAGTTGGAAATTGTTTTAAATTCTACATACAGTTTTGGACAAAGCATAATTGTTGTTGTAAAGTTAAAATACTGAGTCTTTCAGAAAAGGGGCAAGCTATATCAATAAACTTGTTAAATTTGGTTTTCTCTTTTATCTACAGTGAAGAAGTATGCAGCTCACGTGTACACCGGTGACGTGTTCCGTGCAGGCACTGATGCCAACGTGTTCTGCACGCTGTTCGGCGAGAACGGCGACAGTGGGGAACGACAACTACGCAACTCTGAGACCTACACAGACAAGTTTGAGCGCGGGCATGTAAGTCATAATAGAGTGAGGCTGAACCTTTTTGAACCCAGGATCGTTTGCATTTATCCCAAAAGTAACCTGGCGAATTATTATCAAAAAGCTTACTTGGATTATAGATCATTTAACAATTGTTGACTGCTGTGATGTGGGATATGAAGTTTTTAACACCCGAGGGACGCATAGCACCTGATGCAAAGCCAACGGTGCTATGTGTAAGTCAAATTAAGTTTTCAAATAAAAGAAGGTAATTATATAAATTGCATGAATAATAATAGTACTTTTATCTGAAATTACAAACGACACTTGTTTTGTTATTTCGTGCCAATAACTCAAAAAGATAAATGGTTGTAACTTTAATAACGTGTGAAAAAAAAAGAAATTAACTCAGTGTTTTGTTACCTTTGATAACTCAAGGTTTTCATTTTCTGCCGGACATGAGATCGAGAAGAACGTTTGACGTTGAAGTTCTCATTGCGCAAAGCTAGCACGACCGGCAGATTCCACACGCACGTTAACACCAGGTTCCACACGCACGTAACACGCGCAATAAACGCAGTGCGATATCGCCCTCAGTGTGTGTGACCGCGGATCCTCTACACAAGGATAAAGACTCATCTGAGCTTATGTACAAAATGTACAGAAATGTTTGTCTAGGGGCGTGATATGCCTCGTCTGCGCATAAAACAACACATAGAACATGTAGAACAATGCGCGCCATGCTCACCGACAGCTGGTGTCCTGACGGAAATTTGACCACTGAAAGACTGCAGTCTTTCGCGGAGTCTCGTGCTCGCGCACCCACGATTTGCAAGTGCCATATCACCTCTAACCAGAGATTTGGGGAAGTCGTTTGTCCTTGTGTATAGAGGATCCGTGGTGTAACATGCATTTTGATTGTCCAGACACGTGGCCGACCTAGACCAGTGAAAGTAGAGTATCCAAGGACACGATATATCAAAATGTTGTGCTCTCAGAACCCAGCTTAAAGCTATAGTCCATCATTTGCAGCCATCCGAAAAAGTAACTGGCGTATTATTGTTGAAAAACATACTTGGTTGAAAGATAGTAAGTGGACTAAACTCCCTGTGAAATTAATCTTTCTGGCAAGCTATCATTTGAAGTAATCAACAAAAGAAGGCCTTTCCAACGGTGCGTCTTAAGACGCACCGTAGGAAAATTTAAATTAGTAGTTCGTTTTGTTATTCGGCGCAGCGCGCGCAAGCATTGGCACGACGCACAGGCGCACACGGTTGCTATAATTCGTCGGATCAGTGTACGACATCGCGTATAGCTGCAATTCGAAACAATTCAAAACGTGATTCAGCAACTTTTGATTTGAAATTGAGATCCTAGAATGCTGTTTTATTCGGAATATACAGCTGAAGCTGAGCTGAAACTTCATCAGGTTAGTTGTTCAGTATCCTTCATTAGATTTTGAACACTTTTGTTGCTTCAAACGAACAAAATGCACAAATAACAAATGATGGACTATATCTTTAATTAGGCTTGTCTTTTGGTGTGTTTTTTTTTCACAGTGCGACAAGTTCTCTTTTGAGGCAGCTGACTTGGGAAAACCGTTCAAGCTCAAGATTCGTCATGACAACACCGGCTTCTCTGCGGCCTGGTTCCTGGACCGAGTGGAAGTCATCGACCACGACGGAGAGAAGTACGTCTTCCACTGTGAGAGGTGGCTGGGCAAAAACAAGGACGATGGCAAACTGGAGAGGTCACTGTATGCTAAGGTGGGTCTAGTAACCTTGTTCCTTGAATCAACAGAAATACATTGTGTTTTTGCAAATTGTTTCCATAACTATTAAGTTTTACAAGATTTCCTTGTAGGACTTTTTTGTCAAATTTCATATTGTGTCTTACACTGCCGTAAATGTATAGCTACCACTGTTTCATGTTCATATTGTTTAATCCTCGTGGCATGCAACACAGATTGACTAACATTGGAGGTTTCAGAACAGTTCTTGGTTCTTGGTTGGTTCTTCTCCTAAATACCCCACGTGGGAGATTTAACAGGAGGCAGAAACACCGGAGCAAACCCTTCTCGTAGCAATAAATGTCACTGGTCTCTTTTACGTGCATTGCATTACACAACACACGGGACCCACGGCTTTACATCCCATCTGAAGGACGAGGCTATAATGGTTAAGTGTCTTGCTTAAGGGCACAAGTGTCCACCCGGGCTCAAACCCACGCCACTGTTGCCTCTGAAACACCAGAGCATGAGTCCGGTGCTCTTAACCGCTAGGCCAGGACACTCTGTTGAGGTTAATTGAGTGCATCGTTGCTTTCTTATCTTGTTGCTGATTGTTGCTTATTGTGTGATGGTTTTGGCAGGGTTATGAGGGTGACATGTCCAGCTCTAGCACCCTGCACAGGAGCAAGTCATCAGGCTCGTTGAAGTCAGTCCGATCAGACAGTCCCGGCCCGCTGACCAGACGCAAGTCCATGCTGGAGATGCCAGAATTCACCGGACCAAGTAAGTCCAGTTAAAACCCATTGCCCCATTACACTCAGAGTGCCGACCAAAAAAAAACATCTAGAGGTTAAACTCCTATACCTGCAGCCAATTTCAAACTTTATGCAATGGCGTAACTGGGTGTGCGCCACAATTTATTGCGTTAGGTGGTAATATTTCACTTATGACACATTTCACGAAAGTCTCATAGTGCGTGAGTCTGCGACTTGCGCAATAAATTATGGCGTATCTTGCACAGTCCTTTTAGGTGGCGTTAGTTGTGGCAAAGCAACTGAAAATGAACTTCTACAAATTACAGCATAAAGCAAATGTTGTATATTCTCTTTATCAATCATTCTATATTTTAAACATTGTAGTTTTTGACATAACTTGCTCAATATGTTCCATTTGAGAACATTTGTTTGGTGTATGTTTATGTTATATAAGCATACACGAAATGTGTTGAATTCCTCTCAGATACACTTCCCATAGTCACTGACAGAGCATTTCAGCATGAACAAGTTTCATAGATTGTCTCTGCAAAACCCTAGAAAGATCACTCCTTCTCAACTTTGTTCCCACCCTATCTTTGCCAGCAATCCCGTACACGATCCGCGTGATCACGGGGAAGGAGGCCGACATGGGCACAGACGCCAACATCTACATCATCATCAGTGGGCCTAAGAAGAAGCACACGACGGGTCGCCTGCCTCTACAGATGGTCAGTAAGACCAAGCTGGAGCCGGGATCCATCGAGACATTCTCATTAGAAGCGCCGGACGTGACGGAGATCAAGAAGATTGAGGTATGACACAGGAAATAGGAAGGAGCCTAAGATTTGTGAAGATTTAGTATTGACATTGTTTGATAACTTGATTTGACCATGGAAAGTAGTGTTTAACATGTTTTATACATTTAAACGTTTAAAAATAATTTTAAATGCATTGACATATATTCCGAAATTTTTTTTAAGCGAAACACGCATTATAAGAAAGTGATGTTATGTTTACTTGATCTGCCCTCATGTTCACACAAAGAATCAAGGATTCCTTTAAACATATTTAGTTTTCAAAGCATTGGTAGCACCTCAGTACTCAGTCACATTTTGGGCAGTTGAGTTGATACTTTTTGACTTTTCCAATGACTGCCAGTTGTCTATTGTGGTTGTGGCAATGTTTTTCAATTTGCCTGCTGGCCCAAGAAGGTTGGCGGTTCGAATCCCATTCGGACCAAAAACTGGAAAACTCTCTCTGACGACCCAACGGTAAAATGGGTACCTGATTCGTTCAGGGAAGGTAAGACGGCGAGAGGAGAGGACTGGGCCCCGCCACTCATATGCCGCGCTCAAGACACAGTGGACCTCTAACATCCCACTGCCCCTACGGCCAGTAATGGCTATGGGATCTTTACCTTACCAAGATTGACGCTCATTGTGCTAAATTATGAAAAAAGGTTATGTTTTTGTTTTAACACGCCCGGCTGAAGACATACAGAAGCAGGCGTCAGCCTTTGTGAAGTCTTTGTGAAGTGGCTAAACTTTTAAACGGTTCTTAATAGATTTGCTATTAAACATTTACAAAATTAAACGCAAACGTCCATCTGTACTATTGTAAATGTTTATAGATATTTAGTTTGTGTTATAACACCTCACCCACAGATTCTGTGTCTTGATTGGCCGACAGCGAGTCACATGTTACTTTCTAATTTTGCTATCTTTCTGTGCACGGCCAAAAGTACTATGCGCATAGCAACCAAAGTACTATACCATTAGCAACCAAAGTACTATTTCCACGGCGCGGTATTTGTGTGCAAATGCATGCTGGTGTGCGCGTTGTGCGTAGCGCGTATTATTCCAAAGAGAGCGCGCCGCAGACTTGGGTTCAAACATTTCGTGAAGGGGTAGTTTTTAAGAGAGAAATACATTTTCCACCAATTTTGTATTGAAATTGATGTTTATTTCGACTGTGTTCAGATTTAAATAATTTAAAATATTAAAATCAAGCAGAATCTGTGGGTGAAGTGTTATAAAACAAATATTGAATGCTTTATCTCGTGGTGAAGTAAAACTAGCCTCCCTCGGTGATCCATGGACCATTCTATTTTCCCTCGGCTTCGCCTCAGGAAAATAGAACGTCCATGGATCACCCCGGGAGGCTAGTTTTACTACACCACTCGAAGCATTCAATATTTGTATAATATCAAGAAAAAAATGTGTACAAATTTCTTTAAAGGGCCATGTAATGTAATTTTGTTACAGTTATTTATTTCAGCGACAAAAATTGCCAGAATTTTGGATATTTTGCTGTTGTAGATCCCCTGTTCTTTTGGTGATTTGTTGTTGTTTCAGTACATAACAGTGAGCCAATGAGCAAGATTTTCTCACAAATGTTTCAAATGAGGAAATTGTGGATTCACAATGTGAATCGAAAACCCCCTAAACTGAACAGTGTCTTCCTGAAGTGACATCACAGCAACATTGCCCTCGTTTGTTAGGAAAGCATGGACAAATTTCAACGTTTGAAAAATTGCACTTTTCAACATAATAAATTTAAATCAATAAGGGATGTCAAGTAGTTTTCATACATTTCAGAGGAGTAGAAAGTTGCATGAAATGTGTTCCCAAGTAAAATTCATGTCGTGGGCCCTTTAAGATGTTGTTTAAAATATCGAGTCCAGTAGGCTGTGAAAGTGTCATCCATGATGTGATGGCTTTTACATTTCTCACTGAACTTCAGATCGGCCATGATGGAGTGACCCCCCAGGAAGGCTGGTTCCTGGAAGAGATCGAGGTTGACATGCCCACACTGGGCAAGCACGTCTGCTTCCCCTGCAAACGCTGGCTGTCCAAGGACAAAGATGACGGCCACATCTCACGCATCCTGGTGTCTGAAGATGGGCAGAGCGCCAACTACAAACCAAGTAAGCAATGTTGAACCTTGACCTTGTACGGAGTTATAGACTTGGCTCAAGCAGTGCTGTAACCAAGTTCTTTACAATTCCTTACAGCTGAGTCCATCACAAGTCAATCACAAGTCATCAAGCTATTCAAACTAAATATGACAAAAGCATTCCCAACATATTGTTCACTTCACTTTTACTTGTGACTGGACCTGTGAATTACTTGTGATTGGACTTGTGATGGACTATTGGCTAATTTGACTACAACACTGGGCTGAAGTCTGGAGGTATGCAACTCGTACCAACTATCTTGTATAATGTGTGGTATGTATATAATGACACTTGTGATGGATTTTGGATGATATCAGACTTGAATCAAGTCTAATCTCAAAAAAGCAGGAAGTCAGCATTCAAGTTTTCCTTCAAATCAGCCAATATTCTTGGTTGTCTTGTGTGTTTTGTAATAAAACCGAATTGCCCCTGTTGTTTTCATAACTCGCAGTTAAAACAATACAACTACAGGGGTTTTGGGGGTCGAAATATCTGATTCTGATGTTATTTTAATGATTTGAGGTCAAGTTTACCACTAATATCATTTGCGTCAAACCTGGTGTTTCTGGTGCATCATTCCACATAAAAAAACCCTGTCCTATTAGCTGTACATGTCGGAAAGTTTGACATCATCTCATAACTACCAGCTAACATGTCTTTAACTCTTCCAGTGTTGTATACGTGAAGCCACTTTTCTCTGATCTTTAGGTTTTTTCTGCAACTAGACAAAAAGTATTAAAACAAAATGTTTGATTTTAGGATCAAAGGAGTTATCATATCCTTTGAAAAGACCCTGTGAGATTACACCATTTGAGCTGATGCCAATTTGATGGGAGGAAAAACAGAAATTAGATATCGAAAACGAAATCACAGATGGTGTATTTTCTAGTTAAAAATACAATTTCCATTGGATAGTCTTTGATTATCCTGTTAACCCTTACTCTCTGAGGGTAGTTTACTGCATGTCAGTTGGTTATGCCAATGCCCTCCAGCTGCAGTTAATTGGAGGATAAACTATCTTGACTGTGAAGGCTCCAATTGGCAGGAGTTGGAGGCCCTGGAGGGTGCCTGATACTGACCAGCTGGGGGCACTCACTTTGTTATCAGAGGACTCTCATTGTTCTCTGTGGCATGTATTGGAGTGCCTGTCCAGTTACCCTTGAAATGACATGGCAGATATTGGAGGGCCATGCAAAAAACATAGGAGATTTTCTTGAGGCACATATTGGCATGCGTTGGAGGGTCTAGTAGGGTAAGGGTTAATACATGTATTTCTGTTTTGTTGAAAGCAAGTTGTCTGCTGTTTTCAAATTTTGTTAAAGTTTCAAATACTCCTGCCTTTAGCGCAAACGTTCCACAGATGTCCAGGGAAATTTGATTTATGTATGCTCCATCTTGACAATTGTTTTTACAAAATGTCTGATTTCTGGCTCTTTTCACAGAACGGGTCACATTTAACAGAGATCTGCTCATATTTTGAGAGAGTAGATCATTGTTGAATGCTTTTTTACACTACGAGGTAAAACATAAAATGTGCAAAGCATGACGCAGCTCAAACCCCATTGCTCCAAAAATTGATCCTTTGTTGTTGTGCAGACCCTCAAAATTCCCTCCGTAAAACCGTTTTCATTGGAGATGCAAAGTACATCAAAGAGTGTTTGTGTAGTAAGTTTTAGAAAAAGAAGTTTTATCCATAATTAGCATTAAAAAAAACAAATGCAGAGAATGAACTTTACTACCATAGTTTGAACATTATTGCCCCAATGTTGATCCCACTTCATGCAGATACTGTAGTCAGAATTCCCTCTGTTAAACATTTAGAAAATTCTAAATATAGCAAAGACGTGTGTTACATATGTAGGAAGTTTTTTACCCGTAAAAAGTAAGCAAAGCATGACTAACATGTAGTTCAGATCTTTTCGCTTCAATGTTGATCCTCTTTTCGGTTTGCGGTAACACCATGTGGTAATAACTACTGCTTAGAAGATATTCTGAAAAGAACTTGTCTTGCTTATTATCAACTTTCGCTAAGTAGTTTTTTGTTCTGATAAGAACAGTCCTGCTTTAAGTTTTAAAAGAACTTGTTTTTGGGCTCAACGTTTCGACTAGCCTGCTCTAGTCATCGTCTGCTCTAGTCATTGTCTGCTCTAGTCATCGTCTGCTCTAGTCATCGTCTGCTCTGGTCATCGTCTGCTCTAGTCATCGTCTGCTCTAGTCATCGTCTGCTCTAGTCATCGTCTGCTCTGGTCATCGTCTGCTCTAGTCATCGTCTGCTCTAGTCATCGTCTGCTCTAGTCAGCGTCCGGAGTCTCCTGACGACGACTAGAGCAGGCTAGTCGAAACGTTGAGACCAAGGACAAGTTCTTTTAAAACTTGGAAAACATTTACTTGTATACACGTTCTCCGGCGCGAATTGGTTAAGCATTCAAATACATGTAGGTGTAGCATAGCAGTACGATAAACAACCCTTTCCATGGAAAATCCCTACATGATATATGTTTGTAGCCCCTTCCTGTAAAGAAAGCAACCTTTCAGTAAGTTTTTCACATGTTCATAATTATTCACAGTTTATACAAGTGTCTTAATGTACTTGACATGTACATGTTATTCAGACTAACCCTGCATATATGCCTTTCTCGTTTCATATTTCAACCATATTTCGTCACCTGTTCTTCAGTGTTTTAGTCGAGTGCATCACAAGTCCTAACATTTCGTCGCAGAGCTGACCTACTGGCGAATCGACCATTTTGGCGATTTCGAGATTTTGTTATTTTTAGGGTTTATAAAGGTTGCTACTTCAAGTATTTATGCCAACATTCTTAATTCTTGTCTGGATTTTGAAATTCGGAGCCCCCCCCCCCCCCCCCACAAAAACAAATCCATAATTTGACATACTGACGAATACGGAATTTCGCTGGTATCCTGCTTATGTATGGTGTGCGTTCAAAGTACCAACGAATGTTATTCGTCAGTTTGTCGGATTGGCACGCGCGTGCGCCCGATCTGACAAACTGACAAATAGCATACAAACATTTTGCTGGTAACCAGCATATTTAAGGTGTGCGTTCAAAGTACCAACGAATGTTATTCGTCAGTTTGTAATTTGACAAACTGACGAGTACGTTTACGATCAAATAAAATCATATCGCACAACTTTTCTGTTTAAATAAGTGACCTGATGGATACTACGTTTCCTATTTTATTTCGAATATACACTAAAAGGGTTATTATCGAAACATTAAGGGTAAAATACGACTCCCAGAAAAATGTCCAACTTCAAACGCGAATTACTTGAAACAGGGTTTTTGCTTATTTGTCGGTATGTCAGCTCTGCGACGATTTAAGTCCTCACAAGTCATCCAGTACGTCCCAAGTCAAGTCTCAAGCTATTCAATTGAACTTTGACAAAATTATTCCTCGTCATTGTTTACCCCTGTTACTTGTGAGTGGACTTGTGAATTCATCTGTACTTGTGATGGACTTAAAATATTACCCTGTTGTTCTTCAACCGCCAGGCAGCATTCATTGTCTTTTCTCTTCTTGTTATGTATCTCTTGGCTTTTTCCTTCCTGTTTGGGACGGTTACTAGATGGCAGTCCAACTGTCATTTCCCTGGTTCGCAGCATACACTACAAACCAAGTGAGTGGGTACCGGGAATCGCATGAGTCAGCATCCTATGCCTGCAAGTTAAAATGCATCCATTTGTTTAAATGCATGTACATGTACATGGCATTTGCCTGCCAACCAGTTTTACAGCCCAAAGATATGGGGGGGGGGGAGATTTCACCCAAATCACCACCCATACTCCTTCCACTTCCTACCTCCCCCATCTTTTCTTCTAACCCCACCCCTTGCCATGATTGTTCCCTCTCCCATTCATAAGCTGTGTCTGATTCTGACATACTTGGCTGCGGCTTACAATTTATTACACATGCGCATATGAAAGTCGCTAAAGCCGCTTCCCATAGACATACATATAACCTGCCAGCCATAGCCACAGTAACCTTGAATACAAGGTGTGATCAGCATGCATGGGCACCGATGGCCATATTATACCGGGCTCACAGGTCCACGAACACGGCGAACCCAGATCCGTCACATTGTACTACGAAGCCCGGCATTCAACGCATGCACACAGTGCATTTGTACATGTACAGTACTGCTCATGGTCTGTCAGGACCACAGCCTTGATTCAACTGTATCTTCCTGGTTTTGCAGATATGTTAACTAGAATGAAGTACTTCCAATCAAACGGATCTGATTGGATGTGCCACGCTGTTAAACAGCACACTATGGGTCGATTCGCGCACGTGCCAGTGTTGGGTTACCAAACCAACAATCATTGATCTGCAGCAAGATAAATGAATATGCCGTAGAGGAATACATACATGTACATTCTACATACTGTATAATTCTTCATACTGTACTATTCTAGGTACAAAATGTAATGCGGGCTTTGTGCGTGTGACAGATCGGGTATATACCTGTGTACCGCGGTATTGCAGAGCGGGTAATACTAATACTATGCATGGCCAGCGATAATCTCACGTTGCCGATACAGCGCAGCCTTGAATTCAAGACTATAGCCACAGATTCCTTTCACTTTCCATCCCTTCTCCCCCTGAACATCTTTGTTCTTTTCTATTGGTTCATATTCCATCACCATCAAAACTACTTGATGCATGAAGATGCACGTTGATTTATATACATGTAGGCATGAAGCATTTGCATCCATTGCAACAAAAGAACACTTGGTTTCCAAATGTGTGTATCAAATATATCTCAGCAAAAACAAGTTCAAATGAAAGTATGTTCATTTTATTTACCGTAGTGTTACTTGTTCATGATTAAGCCATGTTTCATGGAACATGGACAGTATGCAAGTTCCATGGCATGCTTTCCATATACATTGAAATTGGTAGTAGAAAACAGACCAGTTCTTCATATTCACTTGTTCATGTGCCTGTAAATAAAATTGTCTCCAATGAACTTTTTGTTAAATTTTCCTGTCATAGCCAACTGGATTCCCCCCCCCCCCTAAAACTCAATTAAACACACCCAGATACTTTCAGAAAAGGCGTGGTGGCCTGGGACCAAGACTAGATTTGAATTTCATCCCCTCACTAAGTACAGCCGCTCATTGACAAGTGCAATAAAGCCACCGAGGCGGTAGGTCGCTGTCAACAAGATGAATCAAATTTAGTCTTTGGCACTTGGACAGGGCTACCCGGACAGTTCTGAGCGTGCCTCGTGTGCTTGCATTAGCAAGCATAATTGTGGTACAATCTCAGTTGTTGCTCCTGAATGCGTTTGCTGGATTCACCTTACATGCCTTTAAAAAAATATTGGGTTTTGTTCCTGATGAGGGGCTGCGTATAAGCCTTTTTTGAAACTATTACTTTGTCAACCTTAACGTTTTTGTTTTTTTCTTGTCAGAAATTCCTTATGAGGTGACGTTCTTCACCGGCGACGTCCAGAATGCGGGAACTGACTCCGTCATCACCTTGACCGTGTTTGGCACCAACGGTTCCACGCCGGAAATGACGCTGGACAAGAACGAGGAGAGGTTTGAACGGGGCAAGGAAGATTTGATCAAGGTAAGATCTGCTGACATCCGTATTAACTTGACTTGCAGCTTGCCTCATTTGCTTTGCCGCATCTTAAGCTGCATTTCACGAAACTCATCTTATTTTGCGAGTCATCTGAGGACTTAAGACTAGTCCCCGCTCTAAGATCGATCCTAAAAGACCAATTTCACTAAAACCATCTTAAGCAAGCGCATCAAAACTACCAATATGATGGCTGTTTCATGTTTCTTTTTACCGCTTGATGAAACAGAAGTTGGAAAGAAACACGAAAATCTAATCTACTCAATAAATTTCACATGCACGGTAGTTCTGCACAAGATGCGATAGCTACATGTATATAGAGTCATTCTTGCTCCCTGTTTCATCACTGTATTTTAAAAAGTCGACTAGTTGTTGGCGTATAATTGAATTTTGTAAATACGTTGTTTTTATTCAACCTACCCACATATCAAAAATCTTTTCACATCTGTTTCTACAGTGGTTTTCTTCCTCGAAACTATAACTCTAGGCCAACATTCTTCTTTAACAAGAAGATATTGCAATGATTTCAAAACGATTATACAAATTAAGTTAAGAGGAGTTAAGCTGCGTTGATAAGGAAATTAGGACATGTTGAATGCTTTTGGTGAAATTGATCCTAGGACGATTCGCGAGTTAAGACTTTTTAGAGTTTTGTGAAAGCTGCCCCTTAAGCTGCATTTCTGGCATCTTAATTTCTTCTCCCAAAAGCATTTTTCTTTGAGTGTGTTACTTTAATAATTATGAAATATTTTGTCTTTTGATTGACACAGATGGAGCTTGATGACATCGCCCCGCTGAAGAAGATCAGAATCGGACACAACGGGAAGGGCACCAGACCTGACTGGTACCTTGACAAGGTGAGAGACCAGTAAAAAAAAGTGGCATGTGCTCATATGTGATGTGGTATTCCAAACAACGGTTGAGCGGCCAAAATGATGTCGAGTGACTGTTACAACTTTTAATATAGAAATCTGTTTAATATTTTTTGTGTGAATTTGTATGAAAAACATTTGTATTTAATATAAAAAATAGATTCTTGAAGGAGCATTTTCTCAGATTTGAAGAGTAAAGTAATGAACTGGGCAATACACTGGAGAATATTTTGTGTAAGCAAAAGTACTCATTGTCTCGTTGAGCCTTACCAAGATAAAGTCTTATGCGGTCATGACTTAACTGCTGAAGTTTCTGCAACAGTAAAAAGTAAAATCTGTCAATAGCCAATGTGGCCCATCAGGCTGGCATTTATCTGAGGTTTCCTTGGCATGAAATGAATGAGAATATTTCTCCAGTCCATCGCTGATTTACCCAGCTAATGCCAGTAGCCTTTTGTATTCCTGGGTGGAGAGAGGCAAGTTGGGGTGAATTGTCTGCCCAAGGATTTGAACCCCTGACCCTCTGATCATGAGTCACGAATCCTGACCACTAAGCCACACTCCCCTCTCCGTTTCTGCAGTATTGTGTTACATTAACTTCGCTACCTTATTCCTGTGCTTTTGTAACCTCACTGAATGCCATGTGGCAATTTTTAGGTTCACCTGCGAAATATGGAGACTGGTGACTTGACGGTGTTTAAGTGCGAGGACTGGTTGTCCAAGACACACAGCGACAAGAAGATAGTCAGGGAACTACCCGCCTTTGTCAAGGGCAAAGCGCAGATCCAGAGTAAGGACAAATTTTGAAACCGTGTGTTCAGTATGTGAGGCTGCTGGGTTATTTGTCACAGTTCCTCCTGTGTTGTATGGCTGTCCCCTCTGATGTTTGCCAACATTGTCAAACGTTTATAGCATTTATTCTGATCTTTCATACCTTCTGTTGAATCTCCCCTTCCCCAGACGTCAACTACAAGGTCACAGTGAAGACCAGCGACATCCGGGGCTGCGGCACCGACGCCAACGTCTGCCTGGTCATCTTCGGCGAGAACGGCAGCTCGGAGGAGCTGAAGCTGAAGGAATCGCAGACTCACCGGGACAAATTTGAGCGCAACCAGACGGACATCTTCTCCTACTCCATGCTCAGCCTGGGCGAGCTGATCAAGATCAGAATCTGGCACGACAACAAAGGTAGGGGAACTCTGAGCAAGGGCGTTGCCAGACCAATTTGTTAAGGTATTCGTCCTCTTTGCCAATCAAACACGGGCATTGACCAATGAGATCATGATGTTAAGTCAGGTGACCATCGCAACTAAGGTAAATTTCGGTCAGAAGCACAATGAGGAATGTACAGTTACACAAGCCAAAGGTGAATGGGCAGAGCCTACAAGGGGGCTTATTTCAGAACAAGCCAATGCTGGTAGGGCAGTAACGGAACCACACAAAAAACAGAAATTTTTCTGACTTTTTCCCGGATATTTGAAAAGCAGGTGGGGGCATGACATTATTCAGTGGTGGGTCCAGGGGTTGCGCGGGGTGACCTGCAGTGACCAAAATTTTCTCAAAAAAGGTCAATTTTTACTTGAGAGAACTTCATGAGTGTACAGTGATCATGTGTCTGGATTCGTCAAAGCACAAATTTTCTGCAAACTGATAAAGCCCCAGTCACACATTTACGGTTTGGAGCTACGGATCTCCACGGTTTGAAATTCGTATCGTATTCATCCTTAGTACCTCCTTATTCATCCGTAGTACCTCCGTGGTTATCTGTCATCTTCCTTGGGTATTCGTGGAGGGGCTACGGAAGTTTGAAACTGTTCAAAACTTCCATGGCGAATCGTCATGAAAATCAATGCGTAGTGCAACTGTGGGACATCCATAGGACAACCGTACTGATTCATAGAGTTATTCGTGGCTATTCGTACATTTTCTTACAGATTCGTAGCTCATTCGTGGTAGAAATCTCTACGAATTCGCCATGAATGTCCAATGGATATGCCCAGTTGTGCTAGGTTCCTGCTAAGGTTGTACCACGAATATCCAAGCTTTATTTGTAGGAGAACCTTGGTCCTTCGTGGCCCAAACGCAGACAACCGTGGTGTTAACATAATTATTCTTAGTAATACCGTCGGTATTCTTCACCAATCCGTGCATATTCTTGACAAACCGTGGTGCATTCGTAGAGAAACCGTACAATAATCGTTGCTATCCCTCCTGTAACTGTAGTGCATTCTTAGAAAGTTGATTTCTCCACGACTCTCGATGGTTCATCATTATCGATTGATTCTTGGTAAACCGTGGGTATTTGTAGCTCCAAACCGTAAATGTGTGACATGGGCTTAATCAGTGCTGTGAATTTTCAGTGAGGATTTGAAGTACGACAATGAATTTATTATTGTGTGTCCCTTCCCTCAGGGCTGAAGGCCGGCTGGCATCTGGAATACGTTGAGATTGTTGACGAGAGTAAAGCTCAGACCTACATGTTCCACTGCAATCGCTGGCTGGCGAGAGACGAAGACGACAAACAGATCATGAGAGAGCTGACCTGTGTATCGCCGAACACGCCCAGGGACGACAAGGAGAAAATCAGTGAGTGTTCGGAACCACACAAAGAGAAGGTTTCCATAATCATTACACCCCGTACATGTTTTGAAAAAATTGGCCATACACAATGACCTGGTGGTATGGGTGGCCCAGTGCGTAAAGCGCTCGCCTGTCAATGCTGTGGCACATGTTTGATCCCGGCTCACGGGTTGCATTATTACTACTATTACTGTAATAGGGCGACAGGTTTTGCGAACTCCGTCCACAATAGGGCGAAACACCTTATTGAGGCGACAAAATAACTGTCGCCCTTTTATGAAAACGACCCTTAGGACAAGGAATTTTGCTGTCGCTAACCATCTAGATCGATTCCTCATGGTCCAATTAGTATAAATACTAAATTTCGTGGAAAAAACATAAGGTAAACTTGGGTTAGGTGACAGTTTAGGTTTGTGCACAAGTCTATGGGAAAGTCACCCTATTGGGGCGAAAAGAGTAAATATTATACTTATTATTATTATTATTATTTATTTATTTCTGTTAATGAAACCAAGGATTCCTCAAAAGTGCCCTAGGCACTGTAGCGCGAAAGCCTGAAGAAACCTGCAGAGAGGAGACAACGAAAAGAAATTACAGTTTTAGAGGTGGGAGGAAAACCCCAGAAGAATATTTTGGGGAAAAAACCACAGAATCAGTAGGGACTGAAAACGCAATCCACATGTTGGCCCAGGCGGGATTCGAACCCGGGTCACAGCGGTAGAAGGCAAGGAAAGTACTGCTACACCAACCTGACTCCCCAACTTAGTAGAGTTGTTTGATCGTTCTCTCCTGTGCTACAAGGGTTTTTCTCCGGGTTCTCCGGTTTTCCTCCCTCCGCAAAAATCAACACTTTTGATCTCTGGCTGTGCTCCGTGGTCATACATGGGTGGTATTGCAGCTGCCTAAGGTGCCTTTACATGCCTTCGGCTCGACCATGTTGTAGCTGCGTGCTTCCCAATTCAGCTTCTCAGCTGCGAGTACGGGCAATTAACACCCCCCCCCCCCAAAAAAAGTTACATTGTTCACTTTTGCAACTTGGTGTCTCACAGCAGTAACTTACTAGTTTCAAACTTTCTTCCATAGCTTACGAGATCTCGGTGACAACCACAGACAAGCGAGACGCAGGCACTACCCAGAATGCCTGGCTGATTCTAGAAGGCGATCTCCGGAGCTCACGGGAGTTCATCATGGAGAACAGTGCTAAGAGAAAAGTCCTCAGAAAGTAAGGCTTTCTCACAAGTTCTCAGTTGACACTTGAGGAAGTATCCACAACAGTTACCATTCTGTGTAGTGAAAGCAAACTTGAAATGAAAAATCAAAACTATGAATTTTTTTTTTTTTTTATCAATTTGACAGAGGCGACACAGACACATTCAAATTTTCCACCCGCAACGTTGGCATAATCGACAGCATCTTGCTGGGTCACCGAGAGCGAAGCGACGGCCCCAAACCCAAGGGCACTGGAAGAGAAGTTGACTGGCACTGCCATGAGGTCGTAGTCATGGATACGTCATTAGGAACAAAGTGAGTTATTAATATTATTATTATTGTTATAAATGGTTTATTGATAAAAAAAAATGATTGACATGGCAGCCCAAAGGCTGAATTACATCAAAATTTACGTAAACTCAAATGAACATCAACAATAAAAACTCAAAGGAAACAGTAAAAAATGTGTTCACACCTGTGAGTGAAATTAGCATCAAACAATTTAAGGACAAGACAAGACAGGACAGACAAAGTAAGACAGGACTAGACTAGACTAGACAACCAAGTATTAACAATCAGCAAAATTTACAACAAAAAACCTGAAAGTTAGTATAAGTTCATTGTAGTGCTGATTGTAGTGCAAATTCCATCAGGTCATCACGTTTTTTAAAGTGTTAAATTTTAACCGTTCATGAAAAATCATATTTAAAGCTATAGTCCATCATTTGTAATTTGTGTATTTTGTTTGTTTGAGCAACAAAAGGGTTCAAAATCTAATGAAGGATACTGAACAACTAACCTGATGAAGTTTAAGCTAAGCTTCAGCTGTACATTCCGAGAAAAACAGCATTCTAAGATCTCAATTTCAAATCAAAAGTTACTGAATCATATTTTGAATTGTTTTGAATTGCAGCTATACGCGACGTAGCGCACTGATCCGACGAATTATAACAACCGCGCGCGCGTGTGCGTCGTTCCAATACTTGTGCGCGCTGCGCTGAATAACAAAACGAACTACTAATTTAAATTTTCCTACGGTGCTTCTTAAGAATCACCGTTGGAAATGCCTTCTTTCGTTGATTACTTCAAAATGACAGCTTCCCAGAAGGAATAATTTCACAGGGAGTTTAGTCCCCTTACTATCTTTCAACCAAGTTTGTTTTTCAACAATAATTACGCCAGTTACTTTTCGGATGGCTGCAAATGATGGACTATAGCTTTAATCAGTGTTCCCCTGTTGGGCAACTCCAGCGTTATGTCATGTCCGTGACAGAGCTCACAATAAACCTGAAAATGCATTTTTTTTTTTCAAATCTTATACATCCATCATCTAGTAATGGTCAAGGAGATTACAGACTAGGAGTTTTGGAACATTTCTCTGAATCGTTAACTAGATATCATGATTAAATGGCTCTGTCACGGACATTACACCTCCTTTTGTAACACTGAAATTCCGCATTTAACGTTAAGCTTAGGACTAACAAGAAGTCAGTGTTTCCTCTGAACAGCTGATTTTGTTTTTACACGTATTTTGCTTCTCATGTAATAGTCCAACATTTTTCAAGAATTGTTCTCAAAAAAAACTTTCATTGTGTGCTATATTGTAGAGGTTTAACTTTTGATGAGGTGTGCGTAGCTTCAAAACTCTACAGCATAGCACACAATGATTTTTTTTTTTTTACGCTCAAGTGGGGTATCGGGGAACAGGCCTAGGTTTTATGAAGAACTTAAAAATCTCATTGTCTTTGTTAGTCATTGCATTTTCTAATTTTCTCAAAGGTTTTCAAGTCACAAACAAAATGGTGGAGGATTATTGTGACTTGACTAGACAATGAGCTTGCATTCGACAGCTTCTCAAGTAATAGTCTAACATTTTTCACGAATTTTTCTCCAAAAACAAAGAGTTTTCATTATGTGCTATGTTGTAGACGTTTGAAACTATACGCTCCTCATCAGAAGTTGAAACTCTTGTAATCTTTTATTGTTACAGACTGAAAAGCTGTCGAATGCAAGTTCATTATCCAGTCAAGTCACAATAATCCTCCACCATTTTGTTTGTGACTTGAAAACTTTTGAGAAAATAAAAAAATGCGATGACTATCAAAGACAATGAGATTTTTAAGTTCTTCATAAAACCCAGGCCTGTTCCCAACTGGAGCGTAGAAGCCCTTATTGCGTGGAGTCCGGTGCCCGCCCAAGGGCCCACAAAAATTTGGGATGCTAGATGCTCTGTGGAGCAATCTGAGGCATTTCCTGGCCACTTTCCTACCCCCCCCCTCCCCCCCCCCCCCCAGCGTAGGGGCTTGAAACCCATCACATTTACAACTGTATTTAGCCCTACGATAGTCTACCACTGATAACTTTTGTGACATCAATTTTTCATCCATTTTCTTCATTTTTGTTGTCCCTCCAGGTACAATTTCCCCTGCAAGGGATGGGTACCGCTGGGCTTTGGCAAGGACAGCGCCATGAGACTCAACTGTAAAAAAGTGGACGAGGGAAAAATGGCCACAACTCGAAGTGAGTCCAGATGAATTTTAAAATCCCTATATTTTTGCAATTATTGGACACTACTTGCAAACATCCACAAATGGAACTGCCAAAATATCATGAATTATCTTCAAGTTAACCTGAATCCTAGATCCTGATTGGTTGATCCATGGCAACAAGCCATGCAACATATAACCATGTAGCACGGTCAGGGTCCATACCGCAGTCTGCGTATGGACCATTCCGTACAACGCGCACGTGTAACAGGATAACTGCTGGAAAGTTTGTGTACAGGGTGCGGGTTCCATCTTTACTGTGCATCAAGTTTGCTTGAAGATAAATTTGTAGTCCCACTCACGCTTTTTAGTTTATATGTCTCCTCATTTTCGTTCCATCAGACCTTGCTCCGGTGCAGTATGAGGTTGTCGTAGTGACAGCCAATGAGAAAGGAGCTGGAACTGACGCCAATGTCTGCATTATCATATATGGCAGCAACGGAGACTCAGGAAAACAGCCGCTCAAGCAACGCTTCAGAGACCTCTTTGAGAAAGGTAGGTGATATGCAAGGGCTCGATATTCCATTTAACAACTGTCGGCTGCTGTGCTTTGGGACAGGTTTTTGAACAGCAACAATCTTTATGACGTCTTAACATAGCATGGCCGGCGCGGCGAGGCTGCAGACTACCGGACGTATTCATGAGATTGGCAATTTGCATAAACCTTGCGTTCCTCCTGCGTTCCAGACTGGTTGTCAAGTGCTCTTTTGTTTGGCACAGATGAACATTCTAGTCGGGATTCTGCGGGATACTTGCGTTCCAGAACAATCAGTCTATTTGGGGATGGGGCCTTAATACAATGGATGTACCAGCGGTGGCGGAACAGTTTGGATAGTGGGGGGAGCCAAAGCACCGTCTGTGCTAATGGCCGTTGCATATTCGAAGGGGGGAGGGGCCTAAAACTCATTCATCAATAGGGGCGCCCTTTTCCAAGAGTACGCTATCCGGTTCCTTAGTTTGATGTTAGTTCAGTTTAAACCACGCCCACTGGCCATTAAGTAGCATTCATAAATACCTAAGACAGTTTACGCATTCCTATTGGTCGAGAGCCCGTCACGTGGCCGGTCTTAAACGGATGATAAAGACATGGCTAGCTGGTCTTAAACACTTTTCCAGTGTCACAATAAAATGTGGACTCCTAAAAATCCAGTGCCTCTTATCATTTCATTGGTTGAACGTTCACAATCCTCACGTAGGCATGCGCAACACTGCCAGGGAGTCAGAATTTTATAGTTCTAAATTCAAAACGCAACGCGCCAGGTGCGTTCTGCGCGACATCGCGCAGAACATGATACGCGCGCGTCAATCTCCATAAAAGGGTTGTTTACATCTTACTCGCCAGCTGAACACTCCATTATTTTGCAAGAGTGGTGTTTCAAAAAGCATAAAGTGAATTTGTTGAACAAAATCGGGACGTTTTGAACGAATTATATGATTTGCTTTTACCGAAAAGGTATTTATGAATGGGAATAAATATGTGCTCCGTCGGTATTTATCACTCTGTTTAAGACCACTTAGAGTCTGGGTGCTGATAATTACCCTCGCCTCCGGCTCGGGTAATTATCAGCACCCAGACTCTAAGTGGTCTTAAACAGAGTGATAAAAACCTCCAGCGCACACATTTATTCCCTTATTGAAACATTGGAACCGAAAGTTAATGCACGTTGAGTGTTTATCCAATGGGCACTAGTAATCAGTGCCCCCCCCCCCCCCCCCAGTTCTGGCATACATCCCAATAAATCAATTCACCCCATAGTTTAGTTTATAATATCATAAATCCAAAATAACCATGTTGTCAATATACTAGGCCTACAATGTACCTTTCTGAAATTATTTTACAAGTGTTTCAGAAATTGGCAGATAGCATGAAATTGGTAACTTTATCTAGTGTGGAGAATTCGCTATATTTCTGCCAACCTCCTGCTGAAAAATTGCACAGTTTTGCAGCCTAAAACCTATATTTTGGGAAAACCTTATAAATCTACATTTTGATTTTCCAAACCTTTTGAAAATCCTATATTGATGAAGAAAGGCACTGAGGGGCCTGTGTTTAGTTTCAATGCACTGGTTCTTTTCAGAACCACACAAACTTACAAAACAAACCTTGTCACATGGTGTAACCCCAAATTGCAGACTTTACCATGCAAACCTTCACAATATCTGAAACATATATTTTGGAAACGAACTTCCATGCTCGGTATATTTTGATGTCTACAACAGGCCAGACAGACAAGTTCACATTGGAGGTTCTAGACCTGGGAGACCTCCAGAAGATTCATATAGAGCACGACAACAAAGGCTTCAACGCCGGCTGGCTGTGTGATCATGTGACCATCACCAACCTGGCCACGGGCAAACAGACGCTCTTCCCCTGCGGCAAGTGGCTGGACAAGAGCAAAGGAGACGGGGAGCTCTTCAAGGAGCTGTATCCGGTAGCTGAGTAAAATCATGTGGTGGCCATTTGATAGACATGCAGTGGCCATATGGTGGACATGTGACGACCATGTGATGGACATGTAACGACCATGTGATGGACATGTGATGTCCATGTGATGGACATGTGACGACCATGTGATAGACATATGCAGTGGCCATGTGGTGGACATAGTGTCCATGTGGTAGACATACATGTACGACCACCATGTGATAGACATGAGATGGACATATGATAGACATGCAATTGGCAGTGTGAGACATGCGATGGCCAAAGTGTAGACATATGCAAGGTCATGTGATAGATATGCGATGGCCATGTAATAGACATTTGATGGACATGTGCTATCCATGTGGTGGTCATGTCTTAGCCCCACATGCTGCCCATGTGATGACCATGTGATGGCCATGATATGGCCATTTAAAATTTGATGTTCATTGAACGACCAATCCCATGACAATGTGAGGACTACTCTGTATGTTTTTGCACGTACATTTTCGGTTGTGCAGGAAACTGATGCTTTATACTGGTAGGGAGTATTTCATAAACTTTCAACAACTACATGTATTTCTTCGGTGAAGTCTATTTAACATCTCAAATTCTCTTTGTTGCTGATTCTAGTATCCATTTATGTTCTGACCATGGTAGTATAATGATCGCGTGACAATCTTGTGACGGGTGTGAAATATTTCTTTGGTGAACAATTTCGGTCTAGTTTCAAGTTTACTGCCTACAAACATTCCTACTTTTTAACTTGCGAGCCAAAAATTTTATTTTCCAGAACTTTTTGCGACCCATGTGATGACTGTATGATATTTATGTGATGTGATTATCATGTGATTATCATGTGATTATCATGTAATCATCATGTGATTATCATGTGATTTCAGTCTTACATCGTATAAGGCTTCACGATTCCTAATTATCTCCAAAGTTTGCAATGAGACATCAGAGATCACATGCAATATGCACAGCAATATGTAACTGGGCATGATGCAAATGATTCGAAAACTAAAAAGTGAATTTTTTTCCAATACAATCGCAAATAATCTGAAATGTTTAAATTTAAAGAAATATTTTAAATAGCTTTCTTTTTGTGATCATGGATATGAATGAATTCCAACCTATGAGGTACATGTATAAAGATTTGGTTTTACAATTTATTGAATACTCAGGGAAAGAATATTTTTGTATTCCTTCACATTTGTTTTACTGTTAGAATCACATACACATATCCCACAGAACTCCCCCGTAGCTTTATTTGAGCTAATTAGCCATTATATTGCTGAAACATAATACACCGCTTTATGTCTTACGAAAGTAAGTAGCAGCGTTGTAGTCGTGTACGAGTACCGTCATTTCGAGAACGAGTACTTTGACCTTCGAGTTTGAGTACAAGTTTTTTTTTTTTTTAAAGTACTTGAGTAGTACTCGAGTACGAGTGCCGAGTACGAATACTGCAACACTGGTAGGTAGTTCGGTACTCAAATCATAATTTTAATACAATGGGCAATTGGCACTTCGCAGACTCGAATATCACATTCCTTACTTCTAACAGTTCCTCAATGGCAAAGTCACTACTGAGAAGTATCTGTACGGAGACAGACGGTGAACTCTTCATTTTTAAAACGATTTCCTGTATCAAAGGGTCAATATCTAACAGAAAAATCGGAGAGCCAATGTCACAAACATCTTGTCTGTTTGACTCCTTTGCTCGATGTAGTCAGTAAATCAGTCAGACAGTCCACTAAATAGCACAAATGGCATAAATGCTCAGTATGCGAGGAATTTTATTTGCGAGTGTGGAATTTAGTTGAAGCGAAGTTGGACATAAGCCTTAATTTTAATCTTCATTACATTCCTAAATCAAGCAGTTCACGTTCTACCAATTTGTTTTGAGTTGTTCATAAATTGATCGATAGTTTGGAAACCTTTTCTCTTTTCAAGTGGGAGGGAAAGAATTATATAACCAAACTGAAGAGAGGTGTATTTTGTCTCGGGCACTGTCTTTTAGTTGGTAATTTCCTCAAAACTTCATTGTAGAATACTTAACTGTGCGTAGATAGTGCTTGTTCCTTTGTTATAAATATCATAGTGAAGTGACATCTAGGTTGTTAAAAAAAAGTTAGTTGGCTTTTTTTTGTGGCTTCTTGTAAAAACTGCGTGTATAGTTTGTACTTTTTTAGCTGCAAGCTGTGTCTATGGCTTTCGGTCTTTTCCCGTGAATTGCACATGCTGAAGAGAGTACAGGGTACTAGTCCTTTGCCTAAAAGTGTAGATATTGTGTATAGTCATTCAGATACTACTCTAAAGAGAGGCTATGGCTCAGAATTTAGTCAGGCACCTTGATTTCCAACCCATTTTGTATGATGTAATGTAATTAGATCTCGGTCATTCGGTTTTTTTTATTATAGAAAAGCCAATTATAAGACACTTAACATTCCTATTTACAGGTAACGGGCGCCGCCATTTTATTTTATTTGTTATAAATAAAGATCTCCACATTCCCTTCAGAACCATGAAAACAAATCATTTTAGTATTACCAAAAAAATATATAAAATTTAAAAAAAAAATTAGAATCTAAGACAGGAATATTGTAGGGAACCGCCAGTGTAGGGCTGGATAGCTCAGTTGGTAGAGCACTTGAACGGCAATCAAGGAGGTCACAGGTTCAAACCCCGTTCCAGTCAATTTCTTTGCTCAACTTTAAAAAACAAAGTACAGGAATATTTTAGATGCGTACCTGTCTGTTAAAATGATAGTCCAGCAAAGAAAATCTGTATGGACTTTTGCCCCATTTTTGTCTGTAACAGGGTCTGTCTAGTTGAGGGTTACAAAAATAACCTGAACAATTTATCAGTGGAGAGAAATTTTGAAATATAAGGGCCGATCAAAGTACTCTTTTGTTTTTTTGTTACTTTTGTGGGATATTAGTTCGAAGTTCAAGTGTTCAAGCAGGCAAAGTTTAAAATGTTTAATATTTGTATTGCCACTGCCGCAATGTGAACCAAAATCTCTTGTGCAATTGTGTCAAACTGGATGTTTATTAGTCAACCCCCAAATAATTTCATTTTATCATGACATACTTGTAATACGTCGGACATTTGTAATAATTTGTAAATAACTTGTATTCGAGTATTTTTTTTTTTAAAGAATATGTTATTGTTTTTATTTGTTTTGTTAATTGTTATTAATTAGTTTTTTTAATATGAAAAAAGTAAGACTGCTGCAAACTGCTTACTGACTGGGTGGACCTGAAATATATAAATCTAAAAATTAATGTGGCCTGACGTTGCGAACTTAGCAAGTTCTTCTTCAGAGGCTAAAACAGAAATGACAGAGGTACATACATTAACATGGGGGTGCACACAAACATGCAGGGATGAAAGAAGAAACACAAAAGGAGGATTAGGTGGGAAAGGTGTGGAAAGATGCAGGGGAGGGTGGATGAGAGAACAAAGAAACAAAGGGAGATGGCAAACCACAAGGGGTCTGGTATGAACAGGGGAGGGACCAGAAAGGGGAAGGATCAAAGGTCACAGGGAGTGGGAACGGACAAAAGAGTGTGGGAGAGAAGGGGGATTATGCGGGGGGGGGGAACAGTATGGAGGTGGAAAGGGATGAAAGATGGGGAAAGATGGGGAAACACAAACAATGAAGACCAGGTGGATTATCTGTAACAGAAGACAATGGAGGAAGAAAAATATTAATCATTTCCAAGTTGGATGTTGAGACCATGTGGTTGAATAGTTCGAAGACGATTCATCCACACTTTCTCTCTGCTGAGGCGAACTGAGTCCTTGCGATGGCCAAGAGATTCAATGCCCTGCAAAATCATATCAGAAATGGAGTGGTTAGGCAGGTTGAAGTGATGACCAACAGGGGTGTCTAGTTTCTTGGTGTGGACCGTTGACCGGTGGGCATAGAAACGCTTCTTGAGCGTATTCTTAGTCTCACCTACATACTGCACTTTTTTTTAATAGGTATACTTACTGCAATATATTTTTTTTTGTTTACACAAATTATCAGAATCAGATTCAGAATTATTTTTTGTGTCTAAGCAAAGTTGTATTCAATGCTTTAGGTCCATATATAAAAACTTCAGCTGATGAGGAAGTTCAGTGATCTTCCCAAAGATAAGTCCTGTATTGTTGTATTTTGTAAAATCATTTGAATACTGCTCGAGTCTATAGTCTAGCAAAACGAAAACAATTCTTATAGGGATGCATGCGAATTGTTGTCGTTTTGCTGCAAGAACACTTACCTTTCTTTGTGATCCGTGGACAGAACTTTAAAAACGGTGTTTGTGTTGACTTGAAAAGTGCATGAGTGGTTTGAATGATTCTTGTACTTAAAGAAAGCTCATTGATTGGGCTTTCATATCCTAGATTTTGAAAGTGATAAAAGCAAAACTTCATTCAAATATTAGTCATGTCATTTGGGTTTCTTTTTTTTTTTTACTCGCCCTGTACTCTAGCTTGTATACATGTAAGTGTGATTTTGTGGTGTGTTTTTTTCTAAGTAACAAATTTTTAACAAACCTATTTCTTGTAAAGTCGTTAAAAACTCTTTCTACGCTCTGTGAGGCTGTACCTTTTTAAAAACATACTTCAGGAAAAATACCTAGGCCTTATTCGTAACACTTTTTCTTAGAATTTTTTTTTTGTAAATGCGGCTTCTTACTATAAACAGATGTGTATATTTTGTGAATTGAATAATTTGGATAATACGCTCGAAATGTCATTGTTGCATTGTGTGTGTATATATTTGTGAAAAAAAATATCTTACGAAGGGCTTGTCCCCAGTTTGTACTTTGAATGTACTTCAGAGGCTTAGTATAATAAACATGAGTCTAGTAATAATAAGATTGCAAATCTTGTATTTATTCTTTGGCTGTCGGTGACTGTTTGAGGACATGTTGAAAGGGAGTACAGTATATTATGTCGTATTTTTGACCATTGCATTTTTGGTTTTGCTAAAGAAGGATTTTTTGTCATATTTGGATAGAGTTTACTTTCCTTAGCCAGATATCCATTGGTAACATTTTTTCCATCTACTGTGTGGCGGCCATCTTGGATTTCAAAATGGCCGCCATTTCGGACCTAATTGATAGTTTGGACCTCATGTCATATCCATTTTGGTGGCAAACCCCATGTTTGTGATACTCGGGAACCCAAGTAAATCATTGTTTATAGTGTACTCCAAATGGATGGCTGCCATCTTGGATATTTCAAAATGGCCGCCATTTTTGACTAATTTGCATAATAAATTTGGACTCGAATGTCATATGAAGTCCATTTTGGTGGCAAACCCCATAAATTTGATACTAAGGAATCCAAATAAAACATTGTTGAGCTATTTCAAGCTTCAGGCTTGTGAGCTACAGTGCCTGGGGCATGCACTTTTGAGGAATCCCTGGTTTTATTACCAGAAATAAATAAATAAATAATTTAATAATCGTTTACTTCGTTTCTTATGAAAAAAAAAACATTAAATGCTTCAGATTTCAAATACGCACTTGTCATTTTTCAAGGCTGGGTTGGGGCAACCTTGAAATGATAAAGCAAATAATTCTGCGCAAAAAGTGCTGCATTTATTAATGTTAATCGCGAAAAATTAATATTAACAAAGTTCATGAAGTACAAATAATACCGTGTTCGTATGATTAAAACATGGCATTTGCTTTTACTACTAATGTTTAAGCATTTACTCGCATCTGTATGAAAAGAAATTAAGCAAGCGCTTTTACTGGAAACAATTTCCAACAATCGGAAAATAATTGATGTTTATCTTTTAGCTTTTGCTACACTATAAGCGTTTGCTTCGTTTCATAATTATGAATAAAAAAGAGTAAATGCTTCTTTTTTCAAATATTTACTTGTCATATATTAAGGCTGGGTTGGGGCTACCTTGAAAATATACAGCACATAAATCTGCGCACAAATCTCTGCATTTATTAATGTTAATCGCGAAAAATTAATATTAACGAAGTTCGTAAAGTACAGATGATACCATAGTTCGTATGAAAAAAAAACTGGCATTTGCATTTACTGCCAATTTCTAAGCACTTACTTGCATCTGTATGAATAAAAAATTAAGCAAACGATTTTACTGAATTTTGCACTGGAGCAAATTGGGCCTGCACAATTTAAAGGTTTACAGGTATATTTTGAAGAAAATATAATTATCGTAACCGAAACGGAAAGCGGCACGTGTGTGCACAGCGCGCACATACGCGGTTCGCATTGCTAGCTTCGCGCGTGTTGAGCTAGGTCGCGTGCTGGAGGACAGATAATAAGCTGTATGACTTTATGTTAATTTTTTGCGCTTCCTCGAGAGGCCACAAAAATGGCGCACATTTATTTCACAGTGAATGGGGCGTATGCTCGCGCTGCCAATCTTGTCTTTTTTATTCTATATCTATGGCCGTAGTACAGACCAGCAAAATTAACTTCATACGACATTCGAGTCCAAGTTTATTATGCAAATTAGTTTAGAATGGCAGCAATTTTGAAATATCCAAGATGGCTGCCATCTATTGAGGGTACCCCGTCAACAATAATTTATTTGGGTTCCTTGGTATCAGAAACACGGGATCTCTCACCAAAATGGACAACATTCAGGTTGCAGTGTTAAATATTTTAAATGAAATCCAAGATGGCGGCTATTTTGAAATATTCAAGATTGCTGCCATTCATCCGGGACACCTCATCAACAATGTATTTAGATTCCTTAGTCAGATTTATCGGGTTTGTGACCAAAATGGACTTCTTACGACATTCAAGTCCAAATTTATTATGCAAATAAGTCGAAATGGCGGCCATTTTGCAATATCCAAGATGGCTGCCATACATTTGAAGTACACCATAAACAATGATTTATTCGGGTTCCTTGGTATCAAAACATAGGGTTTGCCACCAAAATCGACTTCATATGACAGTCAGGTCCGAAGTTATGATACACCAGTGATGTAGTGCCTTGATGCTGGGCCTTGGCCTTAAGGCTGCCTTAAGGCTGGATTTTAGGGCCTTGGCCTTGGCCTCGAGGCTTGAGGGCAAAAGCCTTGGCCTTGGCCTTGGCCTTGAGGGTTCAGGGCCTTGCAATTTTGAGTCAAGGCTCTTCAAGGCCCATAGATTTTTGCATTTTCCAGATAAATCTGTTCGAAATTTTGCTGTTACCATTTTAATTGTATTACCATGGAGGAGGGAAGCACCCTGTAGATTTGTGTGTTGGGCACACTTCCACTTTTGTAGCATCACATTTTGTTACCATTGTAGTAGATTTGCTGCAAAAATATTCCGTACACTTGTGGGGCTAATGAGATGATCACTTTAATTGCATATAACTATGGAATAGATCTGATTGGTTGTATATGTCTCCCTGATAAGTGCTAAAGATTTCCATGTATCTGTTTTAGATAATGCTGATATTTCTGACCATGTTGGGCCAGCAAATAAAAAATTCCCAAATCAGTTTCTTGGATCCCCCTTTTGTTACACTTGGGAGAATTGTGTGTCAACATAGAAGTAAATCATTATTTTGTTTAGTTAAACCATATTGAAGACCTGAACTTATACAGTGCAGTCATAAAATGGTGTAGGCCTATGCGAGTATGTTGATTGCAATTAAAGAAATGTTGTTCTTCGTAACGAGCAATTCGTGATGATAAGGGCAGATCCAGGGGGGCCAAAAGGGGCCATGCCCCCCCCAAAAAAAAAAACCCAAACGAAACCATTTTTTTTATGTGACGTCGTAATAAAGGCAGGCAATGAGTACACCACCATCTTTTCCTCAAAAAACATCGGTTAAAATGGTCAGAAATTGCCTCAAATCGCACCACAGAGCATCTCGAATCCAAATTTTTTTCGGGGCCCTTAAACGGGCCCTGAAGCCCAAGCCGTCATTTTTTGACCCACTTTTTTTTGGGGGGGGGACACCAAAATTTCTTTGCCCCCCCCCCCCAAATTGTGTTCTGGATCCGCCCTTGCGTGTTGATGTGTCACTCGTGTGACTATAACTAGTTCTATATCAGTGGTCATTTCATAAAACAGGGCCTTGGCCTTGGCCTTGGCCTTGAGGGTTAAGCCTTGGCCTTGGCCTCGAGGCTTGAGGGTCAAAGCCTTGGCCTTGGCCTTGGCCTTGAGGGTCAAAGCCTTGGCCTTGGCCTTGGCCTTGAGGGTCAAAGCCTTTGCTCCAACACTGTGATACACATTAGGACCGAAATGGCAACCATTTTGAATCCGAGATGTCCGCCACATGGTAGATGGAAAAAGATGTTACCAATGGATTTCTGGCTAAGGAAGGTAAAATCTATCCAAGTATGACCCCAAAAAATCCTTCTTTAGCACAAAAAAAATGAAAAAAAGTACATAACAGCCTATAATAGGTGTCAAGTTACGTCACATTAAAGGTGCATTTTCTCTCCATAGCATTTGCACAGTGTTTTCTTCCACTAATACACTTTGGCACAAATAGACCAACACCTACAGATGGTCCCAAAAGATATCACGATGGCGTCATCATGGGTCCAGTTACGTCACATTTAAGGTGCATTTGTCAAAGCCCTATGTCTTCCGAAGTACAAGTCCGATTGGGTTGAATCATTAGTTGGCATGTAGACAGGAAAGTGTTATGTAAATTTAAGTGACGTCATCACGTGTCATGTGACCACATTAAAGGGGCATTTTGCTGAGGCCTAGTCAAGAGAACTAAAGGTCCGATTCAGTTGTACTTGATGTTATAGTGTGTATGTATTATACACGATATTTAGTGACATCATGAATTCATGATGAAACCTTTTGTCATCACGTCACGTAACAGAGCTGGGTTTGAAACTTTGTACCCATCGCGAGCTGGCGGGGCCACAGCTAGCGGTTGCTCCAACCACACTGCACTGCACTGCTTGCACTGGTGTATATTTTTGCAGTATTACTGCTCTGTCCCTCAAGATGGCCAGTACATGTAATCATTTGAGATACAAGGACAAGGTTGCCTTGGTTACTGGTGGATCTAAAGGAATTGGCGAAGGAATTGTTCGGGAATTTGGTGAGCTCTAGGATAGGTTTCATCTAGCTTGAGTAGCTCTATTTCAGCTTACTACATGCTCATCGGGAATTCGACATGTAACATGTCGAATTCCCGATGAGCACGATTGTAAGCTGGAACTCAAGCTAGTTTTCATCTTGGTCTGTTTTACTGAAACTTTTGCCAGCTTCAGTTTGTTTATCATTGTTTAGAATGACATTTTTCGATTTGTGTTTTTCTTTTTTAATTCTTTTATCTACAACTTAGCTAGGTTTCAGATGGCCTATTTATACATTTATTTTAAAGGGAATACAACATTCGTTTTTGCTGTAATGTCTAGAAATGGATGGATTTGGGGGGAGGGGATTTTATAGCAAATAATTGTTACACTGATGCCTGTGTTGGAGTCGAGTCCTCGAATCCGAGTACAGAGTACTCCGAGTAGTAGGGGCCGAGTCCAGGGCCGAGCCCAAGTACACAGTAACGAGTCCGAGTCAAGAATATTCTTCTGGGGTTTTCCACCCACCTCTAAAACTGTCACTGTCTTCTCCAGGGGCGGCGGAACCGGGGTGGGGGGGGGGGGGGCTGGGGGGGTGGGGGGGGGGGCATTTGCCCCCCCCCCCCAGATTTTCCCAAGTGCCCCTTTTGCGGCCATAAATATATGTGCCCCATCGAACAGTAAAGTGCCCCCTCAAGATACAACAAAAATGCCCTTAAAGTATCTTACTATTTCTTAGAAGTAACCATATCCCAATAATGGTATAGATATTTTTATATAAACGAGGAATAAGAAAACCAAGTCCCAAAACCCATACAATACGGCCTGAAAATGGGCACATAATGCATATTTAGCATATAATCATTGGTTTTGAAGAGCGCCCCCTATGTTGAAAGATGTGTCTTCTCTCTACAGGTTTCTTCAGGCTTGCGAGCTACAGTGCCTTAGGCATGCACTTTTGAGGAATCCTTGGTATCATTACCAGAAATAAATAAATAATTTAATAATTGTTTACTTAGTTTCGTATGGGAAAAGGATTCAGTGCTTCGGATTTCAAATATGCACTTGTCATTTTTTCAAGGCTGGGTTGGGGCAACCTTGAAATTATAAAGCAAATTATTCTGCGCAAAAAGTACTGTATTTAGTAATGTTAATTGCAAACAATTAATATTAACGCAAGTTCATAAAGTACACATGATACCACCATGTTCGTATGAATAAAACATGGCATTTGCTTTTACTTCCAATTGTTAAGCATTTACTCGCATTACTGCAAACCATTTGCTTAAATTGGAAAATGATTACTTTTTACCTTTTAGCTTTTGCTACACTATATGCGTTACTTCGTTTCATATGAAGAAAAAGGAGTAAATGCTTCATATTTCAAATATTTACTTGTTATATTTCAAGGCTGGGTTGGGGCAACCTTGAAAATATACCAGCATTTTAAAATGTTTAATGTTAATCGCGAAAAATTAATATTTACAAAGTTCATAAAGTACAAATAATACCATTGTTCGTCTGAATAAAAACCGGCATTTGCATTACTGTCAATTTTTAAACATTTACTTGCATCTGTATGAATACAAATTAAGCAAATGCTTTTACTTAATTTTGTTCTGGAGTAAATGGACTGCACAAAGGAGTACAGGTTAATAAGTTTGCAGAAAATATAATCATCGTATGGTGGCAATATTGGTGCAAATATTTGCAACATGGAGGCCATGTCGTGAATATTAGCGTCAATATATATGTGCGATGTCCCTTTGAAGCCACCATATCATCGTATAAACCGAAACGGAAAGCGGCACGTGTGTGCGCAGCGCGTACATACACGGAGCGCATTTCTAGCTTCGCGCACGTTGAGCTAGGTCACGTGCTGGAGGACAGTTATCAATGAAACAGGACAAATGATTTCATGTCATGTAACAGCCTTATACATGGACTTAATCTTGATTTGGTTGCTTTATTTCTGTGTTCCTTTTTTTTTTCTTTTGCAGTCAAGGCAGGAGCAAAAGTTGCATTTTGTGCAAGAGGGGGTAAGTGTGTACCATAAGGCTGAGTAAAAAAAACATAGTTTCTCGTCCGGCTGTTGAAAAAAAGATGAAGGAGGCGGGTATTTTTCTCTCCCCCCCCCCCCCCAAGATGGCCAATTTTCCAAGATGGCGGATAGAGTTTTCAGTTTTCTTGACTATTTTGCCGATACAAAATTGTGTCCAAGGAGCCACGACCCTTTCAGCATACACATGTAGCTATACATTAAGCTCATCCGTTGGTATTATGGGGTAATCCTATACAATAGCACTGCCCGACAGGTTACAGTGACAATGAGTCAGTCAGCGACAAGTCAGTGAGACCACTAGGCTGCCATACAAAAACACTTCAAAGTTGATCCCTGGCGGGAAGGACGAATTGATTGGGGAGCCGGGGGGGGGGGACATCTGAAACATCTTGACATAACCCTCCAATGCAAACATGCATTCAGTGTAGTAAAGTTGTCCTTTCAGCCAAAATTATTCAAGTGACCGTTTTTTAACAGTTAAAGAGTTCCCAACGTGTAGATACAGCAGGCTTGGCTGTGATTGTTTGTATAATTGATACAACTATGCTTTGGCTGTAGGTGATTGATAAGACAGCTGTGCCTACCAGTTGCCCGCTTTTGTCTGTTGACTGAATTTGACTAGTCAAAGTGCTTGCTTTAAATATGATCTGACTATTGATGACTAGCCTGTGTTAAAAGTAGGGGAAGTGCATGGATGAACATTTTGACTGTCTGTGACTGTTTAAATAGTACGAGGGTTAGCACGTGACGGTGCATTGTCATCAGTCTGGGAACGAGACAAGGAGGGATCCGAAGTTCCTGGATGTCTACGCACCAACCTACATCTATGTGAAGTTTTACATTTGCTTCCAAAATATCTGAAGTGGACGTCACCTTTTATAGTTCTTTGCATGATCATAAGAATGCGACAAATTGAAGTGTTTGTTTTCTTGTCGTCTTTACAGTGGAGGTTGGCAAAGCTCTGGAGGATGAAGTCAACAAGGCTGGGCCAGGAGAATGCTTCTTCATTAAGTGCGATGTCCAGAATGAAGAGGAGATTAAGGTGAACACACTGTAACAGTAGCCTTTGATTTCAAATTTGAATTGTCTGAATTTTGTTATACTTTTCCAAAGCCTACCAATTTTGGCAAACCACTCATACCACTTTCTAGTTTGTTAAAAAAAAACAATAATATTGTTTTTGAAAACAAAAAATTCAGATTGAGGCCAATGATAAATGGAAATGCACCTGGACCATTTTGATTGAAAATATTGGTTTGCTTGTCTGGTATAAGCACCGTCGATATCAGAATGTTCAATAATCGATATATGGGAAATCCAATATCGAGAATATTTGATATATCAATTATCCCATGTAAAATTTAAAGACCATAAAGATGACATTTTGATTAATAAAACACACTTTATGTCACAAATTTCCACGGCTTTCTCTGAAGCATATTGCTTAAACTTTTTTAAACCAATTTTTCGAGCTTAGCCGCTTAGCCACGGTGGCCTTGGCGAAAGGCTAACTATACATGCGTGCGTGCAGGGAATGGCGCGCGAGCATCTTGAAATAGCGTGACACGTAGAGTGCGATATCGACTGTGCGATTAGGTATAATATCACACTGTTGTTGCCATGGATCGACCAATCAGGATCAAGGATTCAAGTTTGCTTGAAGATAGAGAAGTTTATGATATATCCTGAATTTGTTTTTGTTTTCAGAGAACAGTAGAGCAGACAGTGGACAAATATAAAAGACTAGATTGTCTTGTCAACAATGCTGGATGGCGTAAGTAAACAAACGAAAAAATTGATTTCAAAAGTAGTTCCCTACATTGATAGAGAAAAGTTTTTGTTGGCTATGCAAACCACGTTGTATACCCACCTATAGTCTGTCGTTTGAAATCAAGACTGGACTTGCATAGTTCAGCTGGACCTGAAAGTTTTCGGTTGAGAACTTTATTTATACGCATTGACTCAGTCAGTCAGAGGACAACAGACAACACTTACAGGCTCATTAAAATTTTTTGAAATATTAGGAGCATTTCTTTTCAAACTGGGTCTTATTTCGGAGTTAACAGGGTAAGGTGCGTGTACAAACACTGCCTTGTGGGGTACCGGAACAATGGGAGGTACCCCACAAGGAATGCCCACCGACTTGCGGGGTACCGTTTTGGTACCCCACAAGTTTTTCACGAAATAGATGTATACATTTTACTCAAAAACTAGGAATTTCCAAGGTGGGTTGATGTGTCGCAAATGGAAGAGTTTTAAAAAAAGGGATATTAAGTCCAAATTTCAACCCGGGAAATTAACTATGGTTAAAATAAGAGCATTTTGACATAAGTGTGCGACGTTGCAAAATTTTAGTACACGAGAACAAAGGAAGTACCCCACTTCTATGCCTATGTAAGCGTGGGTGAGCTAGTGAGGGTTTGCGACAACACCGTGGGGAAGAATCTCTTTAAAGAAGATGTGTGGTCCTGTTTGTTGTGAAACTCGACGTTCCGATCAGAAGTATCCTCCGATCATCTTCAGGAGGAAGCCGTACAGAGTGGATGAATATTTGTAGGGCTAGATGATTACTGAGGCGTGGAGTTGTGGATGATGAAGGCTGATCGCTGAGGCGTGGTGAGAATACTGTGGTGGGGGAGTGGGGTGTGTCATCACTGAACCATGTCAGTGGTGGATAGGGTGGCAGAGGGTATAGGAGACCCATGCGCATGATGGGCTGGGTAACCGTTGATATAGGTGATCCATCTTCTCAAAAGAGATTCTTCCACATGGTGTTATTTACGGCCAACCCTCACTAGTTTATACTACTGCCTTGTAAAGTTTCAAATCTTATCAAAACTTATTTAGGATAAGGTAAGTTTCAGAAGATGCATTTCAGGTCAGGCGTATTGTCTCAAGGAGTCTTGCTCGATTCTCTTGAAATTAGCACCTCTTACCCAAAACACACAATTTGGTTTAGAGAACAATGTCTTAAGAACTCAAAACAATCGGAAAGTGACAATCTTTGTTTGAATTTGGAATAACAATATTCCTTAAAAGGAAAGTTTAATGTCAAAACTGGAATATACTTATGTATATGGAATACACTTGTTCCAAGATGTTCCCAGGCTTAAGTTTACTTTCGACCCGTGTTTATTTGCACTATAGACCCCCCTGAGGAGTCCATTGATGACATCACAGTGGAGCATTTCAAGTGGCTCATCAACTTCAATCTCGTCAGCTATTTCTCCTTCAGCAAGGTGGCTGTTTTTTTTTTTATCGTTTTATGTGTCGCTGTTTTGTTCCTAACTTTAATGTCAATTTAAGAAATCCTGATTGCTAGGAATTTCCATTTGGGATGGCGGCCTCTTCTAATTTAGAAAACAGGTTTTGTTTTCGTCTCGATACAGTCCAGAGATTGTTGTTTTTCTCACACCAAAACACAATACAAGCACACATAGTCCATAACACTAGAATTAAACAGTGCATACAACGGCTTTTCAGATAAAGCAGTTTTCAAACTATTAACATATGCTCCTTCATTGTCACACATATATTCTAGGATCTCACAGAAAATTGTGTTCTGTATTTCAGTTTAAAAAAAATGATTTCTAGATGCTCTCAGCTACGTGAAATTGTTGCGGGAAGGAAAATTATTTCAAAATGGATTGGTTTTGTCGTGTTGCATTAGATACAGAGCAACATTACTTGGGTAGAAAAATTTGATAGAAGAATATCAATTTTTCACTTTTTTTTTACCCATTAGCCAAAACGATCCTCAACCAGCCAAACTCAAACACCATGTTTTGGGGATCTGTTAGGATGAGTACTGCACTAGTAAACTGACTGTGCTTTACGTGGGATTGCATAACACATAAACAGAGTCCATCTGTTTATGGGTGCATACCTGCAAATAAACTCCCATAGACACTAGTGCTAAATGCCCGTACTTCAAAATTCTTTTAAAAATACTCAAAACTCTCACAGGTATTCAAGCTGCACAGAAAAATGATGATCAATGTGTCATCTTTCAATTTCTTTTCAATTTATGGTGGGTTGACCATTGACTTTTCGAGATATTTTCACGCAAAGAAGACGACCCCTATTTTCCCCAAAGCGGAAAAGTAGCCATCTTGAAAAACGATCCCTCCACAACATGGCAAAATAGCGCCACTTTCGAGCCCAATAGCATCAAAAATGCTCAGAATTGGAAGCCCCAAGTCCGGGCCAGAGGTTCACTGCCATATCTCTTCAATTCCCCAATTTTACGGCGCTCAGAACTCTCTAATATAGAATATTTTGAGGGTATAACTTTTATTCATGAGCTTGGCGGATCGATTTACCGGTGTGTACCCTATAGTGCACAATCTACGATATGGTGTCGGGATTTGCAACGATGAGGAAGTTCGGGTTAGTGACTGTACTGCCCCCAACGGCCCTGCCTTCTACTTCTTGTAGCCCCTAAACCATAAACCTAAACAATGCGATACAATGTAGTACAGTTGCTAATGGGTTAATTGAATGTTGTTGTTTTATGATTATATTTTTGTCCTATTAGTATGCACTGCCCCATCTCCGAAAGAACAAAGGCAACATCATCAACATATCCAGTCTGGTAGCCAAGATTGGGCAAAATAGTGCCGTGCCTTATGTAACGACAAAGGTATCTATGACATTGTCCCTGTTAATTGTTGTTATTACTGCTTCTGTTTCTTTCTTTTTTTATACTGCTACATGTACTACATCGGCTACTAATGAATGCTTTGTCGCATAGGCCTATGCCACTGCTGTTGTTTTTAAAATTGTATTTGTTGTTGTTGTTGCTGATTTTGTTGTTGTTGTTACTGTTAGTTGTTGTTTTCAATTCAATTGTTTGTTGTTGCTGCTATTATTGTGTTGGTGGTGTTGCTACTGCTTCTGTTGTTTTTATAATAATAATAATGACGGGTACTTATATAGCGATATTCGCTAAGATCAAAGCGATTTACAAAGCAATGAAACATTCAATCTCAGCTCCCTGGGGAGTATTCAGCTTGATGCTGCCATGTCGGCGTAAGGCAGCTAAACTCAATCACAATAACCATCTCTGCACTCACAGGTACCCATTTACTCCTGGGTGGGGAGAAGCGATGAGTAAAAAAGTTCCTTGCCCAAGGGCACACGCACCTTAGCCGCAGGCTGGACTCGAACCCACAACCTGCAGAATTAGCAGCAGACCACGAGTTCAATGCTCCACACCACGAGGCTATAGCACTCCGGATGTTTGATGAACATATTTTCGTATTTGTTTTGTTTGGAGTTGTTGCAGCTAGCTGCGGCGGCCTTCTTTTTGTTTGTAATTTTGCTTTGTTTTTGCTGCTGCTGTTGTTTTGGTTGTTGCCTATGTGTTTAATCTTTGCTGCCGATGTTGCTTTTGTTTGGTTGGCGGTTGGGTTGGTGGCATTTTTGGTTGGTTTTTTTTTGGGGGGGGGGTGTTCCCTCCTGGAGACAAATCTTTTCAAATCTTGAATTTTCTTCTAATATGTTGACTTTTCACTTGCCGGTGCCTTTAATTTTGCACATTTTGTTCGTTCCTTTTTCTTGAAATTTGATGCACATTTTTGTTACTGTCGTTTTATATCAGGGAGGTATTGAATGCAATGACGAGGGCTATGGCTGTCGATGAAGCCAAGTACGAAGTTCGTGTCAACATGTGGGTATTCACCATCCAATAGATTATGTAAGGGCGGTCGTTGGCACAGCAACGGGATCACCCCAATGTAAACATGGCCGCCACTCATCTGCAGTACCAATGGCTGGATCAGTTGCCAAGTGTACATGTGTGATGTGATTCATTCCTGGGATGGATTATGTAACACTTTAATAGTTAATTACCAAATGGATCCAGACAGACTGGTCGAAGTCTTGAAATAAATCTAGTGGTCAAACAGGGTGTCTAAAAAAAAACGAACCCTCAAGCGACCGGTCTTCTTTCTTTCTTTTACAGCTTTAGAAAACATACATCGCATATATTTAGAGAGTATAGTCCAGAGAGTATAGCTTTTCAACAATGAAACAAATCTGTCCAATCGGCTTTATATTATTGAGTTATGGCCAATTAAAAATAAGTGCCGATTTGTCAATCTGTCCACGGTCTTAATTGTCAGTAATTGTTAAGTGGTCGGGCACAACCCGACCACTGTTTAAAATCGTTCCGATTAAGGATTCTTCTTTCTTTCCTTTTTTTGGCACAATAATTCTCCGCGGGTTTTCTCCTAAACGGTTTATGATATGAACTTGTAACTTTCAACAAATATCAACCCTCATTCCGAGAAGTGCATATTACTCTGACGTTCGTCGTGATGACGTCGTCGGGTGTCAAATTACAAGCGGTATTATATTGCGGTAGTCAAAATATCAGTCGCTGTGGACAAAATGATAAAGCGGTACTTGTTTTTAACTTTTTTGCAATGACCTTCATTGAGATAATATATGATAAAAAAAGTAGCGTCAGGATGCAACATTCTTTCCTCTAATCCATGCAGTGCATCAGGTAGGATTCGAACAGTGTTAATAATATGAGAAAAATAACTCAATTGACCCGAATAAAAATGCCGTCCGCTTCGTTTACATTTGAAGCTTGGTGGCACTCGTCTACATGGCTACTATAAGAATGTGCACATGTAAATAGAATGGAAGTCATTATGATTCAGGTCTATTTGTTTGCACATAACAACCAGACAACTTGTTCGGATTTCAATCCTTGCTCTCTTACAGGCCATTGACTGTACAACCCGAATTTACAAATATTGAAGCGTTTTAATTGGAGAGTGTACCAAAGTAATCTCTTTACATATCCCTGTTGTATGAAGCTGAATATGGGTCCCAAATCCCGCAAGGCAGGGGCCTCTTCTCTTTCGGTCAACCTCAGAGACAATTTTTTTTTTTTAAGTTTTCAAAAAGGGTATCAAATGCTCAATGTTTCACTCATGACATGTGTATAAACCAACAGGAAACCAACATGAGTATTTAAACCAACAGCTAAAATTACGCATCTTCATTTCCCCTTAATACAAACATGCAGTTTCTCCCCTGGCAATATTTGGACACCCCTGTGGGAAAGTTGTGCAAAAGCCTCTGCCAACCCGGAGGCAATGAAGACAGGTGGAGCTGAGGCACAGGTGAGAGGTCAATGGGATGTTTCATTGACAGTGGTGGGTTAATTCTCAGAAATAGGAATAGTTATAATTTCAACCAAAACTCACTTGAACTTGTATTGTCGTTAAAAAAAAGTTCTCCCTAAAATCATTTGAAAAACTGTGTCATAATCACTCGAAGATTTGCATTTGAAATATCAGCATTCTTTATGAAATCAAAAACTTGGATGAGAATTTAATATGAAAAAAAATCCATGTGTAAAATCCTTGCAGCTGAATGGTCGGTTTGGCACACTGGAAGAATCGGGCAAGCTGTGCCTTTTCATTGCTGCCGACGCCACCTTCTGCACTGGCAACGACTTTTTGATGTCGGGAGGGGCGGAGCTAAACTTCGCCTGCAAGACCCAGATGAAGGAACGCAGCAATATTTACGAATAATTGCCGGGGGCAGTTTCATAGTCATTATCAGTTGCATTTCCCTTGCTCACTACCAAATTCTATTTTCTCTTTATACATTTTCAACTTGTATGTTTCATTCCAACCAAATATAACTCTTTTCTTTATTTTCCTTCTTGTTGTTTGGGGCTTCAGTAACCTTCTGGGAAAAATTGGTTTTATTTTTGGCACAAACAGATCCGCCTTGTGAGCAGACTGGCTCCCGGCCTATTATCGATACCGATTGTGGGGCGGGAACTAGCCTGTCATGTGATCTCGATTGGATTTATAATTGTCAGGCTGCCAGTAATTTGAAATCTGTAGAGTAAATATGGTCCAATAACCCAAACAATTACGCCAATATTTATCAGTCGATGCAAAAAATGACTATCTTTTGTATTGCTAGAAAAATAGCAATTTAGAAAAGGAATTTAATTTTTTAGGATGAAACTCGAAAGGTGAAGCAATTGTAGGCACAAACATTTGATAAACACAGAAATTATTTGCAGAGCTAAAATAGGACAATTTATAAATGATTTTAAAAAACTTCAGTACTAATAAACAAACATAAAGGATTCATTCCAAAAGAGATATATCTTAAGAAATAATTTCTGTGTAATAGTTTAGTTAGCAGTAAAGTCTGTATCAACATACCTTCCATTTCGTAAACACGTGATGATTATTATCTTATAATTTAGCTTGAATTAATTTATCCATTTATAACTCCTGTATCAATTTCAAGTTTTCAATTAACTCTCATATCAATTTCAGTTTGAATTGGAGTAGAGTGAACATTGCGCGGTACTTTTGTCTAAGGATAAAATATTTTACTTTTAACCAGGTCGCGCCGGGATTATTTTAACAAGAATGGAATGAGGCGCGGAATTATTTTTCCCTCGACCTCAAGTCTCAACGGGTTGAAGCCATCACCTCGTGCAGCACACTCATATTTCTGGCCACGCTCGCTGCGAGCGGGTCACTGACAGATATTTCCGGCCTCGCGCCCTGCGTGTTTATCCGTCATCCGTTCCAAATACCGCAAAACCTTTGCGGGTATACATGGCCTCCGGTGAGAACTGGTTAAATGTTAGCATTTATTCCAATATTGAAAATATTGAATGAACTTTACATTCCCCATAAATGTGTAGTTAAGGGCACTATGTTTTACCAGTTCCGCTAGAAAAACATTTCAAAAATGAGTTTTGTAAATGACTGTCAAATCCAAAACGACTCGTGCAGCCTCAGGCAGTCTTTTTTAATTTAAATTAACTGTGGGTTTTTACAATTTTGATAAGCACTCTGGTAGAAAACTGCTTACCTTTTTTAGCATTTAGAGACTTGCGAATCACAGCACGGTCTTTTAATTCTCTTAATGGAACAGGGTACTTTTACCTCATTCAGGACAGTCTTCATGAACTACAAGTAATTTATGTTCTACATGTATTGGTTGTGCTGTGGCCTCGAGATTAAGGGCACTGGATTTGTTGTCTGTGGGTAAAGCTGCGGGTTGTGGGTTCGAGTCCAGCCGGGGTCATGGTGCGTGTGCCCTTGAGCAAGGCACTTTGTCACTCGATCATTGCTTCTCTCCACCCAGGAGTAAGTGGATACCTGTGAGGGCAGAGATGGTTATTGTGATTGAATAAGCTTGCTTGCGCCTAACAGGCAGCATCGAGCTGTATACTCCCCAGGGAGCTGAGATGGTATTTGGAATGTTTAATTGGCCCAATGATCAGGGGTAATAATAATACTGTAAGCGCTGTGATTTAGTCTACTAATAAGAGCATTCTTAAATGCCGATTATTATTGATGCGACTCATCATGCTCTTCCCTGTTGATGGAATTAATTTCACAACGTGCCTTATAAAACTCCCATTGTTACTAGCAGGAGGGTTATCTTCCTCAATTCTTTGGAGGAATTTGCAAGCTAAAAAACAGTGGGTTTGAGGTACTAATGCGTGGACCACATTATTTTTTGTTCAGCCAATTCGTGCTAGGGCTGTGCCGAATATTGGAATATTCAAATATTCGATCAAGTCCAGGTCGGAATAATCAAATAGAAAATTATTCGAACATGCAAAGCCCCAATTCGTGCTATTTAGTGTAGTGGTTCGTCTGTTAGTTAGTGGTTCGTCTGTTAGGGTTAAGGTTATAGGTTGGGGAACATAGGTATTGGGGAACACATAGGCATACACCCAGCCCAATACCTACCATAGGACAACAAAAATCCCAAGTTGCACAAATTGAACGCATGAATTCAACAAAGGAAAGTTTTTAACTGTTGACTTCCACTTTCGGAAGATGCTTTTTTTTTTTTTAATTGGATTACCTTCATGGACTAATTTAACAAGCATTTCATACAAACAGTTATTATCAAAGTTTCCAACCTTGTGGGTATAAGATTTTTCCCCAAACACAAAATATGTTTTGCAGCTTAATTACACAAATTATCAATTAAAGAATCAGAATTACTTTATTTGTCGAAGAAAAGTTGTATTCAATGCTTTAGGTCCATCTTTAAAGACCTCAGCTGATGAGGAAATTATGATTCTCAAAGATAAGTCCTGTATTTTTGTTATTATGTAAAATCAGTTGAAACTGCTCGAGTCTACAGTCTAGCTTGTATACATTTAAGTGTGATTTTGTGGTGTTTTTTTCTTCTAAGTAACAACTTTAACAAACCTATTTCTTGTAAAGTCGTTTAAAACTCTTTCTACGCTCTGTGAGGATGTCCCTTTAAAAAAAAAAATTATTCGTAACACTTTTTCTTAAAATTATTTTTTTTGCTGCTAATTCTTACTATAAACAGAGATGAGTATATATTGTAAATTGTATAATTTGGATAATACGCTCTCAATGTCATTGTTTCATTGTGTATGTAAAAATAATTGTGGAAAAAAATCGTCCCCAGTTTGTACTTCAGAGGCTTAGTATAATACAATAAACATGAGTCTAGTTATAGTGGCAATCGTGTATTTATTCTTTGGCTGTCGGCGACTGTTTACAAGTTTGAGAACATGTTGAAAGGAGATTATTCAAGGGAGGGTGGGGTTGATACAAATACTGTGCTCTCTTAAGTCCCAACTCCCTAGGCGTTTTGCCAAGATGCAACCTCAATCCTGGCAAATCCTCCAACTGCCACCAAAACTCTTAAAATTGCATACAGCCTCAATCCTCCAAAATCAGCCATTATTAATTTTGAATGTGGTCCTTGGAGGGGTAACCACGTACTGCCTTGATCCTGCAAAATCCTCCAGCAATCACTGTCAATATGTTGAGGCAGAGCCAGTGACATCCTCGAGCAGTGCGGAGGATCTCAAGTTATCTAGGCCTAAATTTATGCACAGATGAGCACAATCGACACAAGATCGGGCCTAAGACTTTGACACAGACTTTCCTCTAAAATCAGAAACACATTTTTGCCATTATGTCATGTAGCCTCAATCCTGTAAAATCCTTCATATTGCGCAGAGGATTTTGGAAGATTTGGGAAGGTTAGGGTTAAAGGGCAAGGATCATTTGCTTGTTATGCATTTTGTTTGTTTCCAGTAATAATGCCACTCACAATCCAAAGAAGAATATTCAAAACCTAACCTGTTGAAGTTTCAGCTCGGTTGATATTACAATAAATTATGAGAAAACAGTGAAAACCATGCATAACCTTTTGATCACGAAACATGATTTCGTCTACTTACTTAATGCCTTGACGATGCCTACTGACACATAGGCCATCAACAAAGCTCCTCCATCTGGGTAATTAGCTAGCTTTTCCAGTTCCTTCCAGCTGTATCCCGGTCTGTCTCGCGTCGGCCATTGTGTCTCGCTTCCAGGTGTTCTTTGGCCTTCCTTTATTTCTCTTCCCTTGTGGATTCCAAGTCGAGGCTTGTTTGGTGATGCTTGAGATCGGATTCCTTAGAGTGTGGCCGATCCACCTCCATTTGCGCTTCAGGATTTCCTCCTCAATTGCGGTTTGCTGAGCTATCCTCCACAGTTCCTGGTTTGAGACATGTTGCTGCCAGTATATGCGGAGGATTCTTCGCAGAAACTTGTTTACAAATGTTTGCATCCTCTTCATTATCTTTTTTTTTTGTGGTTCGCCATGTCTCTGAGCCATAGAGTAAAATAAGACCCACTTGACGTTTGAGTTGAAGATTCGGATCTTGGTGTGGATAGAGTACTTCTTCGAGCTCCAAACCTTAGACAGCATTAGGAATGCTGTTCGTGCCTTACCGATTCTTGCCGTGACGCCACTATCTGTGCCACCCCGTTTGTCGATGATGCTGCCCAGGTAGACGAAGGATAGTCCACTTCCTCCAAAGCTTTAACGCCAAGAGTGATTCCTGTACGTGTTCCCAGCAGCATTCACTGTCAGTAGTTTGGTCTTGCCGCCGTGAATCCCCTTCCCAGTTGGTGCCGATTCTTCTTCTAAGGTGTTGGACTTATCCTTCATCTGTCTTGTCTATGAGAAAGGAGGGCGAGGTTGTCTTCAAAGTCAAGGTCGAGATGTACCCAGGGTGCATGTCCATTGTATCCCATTCTTCTTCCTTCCATGGTAAGTTTCATGATCGAGGCGATCATGATTAGAAATAAAGGAATGGGGGACAGAGGGCAGCCTTGGCGAACTCCCGTCTTCACTTCGAAACCCTCGGTAAGCTGACCGTGGTGTATATCTCTGCATGACATTCCCTCGCAGGTGGTTTGATGAGGTAGATGAACTTTTTTGGTACGCCATAATGGTCAAGGAGCCTCCAAAGCACGTCTTTCGGTCAACACTGTCAAAGGCTTTCTCGAAGTCGATAAAGTTGATGAACAAAGACGAGTTCCATTTATGGGCTGTTCCACGATGACGCAAAGAGTAGCGATTTGGTCAGTAAATGAACGATGTCTTCGGAAGCCTGCCTGTTGGTTTCGAAGCTGTTTGTCCACTGCTTCCTTGAGTCTCGATCTCCATGATGATCCGGTTCAGTATCTTTCCTGGCACTGAGAGGAGCATGATCCCTCGATCGGTCTTACAGTCTCGTTGGTCTCCTTTCTTTGGTAACTTCACCAAGTATCCTTCCTTCCATTCCTTGGGTACTTCCTCAGTCTCCCAGATCTTGCCCAGTAGCCTGTGCATCATTTTTGTTGATGTATCCATGCATGTTTGCCTTGATAGCCTCGGCCGGGATTTCATCCGGGACTGCTGCCTACCCGCTGTTCAGGCAGCCGATGGCCTTCTTGATCTCCCTTTTGCTTGGGCGGGACACTACTTGGAGGGCTGTTTCAGCTGGCGCTATCTCGATTGGGGTCTGTGGGGCTGGCCGATTCAAGAGTTCTTATAAGTGCTCAGCCCACCTCTTCATCTGCTCCCATCTGTATCTGTCAGTACCTGGCCATCGTTGTTTTTGATAGGTCGGTCGGTCTGCTGATATTTCCCAGTCAATTTCTTGGTGGTGTTATAGAGCTTCCTCATGTCCTTTCTTGCAGCTGCTTCTTCCGCCTCTCTCGCCAAGTTGTCGATGTAGGCTCTCTTGTCTCACTCCGACACTTTTTTTCACTATCTTGTTTGCCCCTGTACGTGTATATATTCTGGGCTTCTGTTTTTGTTGCTCGTATTATGTTGTTCATTGCCTGTTTCCTTTTTCGTCTCTTTTGAACTTTCTTTTGAACTTATGCTTGGTTCTCTTCTTCCCTATTGTCCCCTTGCAAGTGTTTGTCAAACAGTCACTGACTGCCTCCCACTCCGCTTCCACATTGGGTTCTTCCTCTTCTTCAGTCTCCTGGAGGGCCTGATACTTTTTTTGACAGGCTCACTTGGAACGTGTCTCGCACTGCCGGCTCTCGGAGCGAATCCACGTTGAAGCGCATTCTGGTGTTTTTCTTTGTGTCCCATGCTCCTTTTAACTTCAGCTTCACTCTTGCCGTGACAAGGTGGTGGTCTGAGGCTGCGTCTACTCCTCTCTTCACTCTCACATTCAAGAGAGACCTTCGGAATCTTTTCCCAAATTCGTCTATGGTACTCCTTATTTCCAAAAATTTGTTAATCGAACCAACCCTTATTAGAAATCACCTACGTTTCTCGATTTCTTCTAAATGACAGCACGTCATCAGGCAGAATAGGTTGGTTTATAGTATATATTCAGCTTTTTCTTTTAATAGTATATTTTAGTTACATTAATACTGCACACTCAAATATTACAGAATCATGAAGAGTTGCATAATGGATTAACATTTCATCAAAATATGTAACCAAGCGCATTCCAAGATTGAGACATGAATTCGAATAGAAATTCTTTTTGATTAGAAAAGCTTTTTTTCCCAATTAATTAGCAATGATGTTTAAGCAGGGGTGTGCGTGACCACTGATAAAAATAGCTGAAAACAGCTGGAAAAGGTGTAAAAAAGCTGAACTTTGGAAATCTCCTATACTTTTGTACACAGCAAGTGAGGGAAAAAGCTGAAATTCAAAACAGAAATAGCTGAAATCAGCTTTAAAGCTGAGATTTCACACCCCTGTTTAAGCATATACTCTAAGCACGAATTGAGGCTGAGCATCTTGGAATAATGTTTGATTATTCCGACCTGGACTTGGTCGAATATTTGATGGACTTGATAGAATATTTGAACATTCGGCACAGCCAGAATTGGCTGAACAAAACTAATTGGGTTCAAGCATTAGAACCTCAAACCCACGGTTTTGCAAATGCCTCCAAAGAATAGAGCAAGACAAGCCTCCTGCTCGTAACAATTCATAGGAGTTTTATAAGGCACATTGTGAAATTAATTCCATCAACTGAGAAGAGCATGTGTCGCAAACAATACAAGAACACAAATTACTTGTAGTTCATGAAAGACTGTCCTGAATGCGGTAAAAGTGTAGTTTAGGGCCCCATTCTATTCAGAGAATGAAAAAAGACTGTGCTGTCACTTGCACTTCTGTAACTACTAAATAAGTAAGAAAGTAACATTTTGTTTCCAAAGCTCTTGTCAAAACTTTAAAAATCTAGAGTAATTTTGAATGAAAAAGACTGCCTGCATGAGGCTACACAAGTCATATTGGAATTGACAGTCATTTACTAAAGTCATTTTAGAAATGTTTTTCCAATGGAACTAGTAAAAAATGGAGGTGTCCTAAACTACACTTTTACACTGAATGTAAAGTTCATTCAAAATTTTACATATTGGAATAAATGCTAACATTTAACCAGTTCGCGCCACATGACGTGTTTATTCATTAAGGTTTTGCAGTATTCGGAACGGATGACAGATAAACACGCAGGGAGCGAGGCCAGCAATATCTGTCAGCGACCCTCTCGCAGGGAGCGAGGCCGGAAATTTGAATGAGTGCGCTGCCCGAGGGTGATGGCTTCCATCTGTTGAGGTCCAGTGAAAAATAATCCCACGCCTCATTCTGTTCTTGTTCAAATAGTCCAGACGTGAACTGGCTTAAGAAATATTTTTTATCCTTAGACAAAAGTACCAAGCAATATTCACTCTACTCCAATTCAAACTGAAACTGATACGAGATTTATTTGAAAAATTGAAATTGATACAGAAGTTACAAATTGATAAATTCAAGCTAAATTATAACAGTTTTTCATAATAATCCTGTGTTTACGAAATGGAAGGCACATTGATACAGGCTTTACTACTAACTTTTACACAGAAATTATTTCTTAAGATATATCTCTTTTGGCAATGTTTGGAAAGAATCAATTAAGTTTGTTAAAAGTACTGACATTTTAAAATAGTTTATAGATTAATTTTTCATACATTACACAATTTGCACTTATTAAAAACAATCAGTGGGGTCTTCCTAACAAAGTAAAATTTCAGTGCTGCCCCAAAATTTACTAGACCTCAACCCAACCCCACCAACAAGTGGTGCAATTTCCGAATCACTGGCTTCACTTTTGGCTTTGGCTCCATCTGTGCCTTCACAATCACTTGGAAGCAAGTGATATTGAAGCATAAAATGGACCGAGTCACATTTAGCTACAGTCCCCGTAGGGAAACCATGAAACACGAGTCTGAAGCCAAAGCTTAAAATTAAACCGAGATTTTGTGAATATCTTTGGATTAGGTTCTGGGTATCGGGGTCAAATTGCACGAAACTTTGGTTGGTGCCCCGTATTAGCTCTGCAAATAATTTCTCTGTTATCAAATTTGTGTGGTTAAAGTTGCATTCCCTGCTCTATTCGAGCTTCATCCTAAAAAAATAGATTCCTTACTTTCAAAATTGCTATTTTGTACGTCAAGCAATACAAATTTTGAATGAGACACCAAATGATAAAAGCGGCCCAAATTTACAAGAACCTTTATTTTCGGAAGCCTCAAAAAGGAAAAAGCAAATTGGTTGTTTTTGGGTGGGAAAATTTATTCAGAGAAAACAACTTAATATCTCCATGGAACTGCATGGCCCCAAGGACAATTTACTCATAGATATTGCTGCGTTCCTTCATTTGGGTCTTGCACCCGTAGTTTAGCTCCGCCCCTCCCGACAGCAAATAGTCGTTGCCAGTGCAGAAGGTGGCGTCGGCAGCAATGAATAAGCACAGCTTGCCTGATTCCTCCAGCGTGCCAAACCGACCAATCAGCTGCAAGGATTTCACACATGAATATCGTTCAAGTTTTGATAATCAGAAAGAATGCATACATTTATATTGCAAATATAATATCTTCAGGCGATAACTGCCACAGTTATTCAAACAATTTTAGGGAGTACCTTTAACGACTATACAAATACAAGTGAATTGTGGTTGAAATTATAATTACATGCACCCCCATTGCTGAGAATTAACCCTACACTGTCAATGGAACATTCCATTGACCTCTCACCTGTGCCTCAGCTCCACCTGTCCTCATTGCCTCAGGGTTGGGAGAGGCATTTGCCAAACCTTCCCACAGGGGTGTCCAAACATTGCCAGGGGAGACGCTGCATGTTTGTGTTAAGGGGAAAGGAAGAAGTGTAATTTTAGCTGGTTCCCTGAATATGATGCTACGTCTTCCTGTCAGTTAATACACATGCCATGAAACATTTAGCATTTGAGACACTTTTTGATACCTTAAAGATGTGTTTTGTCTCCAAGTTTGACCAGGGAATGTAGGCCCCTGCCTTGCCGATTTGGGAACAATACAGGGCGGATAAAAAAATTTTAAAAAAAAATGATATATTATTGCTAATTGGAAGAGAAGTAGGGCACATGTGAATCATGTGCCCTACGAAGCTCATAGATGCAAAATCATGTGCCCTACGATATCGCGCCGAAATCATGTGGAGCTCTGTTAGGGTTGAATCTCCTCTTTAAAATGACACCCTGGTCATGTTATTACATTCACGGTTACCTGAGCAGTGACCAATTTTACGAAAGGGTCTATTTAGAGAATTGCGCTACTTTTTAATTGTGGTTTTGTATAGTCATTTGTCACAGAGTGAAAGGCTATATATGGTTGCCAATCAAGGCAGGTGGGAAAAAAGAGATTTCACCATAAAAAGTGGCGCGTCTCTGAATAGACCCTTTCATAAAATTGGTCACTGCTCAGTCAATCGCCACGTATTTTTATGAACTTTATTATTGTGAGCAACATGGGTTCCATGCAAGAAAAGTACATGGCAAATGATGGCATGCACGGGGTGTCTCAACCAAAAGAGCCTAACACTCAAAACGTCCGCTTTTTCACAGCTTTAACAGAAATAAATCGCAAAACGTAATCTACTCCTAGTGCATACCCACCTGTTGACACGAACTTCGTACTTGGCTTCATCGACAGCCATAGCCCTCGTCATTGCATCAATACCTCCCTGATATAAAATGGCAGTAACAACAACTGTGCATCAAACATCCAGAAAAAGGACAGATCAAACTTAAGATTTTAAAAGATTTGTCTTCATCCCCCGCCCCCAATTTGCCACCACCCAAACCCCAACCCCAACCAAACAAACCAGCAACACCAATGAAACTGTTAAAACAAAGGCAGCAACAACACTAAATCCAAAAACCAAACATCGGCATCAAAGATTTAACCCATCAGCAACAACTAAAACAACAACAGCATCAACAACATCAAAAAGAAAAATAACAGTGTTACTGTTGAAACCCCTCAGCCAGAGTCAAGTTATCATCCGACAACCATTAACCTTTAACTCAACATGATGACCTTGACCTTTGGCCTTTGACCCCAAAACCAGTCCCAACTTGCCTGTACCCAAGGGCAACCCCCTACCTAAGTCAAACACCAAAATCTCATTTCTAACTCAAGTTAGCATCCAGAAACCATTTACATTTAACTCACCACGGTGACCTTGACTTTTGACCTTTTGACCCCCAAACCAATCCCAACTTGCCTGTACCCAAGGGCAACCCCCTACCTAAGTCAGACACCAAAATCTCATTTCTAACTCAAGTTAGCATCCGGAAATCATTTACATTTGACTCACCACGGTGACCTTGACCTTTGACCTTTTGACCCCAAAACCAATCCCAACTTGCCTACTCCCAAGGGCAACCCTCTACCAAAGTTAGACACCAAAATCTCATTTCTAACTCAAGTTATCATCCGGAAACCATTTACATTTAACTCACCACGGTGACCTTGACCTTTGACCTTTTGACCCCAAAACCAATCCTAACTTGCCTACTCCCAAGGGCAACCCTCTACCAAAGTTAGACACCAAAATCTCATTTCTAACTCAAGTTATCATCCGGAAACCATTTACCTTTAACTCACCACGGTGACCTTGACCTTTGACCTTTTGACCTCAAAACCAATTCCAACTTGCCTACTCCCAAGGGCAACCCCCTACCAAAGTTACAACCCCAAACAACATTTCTAACTCAAGTTATCATCCGGAAACTAAGCTGCCCGGACGGACGTTCCAGCCAGACGGAATTGTGGGGTGATAGCATTGTGTTCCCATTTTCCCTTTTTCTAAAGATTCCCTTCTGGGGTGATGTTTTTCTATTGTGAAAAAAGAGGGGGTGATGTGTCCTGAAAGGAACATCACCCCACAAGGGTGGTATGGTCAGAATGCACAGACATACGGACGGACGGACGGACGCCCTAGGCGATGACAATACCCCTCGAGCCTCTCGGCTGAGGGGTAAAAAACAATTCACTTGTACCCCCCGCCATGTAAACAGGACGCTGGGATACGCTGATGAGCTTCACAGAATCTTGTGAAGGAAGTGACCTATAATGACCTATGTATAAAGCATCTGGCTGCAGCTGTTCAAGACCACAATTAGACAATGTGCGCAAATGCTATCCGAAAACTTCCCTTAGAAATGCACACATTCCATACCTTGTAATTTCTGTTTCATGGCGTACCATGTGGTCAAAATTATGAGCGTCGCATAATGCATTAGGCCGACTGTACGTGATTCGAAACTGGATCTTAAAGTGCCAGGAATTGTAAATTTACACCACAGATAAGTTTTACAGAATTTCTTCATTATTACGCTTTTCAACGAAAAAGAAACATCTCAAAACTGGAATAAAAAAGTAATGAATCAGTTGTAACGGCCTTTTCAAACCTTGCAGAGTCATGACCGTGATGACGCGCAGGTCACAGGTCACGCAAAATCCAATCAATCAGAGCGTGAATTCATCGGAGTATCCCAGCGTCCTGTTTGCAGGGCGGGGGGTACGAGCAAAAAAGAACGGCATCAAAAATTTAAAAAAAAACAACACAGCAAAAATGGCATATATGCAATACAATTCATTGGTAGCAGAAGTAGTGGCAGTATCATCAACAGAAACAAAAAACATAGGCAGAAATAACTTCAACATGAAAATATCATAAAATACCTTTGTTGTTACGTACGGCACAGCACTCTTCTGCCCAATCTTAGCTACTAGACTGGACATATTGATGATGTTGCCTTTGTTCTTTCGGAGATGGGGCAGTGCATACTAATAGGACAAAAAATATAATCATAAAACAATACTGCATTGTATTGCATTGTTTATCTACTTGAGCCCATAATAACCAGGATGCTTGAGTGGTTTAGGGGGCTACAGGAAGTAAAAGGCAGGGCGGTTGGGGGCAGTACAGTCACTAACCCCAACTCCCTAGGCTGATTACTAGGAACCTTCCTCATCCTTGCAAATGCCAACACCATGCACACAAAAAACAGTTGGACTCTGTTTATTTGTGGTATGCCTCATCCCACATAAAGCACAGTCTGTTAATTAGTACAGTGCTCATCCTAACTGATCCCTAAAACATGGTGTTGGAGTTTGGCTGGTTGGGGATCGTTAGGGTTAATGGGATGAAAACAAAGTTAAAAAGTAAAAAGAAATTGTAAAAATTGCCCATTGGCCTCATGGTTCATCTCTTGTTTCCCTGCTATAAAAAAATTCACAACATTTCTTTTCGTCTATCATATTTTCTACCCGGGTAATGTTGCTCTGTACTAATACTCTTTTGTTTATATAGAGAGGGTTAAGTAGTTGTAAAGTAGCTTGCCCAAGGACTAGCTTTATAGTGACACAGCCGGCAGCTGGATTTGAACTTCCTACTCTTGGATAACATGCCATAAACTTTAAGCAACGCTGCTTGACCTCATGCAACACGACAAAACCGATCCATTTAGAAATAATTTTCCTTTCCGTAACAACTTCACGTAGATGCTGGCAGAGCATCTGGAAATCTTATTTTTTTAAATGAAACACAGAACACATTTCTCTGTGAGAAGATCCCAGAACATATACATGACAATGAAGGAGCATGCCATATTAACTGCTTTATCTGAAAAGCCGTTACATGCACTATAAATTCTAGTGTTCGAAACTGGAATGGACTATCTGATGAGGTGTGCTTATATTGTGTTTCGGTGTGAGAACAACAATTTCTGGAATGTATTGAAGACAAAATAAAAACCTGTTTTCTAAATTAGAAGAGGGCGCTCTCCAAAATGGAAATTCCTTGCAATCAGAGTTTTTAAATTGAAATTAGGGACAAAACATCCACCTTGCTAAAGGAGAAATAGCTGACGAGATTGAAGTTGATGAGCCACTTGAAATGTTCCACTGTGATGTCATCGATGGACTCCTCAGGGGGGTCTACAGTGCAAAAATACACGGGTTGAAGGAGTTGACTTAAATGAGGAACATCCTAGGAATTAGTTAATTCCAGTTTAACGATTAAACTTTCCTTTAAAGGAATAATGTTATTCCAAATTCAAACAAAGACTGTAACGTTCCAACATGTTTTGAGTTCTTCTCTATAATAAACACAATTGTATGTTTTGGGTAAGAGGTGCTAATTTCAAAAATATTGAGCAAGATGTAGTGAGAAAATAAGCCGGCCTGCAAAGTTTTTTTCTGAATCTCACGTTGCCCTATTATAAGATTTGAAACTTTACATGGCGATAGTGTAAACTAGTGAGGGTTTGCCGTAACACCATGTGGAAGAATCTCTTTTGAGATGATGAATCACCTATATCCAAGGCATTTCCCTGGCACATGAGTCTCCTATCCCTCTGCCACCCTATCCACTACTGACATGGCTCACAGTGAGCACACGCCCCACTCCCCTACCACAGCATCCTCACCACCACGCCTCAGCGATCAGCTTCCAGCATCCTTACCATGCCTAAGCAATCAGCCTCCAGCATCCTCACCACACCGCAGCAATCAGCCTATAGCATCCTCACCAAGCCTCACTGATCTGCCTCCAGCATCCTCTCCAGGCCTCAGCAATCAGCCTCCAGCATCTTCACCACACCTCAGCGATCAGTCCCCAACATCCTCACCAAGCCTCAGTGATCTGCTTCCAGCATTCTCTCCACGCCTCATTAATCAGCCTATAGCATCCTTACCAAGCCTTAGTGATCAGCCTCCTGCATCCTCTCCACCCCTCAGCAATCAGCCTCTAACATCCTCACCACGCCTCAGCAATCAACCTCAAGCATCCTCACCACGCCTCAGCAAATATCAGCCTCCAGCGTCCTCACCACGCCGCATCAATCAGTCTCCAAAATCCTTACCACGCCTCAGCAATCAGCCTCCAGTGTCCTCCCCACACCTCAGCAATCAGTCTCCAAAATCCTCACCATATGCCTCAGCGATCAACCTCCAGCATCCTCACCTAAATTCAGCAATCAGCCTTCAGCGTCCTCACCATGCCTCAGTGATCAGCCACCAGCATCCTAACCACACCTCAGCGATCAGTCTCCAAAATCCTCACCATAGGCCTCAGCGATCAACCTCCAGCATCCTCACCTAAATTCAGCAATCAGCCTCCAGCGTCCTCACCATGCCTCAGTGATCAGCCACCAGCATCCTAACTAAGCCTCAGTGATCAGTCTCCAGCATCCTTCGTCACCGCCATGCCTCAGCGATCAGCCATCAGCATACACAACTCTATGCCTCAGTATTTATCCAGCCCTACAAATGCAGCCTCATCCACTGATGGGCTTTCTCCTGAAGACGATCAGATGATACATGTACTTCTAATGGGAACGTCAAGTTTCACAACCCACCGCTTAATCTTCTAAAAAGAGATTATTCCACAATGGTGTTACCCCAAAGGCCCAAACTCTCACTAGTTCACCTTACCTGTTAACTCCGAAATAAGACCGACGTTGAAAAGAAATTTGCAAAATAGTTGGAATATTTGATCATCCGGTTGTCATTGTCTGACTGAATGAGTCACAGCGTATACTTCTCCCAACCGAAAACTTTCAGGGTCAGCCGTTTCAACCCTAGTTTTGATTTCTAATGATAGACTACTGGTGGGCCTACAACTGGGTTTGCATAGCCCACAGCAACTTTCCGTTTCAATGTAAGGGACTATTTTTTCAAATTAATATTTTTGTTTGTTTACTTACGCCATCCAGCATTGTTGACCAGACAATCTAGTCTTTTATATTTTTCCACTGTCTGCTCTACAGTTCTCTGAATACAAAAAACAAAACAAGGATATATGATTAACTTCTTTGTCTTCAAGCAAACTTGAATCCTTGATCCTGATTGGTTGATCCATGGCAACAACAGTGTGATATTACGCCTATAATCTTTCCATGGATGCTGCTATTAAATATCCTAGTGTGATAACGAATCCTAGTGGGATGACAAAAAAATAGCATCTGGCCAGACATAAGTGCCATCAATATATGCCTATATTTGGTATTATTTTGGTATCAATATCGCCAATAGAAATGTTTTAATTATATCAAAATATCAAATTTTCAAAAATATAAAAAATAAGTCAGATTATCGAAAATAAATCTCCTGTTAGTGCTTTTAGTTAATGTTGAATGTTGCTGTATAATGAGGGAAAAACTCGGCAGCAAATTGTACTTGTGACTCAAAATAACAGCATCGTGCCATGCCAAGCAGCGTCGCTTTGTGCTCTGCATTCACTGAAATTGAGGGTCTCCCAAGTGTAAAACCTTAAAAGAAACTGCCCATTCTGGACAAACTCTCAGTATTGAGATTTGTTTTAATTTTTTTAGCAATATGCTCCGGAGAAAGGCTTGTAAGATTGGGACCTTCAACTTATTTTTTTTAAATAATTAATCAAAGTGTCATCTGTATGTTCTTCAACTTTTATATGGGATAATTGATATATCTAATTCTCTCAATATTGGATCCCCGATATATTGATTATTGAAAATTCTGATATCAAGCAAACGAAAATTTTCTCTCAAAATGGTTCAGGTGCATGCCTTAATCTGACAGGGTTTTTTTTCCAAAATAATTCTGTGGGTTTTTGTTACAAACTAGAAAACGGTATGCTTGGTGATTTTGATCAGCACTCAATGAGCTCTAAAATCGGACAACCTTTTGCCAAAATTGGTAAGCTTCGGCAAGTACTAACACGCAGTTCAGACAATGTCAAATTGGAATTTAAAGCTATACTGTTACATTGTGTTCACCTTAATCTCCTCTTCATTTTCGACATCGCACTTAATGAAGAAACATTCTCCTGGCCCAGCCTTGTTGACTTCATCCTCCAGAGCTTTGCCAACCTCCACTAAAAAGACGACAAGAACACTTTATGAAAACACACACTTTTGTTGCATTGTGATGATAATGCTAAGAATTATACAAAGGCGACGTCCACTTCAGACACTTTGGCAGCAAATATGAAACTTCACATAGATAGGTACGTGCGCAGACATCCAGGCCATGGGCGTCGCGAGGGGGGGGGGAAGAAAAAGAAAAGAAAAAAAAGAGGCGCAAAGACAAAGTGGTGTAAATCTAATGAGTGGGGGGGGGGCAAAATGTCCCTGCCCCCCTCTAAAACTGATAAATTGAGAATGTGTTGAGAAATACAAGCATTTTTTGGCAAAAAATGTTTTTGCCCCCCTCTAGAAAAAATCCTGGCGACGCCCATGATCCAGGCACTTCCTAATCTTGTTCCCAGACTGATGACAATGCACCTGCACATGCTAACCCCAGCTCCTACTACTTACACAGTCACAGAGAGTCAAAATTTCCATTTATTTCACCTACTTTGAACACAGGCTAGTCACCAACAGTTAGATCATATTTCAAGCAAGCACTTGACTTAAGTCAAATTCAGTCAACAGACAAAAGCAGGCACCTAGTAGGCACAGCTGTCTCATCAATTAGGGACCGTGACCATTCAGCCCTGGTATGACAAGGGCCCCCCGGTACCTCGTCCGGTTGAGAGCCAGTCCGGTCTGCAGCCCAGTCTCGTCTGGTACATGGTCCTGTCTGACCAGAAGTTTTGAACGCGTAGATGTAGGTGTGACCAGAAGTTTTGAAGTCAGTCAGGCGCATCAATTTATTGCCCTCCAGAGAACATCCAGAGCAGAACAATAGCAGACTTACCGGATTAAAGATAAATCCTTCCAAATGCCTTGGTAATTTAGGGTCCCATTGTGCATGAAACCACAAGGCAGGGGTTTTGATCTGTGCTGACGAAAGTGTTCTGTTGTTTCGCACTGAGAGATGAAAACCACAAGCAGGTTTCTTCTGGGATATATTAGCCTACATGTGTAAATACTTGCAAACAATAGAACCCAGGATAGAGGAGTTCCTGATTAGCAACCAGACCAGCTCCTAGGCCGGTAGCTGGGACAGTACGACAGGGCTTCTTGGGAGGGGACGAGTTTACCAGGGGGGCCCTTTTCATACCGGGGCTGAATGGTCACGGGCCCTTACCTACAGCCAAAGTATGGTGTATCACCTATCCAGTTATATACAGTCACAGCCAGTCAATCCTGCTTACATGTTGGGAACTCTGTAACTGTCAACAATCGACTGATTTTGACTGAAAGGAAACTTTTCACCGAATGCATGTTTGCATATATGAGGGTTATGACAAAATGTTTAAGGTGCCCCCTCCCCCCTCTACCCCCAAATCAATTCTGTTTCGCCAGGTATCAACTTTGAGGTGTTTATTTGTATGGCAGCCTAGTGTCCCCGTGGTCTCCTAAACTTGTCACTGACAGACTCATTGACTGTACATTGTCGGGCAGTGCTATTGTATAGGGTAACCCCATAATGCCAATGAATGAGCAACAATAAAGGGTCGTGGCTCCTTTGGACACAATTCTGTTTCAGCAAAAGAGTAAAAAAAATGAAAAATCCATCACCCATCTTGGAAAATAAAGAAAAGGCCCGCCTACTTCATTTTTCATAAAAGCCGGAGAAGAAACTACTTTTGTTTACTTAGACTTATGGTGCACACTTACCCCCTCTTGCACAAAATGCAACTTTTGCTCCTGCCTTGACTGCAAAAGGAAAAAAAAACCAGAAAAATAAATCAACCAAATCAAAAGTGTATAAGGCTGTTACATTGACAAATATTCAGTTGTATGATTTACATCCTGTCGGGCAACTCGAGCTACCGTACATTTTGGTTCCATCCATTTCGATCCATTGCACAGCACCTCGATTTCGATCGCCAGTGGCGTAGCCACGGGGGGGGGGCCTGGGGGGCGACAGCCCCCCCATGAAACCTTGTCGCCCCCCCAGTCAACCCCCCCCTGAGATTTTGAGTTTCTAAAAAAATTATCATTGATCTACATGACGCCCCCCATGAAATGTCCCCCCCCCCCCCCCCCCCCCCCACTGAAAAATTCCTGGCTACGCCACTGTCGATCGCGGAGCATGAATTTAATTTTCACTTGCTGCTATTGTGTGTTACACACTGACTGTACATGACCGGTTCTGACAATGACACCAACAAAACAGACTGTTTTAAAAAAAATATTGGATATGAATTCTGAATTTAATGTGTTTACAACTCTTCAGTCGCACTACGAATTGTCGTATCGCAATTTTTGGTGTTTTGAGGGGGAAAAAAAACGATTTAAGGTGGTCATATTTTTGGTAGGCTCATTCTTTATATCATGGAGGAATGTACTTCCTGTGTAAGAATTCGGTTCTGTTTCAGCTAGAAAATTAGTTTAATTTAGGTAGTGGATAATTTGCCGGAGGTAACGCCGGCAAACTAACGTTTACTAAAGGTTTGCCGGCGGCAATCCATATCAACAGAGGGCGCTGTACTCTTTAAGATAGGGCTGAGTTAAAACATGTATTAAATTCCCACCAAAGTTGTGTAGCACAGTCGGTGCTGTGGTTAAGCAATGGCTCTAGTGAGTCGGATGTCCCAAGTTCGAATCCTGATCCCCGCCACAATTTTAAGGGTTTTTTTTCCCATCCCCAAATAAATAAGAATATTCTTCTTTTATTATTTTAATATGTCTCAAACATTTTATTGCAGAGTATTACTTTTTCTTTTTCAGATTTGTGGCTCTGGAGGATTTTTTTTTAAAGGGAAATAAAGTCCGAAATTATAAATTGGTCTGATTCCCATCTTGTAAATATACAAAAATACAACGATAATATTGGCATGGAGCCAGACTAAAATTTGTCACCGGAAAATGTTTAAGTACAAAACAACAGTAACTGCGCATGTTCAGTGCATATCCGGCAAACTAACGTTTACTGAAGGTTTGCCGTCTCCGGCAAAATATCCACTGCCTTTAATTTACGTCTAGCAATCCGATTGCTTCTGACAATGTCTGAGTTGCTTAGTTTTTAAGATATGCTTACCAAATTCCCGCACAACTCCTTCGCCAATTCCTTTAGATCCACCAGTAACCAAGGCAACCTTGTCCTTGTATCTCAAATGAGTACATGATGTACATGTACTGGCCATCTTGAGGGCGAGAGCAAAAAGTACTGCAAAAAGATTGATACACCGTCACTGACCGTACCGTGCAAGGACCGCAGTGCAGTGGGTGGCGGAGCATGCAACCGCCCCTATATGATGGGCTCAAAGTTTCAAACCCGGTCCGTAGAACAACAATCACGGGCCTGCATACTATGATATAGTATTAATGGGTCAAAGGTTCATCGGTCACAAGTTTCAGTCGCTCGTGATCCTTATCTGCAAATGATTACTTCAACTTAACTTCCGATAATTTCGTGAAATCGTGAACTGTTGACAGCTAGCTAAGTATCTTTTGCTAAGAAATTAGTTAATTGGCCAAAAATTGCCTCCGACCGCTCCAGAGACCATTTAGAATCCAACATTTTTCGGGGCCCTTGAGCCGGCCCCGAACCCTACGCCTTTAGCTGAGAAAAAATTATTATCTTATCTTTTGCTATTAAAAAAACATTGGTTACTAGTGGTCAGAAATTGCCAAAGACTCTTCGCACCACAAAATCTAGAATTTTTTTCGGGGCCCTAAGTTGCCCCTATAACCCCCACATACACCTATAGCTCAGAATACACATTAGCCGATTCAATGACTCCGACCTCGAAAACGACGTTCAAATATATATTATCTTTTGCTAAGCAAATATCAAGCACTGGAGGAAAGTTGTCACAAATTGCCTCTCAGATCACACCACATAACATCTCAGTAGAATCCAAAATGTTGTCGGGGTCCTTAAGCGGGCCCCGAACCCCACGCCGTAATCAGCTCTGATCATGTCAAGGTATGTCCCCCCCCCCCCTACTTTTGGAATGCGATTGATACCCCTGGGTTCATCAGATATAACTTCAAAGAAAGTGAGTTGGTAGAGCAAAAACACAAAAACCATTTATAAGTTCAAACTGGTTAAAGAATTAAATCGAGATAATAATAATCAGTTAAGGACAAAAACCTCATTCTTTCCGATGACTTACATTGGTGGAATTCATCGAGTTGTTCGAAATCTATAATCAAAACACAAGTAGGAACCAGAACTCCATTACGTACATAATTATGTAAGTAATTACCACAAAAACAGTCAAATAACTTTGCGTTTTATAAGTCCACGACGTACCATCATGTACTTGTAAATAAATTACCTCTTCATTGATCGTTCAGTGGCAGCGATGAGGGCTGGGGGCATTTTGAATCCACCCATTTTGAATCCAACCGCAGTGACCATGTGACCCTCTACAAGGATGCAACAGCAGGGGCATTCCTGACAGTGAATGCAATCGGGCAGAAACAGATCGGACAAATGTGACAGAGCATGATAACCTGGTCTCTACAGCTGCAAGTGAAGCCATTGTGTCAAACGAGGGCATTCATGTTTTGGCGCGCGAAATATGATGTTGAGATCGAACGCTGACCCGGGCACAGGCATGGGAATGCGGATGCCATGTCCAGGATGTCATGCAGGCAGTGTGAATGGGTTGCCATCCGAGGCAAAAATGGAACTTAAGTAAGGAAGGAAGCAGCAGTCCAACAAGGGAACCGTAGAAAAGGCTTGCCGTTACCTGAGTTGTGGTGCCAAACTGGCTGCAAAGCATGACAAATGAAACGTTGTGTCAAGAGCAATTACAAGATCAAAGCCTTGGAATGATTACCAAGTGGATCGAGTCGAATGAACCATGATCAAGATGGACAGAAGTCTCTCCAAAAAGCGCCGAGTTAAGGAGCCTGTTGGGTGCCTGGAATCAACTTTGCCTTCGGCAGGGTGTAATGCACAAGAAGTGGGAAGACGATACCGATGAAGAAGTCCGTTACCGACTTGTCGTGCCCAAAAACTGCAAAAGGGTGTTTTGCAACAGTTACACAACACACCTACAAGAGGGCACCTTAATTGGTGCCAAGAAGCTCTACAAGAAGGCGAAAGCACAATTCTACTGGTCGAAGGTGAAGGAGTCCGTGAATCTGTGGTGCACACTATGCCTAGAATGTGCCAAACAAAAAATGTCGGCTAAACACCAGAAGGCCAAAGCAGAACATTTCTGGTGTGCCACTGGAGAGGTGGCATTAGATATAACAGGACCACTACCAGTGGCGAATGAGGGTAACAGGTACATCTTGGTGATCTCTGGTTTTGTTTTGAACAAAATCGGCCCAGGGGTTCAACAGTTCCAGTCAAGGTGACTGTATTATAAAAAGAAAGGTTTTGTTGCCTAGCAACTAAATTGCCGTAAATCACCTTAATCGTTTTTGCAGAAGTCGTTATTTGCAAACTGAATTGAACAGAGTGTGGAAATCCGTTCACAGATGTGCATTGTTTTCGTTACAGGAGTTCCAAACCCCTGAAGAATCTCCAAGCCAAGTTACAGAAGTGTGAAGTCAGCCAGAAATCAGTGACGTAACCTTAACATGCATAATGTTCAGGATCCTGGGACGCTTGGGAGTTAACATTATAGCATTTTCAAAAGAATTTATCCAGAAAAGTATTTGGTCGATTTCCTTCATTTTTAGAAACATTTGTATAAACCAGCCAACTCTTTCACCCTATCAATCTTAATCTGCCATTGAGGTCAATTAATTGATTATTTTTAAAATATAACTAAAATAACTTAACTTCGAGAACATGGCACCGTCCCTCCCAATATACCAAATATGCACATTTGTAAAATGTTATAAATGCTTAAGTGTTTCAGAAGTAAAAGAATGGTTAGCTATCACAAACTTATTCAAAGTAGTTAAAATTTTGAAATTAATTAGCATATTAATTAAGGTGTTAATTAGCGTAATGAAGAAATATTGACAATTTTTTTTCATCTTGCTTCATACACATTCCCACAGTTGTGTAGAAGGGATTGAAATACAACTAATTTATGGAAGCCTTAGTAAAACTAAGAAATTTTGGTCAATTTGCATATTAATTAGCTCTGAATTAAGAAATAATCACACAATAATCTGAAAGTGCTCATTTTGTTTTACCTTGGGTTTCAAAAAATGACCCAGAAAAAAACTGTGGAGATGAGAATCCCTTTAAAAGCTTGAGCTTTAATTCCAACAAACAACTCAGTGCCGAAATCTGCATCTCGGCGAAACAGATCTTAAAAAATAACGCAATATAAGGCCAACAAGAAAAGTACTCGGTCTCTGGTCAGCGCGCGCGTCGATTTTAATCATGCGCGTCAACCTTTTTTTTTCTTCAAATTAACACGGAAGCTGCAACAGCGCCCTCTATTGCCGCGCCTCCTCAAATTTTTGTACCAAGGAGCACCAAGGAATGGGGAAATTGCACCAAGGCAAATGATAAAGGGCACCAAAGCAAATTATGGAGGACACCAATGTATAATTAGGACACAAAAACGCAAAATAGTACCCACCTTGTCTGTACAATACAAACTTGAAAAAAAAAAGGCCACCAAAAAAAAAAAAAAAAACGCGTCGCAGCATCAATTTCGGAACTTCGGTCTGACCAGAGACCGACTATTTTTTTTGTTTGGCCTCGGTGCACGTCGTTTTTCGTGGGGGGGGGGGGGGGGGGGGGGGGGGGGGGGCGGGGCATCACCCAAAAGGGCCACTTGCTCCAGCATTTTTTTTTCGCACATCCGTGCTGAAAGAAAAAGAGAGGTGGCTGGGAAGAAAGCAAGCAGACAGTTTTTTTAAATCCAAAAAAAAAATCGGATTTATTTGATTTAAATCAGATTTTTTTCATTAAAATCAGATTTTTAATTTTTTTTTTACATTTTTTGTCTAAATCTCCCCATGCACCCTCACACCCATCACAAAGGAGTTTACAGGTTCCTATAATACCCATCATTGACAAAACTCAATAAATTGATAAATGCTTTTGCAAAAAAATTGTATTGAATCAGTGATTTAAAAAAAATCACTCGATTTCTTCTACATGTAGTCTACATCATTGGTTCAATGGTACATTATTACTGAAGACAGTCCAGAGTTGTAACGAGTCACTGATTTTTGTGACTCGAGTCAAATCGAGTCATTTTAAAGAAGTGACTCGAGTCGAGTCGAGTCATTAGGACAAGAAGGTCGAGTCGAGTCACGGTGTGTAGTCGAGTAGAGTCGAGCCGAGTCAAGTATTTAGCTCGAGTCAGTTCGAGTCACAAATAATTGAACACTATTCATAAACACGAGAGAAGTCACTTTTTTGTTTTGTTTTAATTTACATTCGGGCTATACTACATGTGGTGACAACACATTTGGCTCTTAATGCAAATAAAAAGGGGGTGCCACTAATCGTCATTCAACTAATGGGGACACTGATCAAACCACGTATGAACATTCTAACGTCACATGAACAAAAACCGGCACGGGCGTAAGTCATTACAAATATTTTTTCGAGTCGAGTCATTTGCCCTTAGGGACTCGAGTCGCGTCGAGTCACCAAAAATTGTCAGACTCGAGTCGAGTCATTGACTTGAGTCATTACAACTCTGGAAGACACTTTAAAGGTGCATTGCTTGATCGATACAGCTGAGATACATTGTGTGTATATGTGAATGAAAACTTGATGTATGGCACCTGTATATGGTATACAAAAAAATTCTCCATGGGTATGTTGTCAACAGTTCTCCATGGGCATGTCGATTTCATAAAAATGCTTCTAATTTCAAAAACGGAGGCACTGATCCTTGTGTAACTTATAGTGTTTGATTGATGGTCCATGGTGGGGAACAGAAATCAGGCCTTGCTCCTATAAAGGGTTTTATATAAATCTCAATCTAAATTTGTAGGGAGAAACGTTAAGAATAAGACTATCGATTGGGACTTTTAATACACCTTTTGATGGTTCATGTAAGCCTTCACCAGTGCAGTTGATTCACAATATTACTGTAAACAGATCAAGGAATTAAAGCAAACGTGAGTGTGCTCTCTTTAAAATTAAAAAACTTTGAAGAAAAACTTTTAACTCAGATCTTGACTTAATCAAAACAACGATTTTGTGTAATTATGCAAAACCTAAATTGAGTCGATGGTGAAGTATTGGTATTCGAATGTGTTAACAACATCTTACACTTTGTAATTATGTGGAATCAGTTGATTTAAATGATTAAAATGACCCTCAATCAATTGATTTTGCCAAAAGTAAGATTTTTACAAAAAGTGATCTAAATCTGTGATATTTATTTTAAAAAAATCATTTGATTTAAATCGCGATTTAAATCAGTGATTTAAATCAACGTGATATAAATCAGCCAACCCTGGGAAAAGACACAGTTTTTTGTTTTACTTGGCCTTAACTCCCTAGGGTGTGTTAGAAGTTATATGAAAATTGGGGGATTTAGGACTGTTACAGTCGATACAAATTTAGGCATCCTGGAAATGTATTATATTACTTTTTACAAATAATGGTTTTATTATCTAGACCTGTTTATGTCTTCATCTGACTTGGTTGATGAAAAAGTTGTACCATTGGACTTCCAAACGACTGCTCACTTAATACCAGTGTGAACCATGTCATGTCTCTTTAAAGCAGTTTGACGATTAAAGGCTTTACCACAGGTCTCACAAACAAATGGTTTCTTGTCAATGTGTAACCTGCCATGCCGATGGAGACCATGTTGCCGACTAAAGGCTTTACCACAGATCTCACAAACGAAAGGTTTCTCACCAGTGTGAACCCTGTCATGTTTGTTAAGATTACTTTGCCGAGTAAAGGTTTTACCACAGGTCTCACAAACGAATGGTTTCTTGTCAGTGTGTAACCTGCCATGCCGATGGAGACGGAGACCATGTTGCCGACGAAAGGCTTTACCACAGGTCTCACAAACGAATGGTTTCTCGCCAGTGTGAATCCTGTCGTGTCGTTGCAGATGACTGTGTTTTGCAAAGGCTTTACCACAGGTCTCACAAACGAAAGGTTTCTCACCAGTGTGAACCCTGTCATGTTTGTTTAGATTACTTTGTTGAGTAAAGGCTTTACCACAGGTCTCACAAACAAATGGTTTCTCACCAGTGTGTACCCTCTCATGTTTGTAGAGATGATTTGGCCGATCAAAGGCTTTACCACAGGTGTCACAAGTGAATCGTTTCTCATTAGTGTGAACCCTTTTATGCATGCTTAGACTACATTCACTTTGCTGGGTAAACACTTGACCACAGGTTTTACAAATGAAGGGTTTCTCAGAAGTGTCAACCCTTTGGTGTTTTTTCAGATAGGATTGTCGAGTAAAGGCTTTACCACAGGTGTCACAGACAAATGGTTTCTCACCAGTGTGAACCCTCATATGCATGTTTAGATTACCTTGCTGAGTAAAGGCTTTACCACAGGTCTTACAAACGAATGGTTTCTCACCATTGTGAACCCTGTCATGTATGTAAAGATCAGTTTGCCGAGCAAAGGCTTTACCACAGCTCTCACAAACGAATGATTTCTCAGTAGAAGTGTGAACCCTCATATGTTTGTTTAGATGGGCTTGTCGAGTAAAGGCTTTACCACAGGTCTTACAAACCAATGGTTTTTCATGAGTGTGAACCAATTTATGGATGTTTAAATGGTTTGAAAAGTAAAAGCTCTACCACAGGTCTCACAAACAAATGGTTTCTCAGTAATGTGAACCCTGTTATGTTTTAGATGGCTTTGTCGAGTAAAGGCTTCACCACAGGTCTCACGAACACATGGTTTCTCACCAGTGTGTACCATCTTATGTTTGTAAAGATGAGTTTTCCGAGGAAAGGCTTTACCACAGGTCTCACAAACGAATGGTTTCTCACCAGAGTGAACCCTGTCGTGTCGTTGCAGATGACTTTGTTTTGCAAAGGCTTTACCACAGATCTCACAAACGAAAGGTTTCTCACCAGTGTGAACCCTTTCATGTGTGTTTAGATTACTTTGCTGAGTAAAGGCTTTACCACAGGTCTCACAAACGAATGGTTTCTCACCAGTGTGAACCTTTTTGTGCATGTTTAAATTGGCTTGAAGAGTGAAGGCTTTACCACAGGTATCACAATCGAATGGTTTCTCAGTAGTGTGCACACTTTTATGGTTGTGTAGATAGGTTTGCCGACTAAAGGCTTTACCACAGGTCTCACAAACAAATGGTTTCTCGCCAGTGTGAACCCTGTCGTGTCGTTGCAGATGACTTTGTTTTGCAAAGGCTTTACCACAGGTCTCACAAACGAAAGGTTTCTCACCAGTGTGAACCCTGTCATGTGTGTTTAGATTACTTTGCTGAGTAAAGGCTTTACCACAAATCTCACAAACGAATGGTTTCTCACCAGTGTGTACCCTCTCATGTTTGTAGAGATGATTTGGCCGATCAAAGGCTTTACCACAGGTCTCACAAGTGAATGGTTTCTCATTAGTGTGAACCCTTTTACATGTATGTATGCTTAGACTACATTCACTTTGCTGAGTAAACATTTTACCGCAGGCTTTACAAATGAAGGGTTTCTCAAGAGTGTCAACCCTTTTATGGCTGTTAAGATAGGATTGTCGAGTAAAGGCCTTACCACAGGTGTCACAGACAAATGGTCTGTCACCAGTGTGAACACTCCTATGCATGTTGAGATTACTTTGCTGAGTAAAGGCTTTACCACAGGTCTTGCAAACGAATGGTTTCTCACCAGTGTGAACCCTCTTATGTTTGTAGAGACAAGTTTTCCGAGGGAAGGCTTTACCACAGGTCTCACAAACGAATGGTTTCTCATCACCAGTGTGAACCTTTTTATGAATGTTTAAATAGGCTTGAAGAGTGAAAGCTTTACCACAGGTATCACAAACGAATGGTTTCTCAGTAGAGTGCACACTTTTATGGTTGTTTAGATAGGTTTGCCGATTAAAGGCTTTACCACAGGTCTCACAAACGAATGGTTTCTCGCCAGTGTGAACCCTCTGATGAGTGTTTAGATTACTTTGCTGAGTAAAGGCTTTACCACAGGTCTTACAAACAAATGGTTTCTCACCAGTGTGAACCTTTTCATGAATGTTTAAATAGGCTTGAAGAGTGAAGGCTTTACCACAGGTCTCACAAACGAATGGTTTCTGAGTAGTGTGAACACTTTTATGGCTGTTTAGATAGGTTTGCCGACTAAAGGCTTTACCACAGGTCTCACAAACGAATGGTTTCTCGCCAGTGTGAACCCTTTTATGGTTGTTTAGACAGGTTTGCCGAATAAAGGCTTTACCACAGGTCTCGCAAACAAATCGTTTCCCACCAGTGTGAATCCCGTCATGTCGTTGCAGATGACTTTGTGTCGCAAAGGCTTTACCACAGGTCTCACAAATGAATGGTTTTTCATCAATGTGCACCCTTTCATGGGCGCGAAGATTACTTCGTGAAGTAAAAGCTTTACCACAGGTTGAACAAAGTACACCGAATACTTTCATGAGTAAAGGCTTCATCACAGGTGTCACAAATGGTTTCTCATCAGTGTGAACCCTCTCAAGTCTGTTTAGATTATTTTCGTGAGTGACGGCTTTACCACAGGTCTCACAAACAAGCGGTTTCTCCCCAGTGTGAACCCTGTCATGTTGGTAAAGATCAGTTTGGTGAGCAAAGCTTTAACCAAAGCTCTCACAAACGAATGGTTTCTCAAAAGTGTGAAGTTTCTCATGAATGTGTAGAGTTCTGTGACGACGAAAGGTTTGGCCGCATGTCTCACTATAAAAATCATTTAACACCAGTGTGGATCCTGTCGTGTCGTTACAGATGACTTTGTGTAGTAAAGGCTTTACCACAGGTCTCGCAAATGAATGGTTTCTCATCTGTGTGCACCTTTGCATGGGCGTGAAGATCACTTTGCATGCTTTGTGAAGTAAAAGCTCTACCACAGGTTTGAACAAACCAATGGTTCCTCACCCAGTTTCAACCTTTCATGGCTGAGATTGCTGGCTACCTGTCTGAAGTACTGGTCCATCAGAATCCCACTGGCTACATCTGTCAGTATTAAAGGGAAAAACAAACATCATTTAAGTGATATTCCACAATGCAACACTCAGGATTTTGAAGGATGTAATACTGGATGACCAAGAGAGTAAAAACATGCCCGGTCATTGGATAGGCGACCGCGCTTACAAGTTAGTGCGCATGCGTTTGAGGGTGATTACTTAGTCTGGTTCCATTTAGACATGAGCGTCGGGAATAATTGTCAGGTCTGGGAACCAGACTAGTGGTTACTAAGCAAATCGCGCGTGCGCACTGCGCGTTCACGCTGTACGCCATGGACGTACGTCATGCATGTACGACTAGACTCGACCTCGGCGGTGAGAAACTGATGAAAAGAGTCCACAACAACGTGCAAGTTTAACGTTGCTTTAGAGTTTATTTTCCTGATTAAGGTCGGTCAGCATCGCATATGGAATTCCTGAACCCAGCGGCCCAATAGATAAGGACACATAGAATACTACGACGTAAAAATTGGCTTCTCCAACAAGGTAAAAATATTGAAAATATTGGTCATAAATTTTTTTCGCCCGGTTTGGAGCACTTCATATCCTAGACTCCCTCCGTAACGTAGGGAGGAAAGGGAGTCCACCTGGGCTAGCTTTTTACCGATATTTCACATTTCCGTTCATATTAAACACTCACCTCTGCCTCAATATATATCCTTTATGCAGCAGAAGATCCTCTCAACATGACAATATGATCAAGCTGAACCCGAAGAAAAGGTATTTTACTTTTTAGTGCAACTCAACGGCGTGCCACCTTCGTTGTCGTTTGTGTACTACAAAATGGTGCCCAGCCGTATTCAGGGTGACCGTAAGGTCATGACTACATTCTGCTAAATGCACTTCAAAAATCTGTCAGATTTATCAAAAATCTGCCAAATCCCCCAGAATTACTCGAAATACACTATAAACACTTTAAATCACATGCAGATGCTGTAATATTGCCTTAATTAATGTTCAAATAACATTATAAACAATCTATAGCCACATAAATGGAGTGTCATGGCCTAGCGGTTAAGAACACCGGACTCATGTTCTGGTGTTTCAGAGCTATAGGCAACAGTGACGTGGGTTCGAGCCCGGGCGCGGACACTTGTGCCCTTAAGCAAGGCACTTAACCATTATTGCTTCGTCCTTCGGATGGGACGTGAAGCCATAGGTCCCGTGTGTTGTATAATGTCTAATGCACGTTAAAGAACCCAGTACACTTATCGCTAAGAGAAGGGGTTCGCCCCGGTGTTTCTGGCAGTGCGATTATCTTCAGCCATGAAGTCTGCGCTTGTAAGGAAGAAGAAGAAAAGATATGAAATTGCCTAAATTTCAGGCAAAATGTTATACGTTGCATCACAACGAAATCCGGTTCACCTCAGGCCTCAGCACCTAGACCGGGCAACCTCAAGGGCGGATCCAGAACACAAATTTGGGGGGGGCCAAAAAATTTTTTGGTTCCCCCCAAAAAGTGGGTCCAAAAAATTACGGCGTGGGGTTCGGGGCCCGCTTAAGGGCCCCGAAAAAATTTTGGATTCTAGATGCTCTGTGGTGTGATATGAGGCGATTTCTGACCACTTTAACCAATTTTTTTGGGAGGAAAAGATGGTGGTGTACTCATTGCCTGCCTTTATTGCGATGTCAAAAAGTGGGTCAAAAAAATTACGGCGTGGGGTTCGGGGCCCGCTTAAGGGCCCCGAATTTTTTTTGGATTCTAGATGCTCTGCGGTGCGATCTGAGGCAATTTCTGACCACTTTAACCAATGTTTTTTTTTGAGGAAAAGATGGTGGTGTACTCATTGCCTGCCTTTATTGCGATGTCAAAAAGTGGGTCAAAAAAATTACGGCGTGGGGTTCGGGGCCCGCTTAAGGGCCCCGAAAATTTTTTGGATTCTAGATGCTCTGTGGTGCGATCTGAGGCAATTTCTGACCACTTTAACCAATGTTTTTTTTGAGGAAAAGATGGTGGTGTACTCATTGCCTGCCGTTATTGCGATGTCACATAAAAAAAAAAAAAAATTGATTTCGTTTTGGGGGGGGGGGCATGGCCCCCTTTGGCCCCCCCCCCCCCCTGGATCCGCCCTTGGGCAACCTGTCCTATTTTGCAAGGGTTTGTTTGAAAAGATTGAAGCTTTTGTGAACAAATGTACCATATTTCAAAGTTTTTTGCAAATTTGCTTATTTTCTTTCAAATTAATAACCATTTTTGCAGAATTCTGCCAGAAATCTGCCCAAAAAACTCCAATCTCTCAAATTTTCTGTCAAACTCGTTTTATAACAAAAAATCTGTCAAAGTTAGCCGAAAATCGGCTAAAACGGTCACTACAGTCGTATTTTATGGTGGCCTTGAAGGGACATGAAGCAGTTGTGAATATTTTTGCGACGTCGTGAATTTATTAACGACTACTCAGCTGTGTGGTTGCGACTTGCGAAGGGCGACTTCTTAAGGTTACATAACACTTTATTTTTGAATGAAACTACATGCATACAGACATGTTAACGTTGGCAAGCGAAATCTTTGAAAATTAATTTCTCCAGTTTGGAAGACCGTGATCCGAGCCTGGTAAACATGTGTGCTAAAAATCGTCACTATAATGTTCATTATTTTTCGTTGAAATTGGCAGGCGCGGATCCAGGGGGGGGGGGGGGTTAACTGTCAAAAAAAAAAATATAATACAAATTCCTAAAAAAATAAGTGGAAACGCCCCCTGCTGTGACACCCCCCAAAAAGTATACTGGTATGACGTCCGCCTGTTCAAAATACAGTACACCATTCTGTAATCTAGTGTTAATAATCGTCGAATTTGAACAGCGCCCCCTATTGAAATATGGTCCCCCCCTTCCGTGTTTGATTTTACGGAGCCCAAGTGTCCGGAGAGAAAAACCTGTATACATTCTCAGATTTTTCGGCTGATGAAACACCCCCCCCCCCCCCCCCGCCCTGCGAAAATTCCTGGATCCGCCCTGATTGGAAAAATAGGCCTGCCTACGGTGCTTTTTCGAAAGTTGCAACACATAGCGTTTGCAATATCTGTCAATCTTTTTAAGCCCATGAATATTAATAAGGTTCTATATCCATTATGCATGGTGAAGTAAGAATTAGGACTGAGAAAAGCCTCCTTCTCGAGTTATTAATTGATGATCACCCTTTTTGCGGTGGCTTCCATTGGTCGATACTCACGCCGAGTAACGCCGGAGCGCCTATGCGCTTTGCCAAACCATGCACGTGGGTTGGGTCAGAAATCCTCGTCGAAATTTTCCTTGGAGGTAGTTCAAGCTTTAGGTGTAACGTGTATGTACGGTAGCGTTTGTAACAACAGGTTAAGCTGAAATTCGGACTATACTTATATGATTCGTGAAATAACAACCAGGAGAAATTCTACATAGATTTGGGGACGTTTTTGAACTAATTCTTCCCGACTTGAAGGTCAGCTTTACCAGTAAACAGTATGGACGTTTTGTCATCGATGACGGCGATTTTTTTCACTGACATGAAGTTTAGAATTTCTTCTTCCGCCATAATTTAACATTTCAATCACACTGAGCATATTTTCTGAGAAACACAACGTTCAAACGGCCGTGTTTTTTGGGGGGTGCTTGAATTTCACTGCTCTCTTATAGCGTACATCTAACTTTGCTTATGGACGGCAGATGCTTTGCCTTTGCAACCATACGGCTGTATCTTTGAGTGGCCGAAAGTTGACATGACTATATAGCACCATTCAATGAAAAGACGTAAAAGGTACCAGGAGCTCTGAGGCAAAACAATTATAAAATTCAAAACTAAGGCCATCAAAAACGCGGGGTACATTCCATTATTCGCTTTTTAACTCGTGCATTAAGTGGTACACCTTGACGCCGGCTTGTCGCCCGCTTGTCGGAAGCTTGACGCCGGCATGTCGGAGGATGCAGTCGTAAATTGTAATACAATGTATTACCGGAGACTACCTGACCTTAATAAGATTCATCAGGAATAGTCAGAATAATCAGTACCCCCTCACCGGCAAAGAAAGCACAGTTGGGGGTGACCGATCGACGCCATCTTGCCTGACTCCAATTTTGCCGCGACGCGCGGCCGTACCATGTACCGTACCACTGTGTGTACATAGTATACAAATATTGAGTGGCTCAGCGTGGAATGGGAGGAATATTATCGCAAGGTAAAATCTGGACTTTTCCATTTCACGAGGCGAAGCCGAGTGAAATGGAAAAGTCCAGATTTTACCGAGCGATAATATTCCTCCCATTTCACAATTTAAAGCCACTCAATATTTGTTTTATATAACTGACATATAGATCCTTGTCATTTGATATATTTGAACTTTTATTTCAATACAAACCTGGAGGAAAATGTATTTGTCTCTTCCAAACCACCCCTTCACGAAAATGTTTGCACCCAACGCTGTAGCGCTGGCTCTTTGGAACAATACGCGGTACGCGCAACGCTGAACGCGCAAACCAGCATGCATTTGCACACAAATACCGCGTCATGATCCTAACTGTTGAATAGACCGCTTGCAGACGCGTTCGATAATCGATGCGCGAAGGCGCGCGACGCCATGTTGTGGGACAGGCGTATATCAATTCACGCACATTTTGTCCCATAACATGGCGTCGCTCACCTTAGCGCGTCAATTATCGAACGCGTCTGCAAGCGGTCTATAGTATACAAATATTGAATGCTTCGAGTGGTGTAGTAAAACTAGCCTCCCGAGGTGATCCATGGACCATTCTATTTTCCCGAGGCGAAGCCGAGGGAAAATAGAATGGTCCATGGATCACCGAGGGAGGCTAGTTTTACTTCACCACGAGATAAAGCATTCAATTTTGTTTTATAACACTTCACCCACAGATTCTGCTTGATTTTAATATTTTACATTATTTAATTCTGAACACAGTTGAAATAAACTTCAATTTCAATACAAAATTGGTGGAAAATGTATTTCTCTCTTAAAAACTAACCCTTCACGAAATGTTTGAACCCAAGTCTGCGGCGCGCTCTCTTTGGAATAATACGCGCTACGCACAACGCGCAACGCGCACACCAGCATGCATTTGCACACAAATACCGCGCCGTGGAAATAGTACTTTGGTTGCTAATGGTAAAGTACTTTGGTTGCTATGCGCATAGTACTTTTGGCCGTGCACAGAAAGATAGCAAAATTAGAAAGTAACATGTGACTCGCTCTCGGCCAATCAAGACCCAGAATCTGTGGGTGAGGTGTTATAATATTTCCCATTCCCCATGGGCGGATAGTACTTTTTGAGCTGCGGTATGAATGGGAGCAATAAGAATGCCACGTGATGTGAGCTCGACCAATCAAATGACAAGGATCTGTATGTCGGTTATATAATACAAAATAATACCCTGGTGTACGTGCGTCACGCACAAGGAACGGTACTGTCAACCAGCGGGTCCTACTAAATTCGCTCGAACCCCCGCCTTCGCTCGTACCCCCCGCCCTGCAAACAGGACGCTGGGATACTGTGATGAGCTTCACAGCATCTTGTCAAGGAAATGGCCTATGTATAAAGCATCTGGCTGTAGCTGTTCAAGACCGCAGTTAGACAATGTGCGCAAATGCTATCCAAAAACTTCCCATATAGAATTACGCGCATTCCACACCGGATGTGATTTCTGTTTCATTGTGGACCATGTGGACAACGGTTTTGAGCGTCGCATAATGCAATCCGACCGTTCGTGATTCGAAACGGAGCCTGAGCGAGTGACGGGAATTGTAAATTTACAACACAGATAAGTTTTACAGAATTTCCTACATTATTACGCTTTTCAAGGAGGAAAAAAATCTCTAAACTGGAA